AGATACTGGCCTGCTTGCAGAATAACCAGTTCTCGCCAACGGAGTGCACAATTGGCAATGTGCACAATAAAGGCGACGAGGTACATATGTAAGACGAGGCTGGCATTAGTAGTATTTTAGAAACATCAGTAATAAAACTTTTTATGAAAGCACCCCTACTTTTCTAACACTAGATAACTAGTGCTCCTCACATCCCCTCTTACATAACAATTTCTTCCAAAGGAGAAAAATTCCTGGCTGCCCAACAATCACTCCTTTTATATTCTCTTTGACATATAAATAAACTAATAAACTGTTCTCATTGTTGCTCTGATTGCCACTGATAATCCATTAATCCTAGTAAGGCAACATGTTTGTTTATGCGACATCATGTCCCTCAACCGTGACATATATTTAACAATAAATTATTTGAAACCGAGCCCAACCTCAGCAGCATTAAGCGCCTCGTCCAGGTCAACGTGGAAGAAGGGATGGTTAACACCGAGAACTGGGATGGCAAGAGTGTCGAAGCTGTTGGCTGTAAGTTCATATTTTTGCTTGTCCTGGCTGGCTGAGTCGGCCATGAATTCCTCGTCACCTGATACCAACAACGATGGCAGAATAGTTTCGTGTTTGCGCCATACTCCTTGTCCTGTGGAATGCCAATGTTGGCCACGCTGAAAACGGTGCGCGTGGCAGAGTCAGATGATCCAAAGCCGCCGGCGATCAGGGCGCGGCGAGTCCACATAGACTTGATGCCTGCAAAGTGCCAAGAGACAGTACCATTAGCATAGCGGTCGAGCTGGCGGCGGACGTCAACAAGGTTCTGAATCGAAGTTATGTCAACGTTGGAGACGCCTGTAAAGTCAAGAATTACAGCGCGCAAAACGGGCAGCGAGATGTCAATATCAGAGTCGGTCTTGTGGCGGGGGCCTGGGTCATTCCACGGACGGTTGCCCAGCGAACCATATGGGTTGGCAATGCCGGCCCGTGTATGCTTGACAATACCGGCGATCATGTGCTCAGTGAAGTGCATCGCATTTGGATACAGATAGCCCTCGTTGAAGCGATAGATGAAGATGCCGTTGGTCGGCTGTTGGGGCTTGACTGCCGGGTTAATGCCACCAGAGCAGTCCAGCGGCACGAAAACGTTGCGGCTGTTGCCGGTCTGCACAAGCTGCTTCTGGGATGAAGACGGCGGTCGGCTGCCATCAGTGGCACTGGTCAATGACGAACGATCATAAATGCGCACAGAGCCAACAAACTTTCCTTGAGCCTTGGCAATGCGGAACAGCAGCAGCGCGCCAGACAATGCGACTGACGCGTAGATTCCATTGTCAATAGTGGAGAAGATGCTGACGATGACGCCGGCACAGAAAATGACAAACTCGATCGGCGACACGTTCCAGAACTTCTTGATGGCGGTGGGCGTCGAGATTAGGTCGCCGACAGCATGGATGATGACCGCGGCCAGCAGCGCGTTCGAAATGTAGAAAAATACGGGCGGCAGGGCGTAGATGGCGATAACGACGATGGACGCGGTAATAACACCGGCCAGTGGCGTGCGCACTCCGGACTTGGATTTAATGGCAGTGCGCGAAAACGATCCAGTCGCTGGGTATCCACCGAAAAAGGGACCGAATATGTTGGTGATGCCGATGGCGATGAGCTCCTGATTCGGGTTGATGGTGTAGTTGTTGATGCGGCCAAATGACTTTGAAATTGAAATGTGCTCAATGACCAGGACGATGATGGCCGAAGGGAGCTTACCAGCGACCTTTGAAAGAATCTCAGAGGTGACGATGGGGACTTGCATGTGCTGGAAGCCGCGTGGTACAACGCCAAGAATCGAAAACTTGGGGTTGTCGCGGTGGTTGCGGTTGACCAGGTATGAGATGAGCGTGTACAACAGGATAACAAAGGCCGTGCGCAGGGTGTTGAGGAAGAAGAACATCTTCTCGCGCTTCGGCCAACGGCGGGCACAGTAGTTGCAGGTCCAGCGAATCGCATACAAAAGGAACAGTGCGGTGAGGCCAACAGCGGCGTTGATGTTGCAGTATTTGATGTACTTGAAGAAATTTCCGAAAACGAGGTACGTCGGTGCACGAGTGTTGTACGCCTTAAACGAGTTGTTGCCCATCAGCGTGGGGATCTGGCCCATGGCAATGCTAAGCGCCGAGCCTGTCATGAAAGCGGCAATGGCTGGCAACGGGATGAACTCGACGATGAAGCCCAAGCGGAGAAGCCCGATTGCCATAACAATGCATCCCATCACCACCGACATACACCCTGCGATGAGCCACGGCTTGTCGGCATACTGGGGCAGCAGCGGCAGAACATCAGTCAGGATATTGCCCATCAGCGTTGACATGACAGCGACAGGCCGATCGTAATGTCCTTGCTCGTGGCAAACATGAAGTAGAGCGCGCATCCAATAAATGACGAGTATAGACCAAACTCTGGAGGCAGCTGGGCGAGCTTTGAGTAGGCCATGCCCTGAGGAATGACGACGACTCCGACTGTGGCGCCGGCAACAAGGTCACCCAAGAACCACGTCCAGTTGTAGCGGTAGATCCATGTCGAGATGGGGAAAAGCGATTTAACGTACTCGCCGACCTGCTGGCCCGACGGAATGACATCGTGCAGCCACTCGCGCGACGACGCCAGCGGCTCGATGTACATGATGGGCTCCTTCTCGTCTTCAGTGCGCGACATTGAAGTAATGAGCGTGTGTGTATTGACTTTGTTTAAGTGTGCGCTCGTGCGATAGTCGATCTGAACGTGTATGCAATATAATATAATTAATTGAGATGAAGATTAAAAAGTAGCACGAGTATAAAAATGTTCGTTAATGATTATATCAAATAAATAATAAAGAAGCAAAAGCGGCGGTGGCGGCAATAGTCAAAATAAATAAAGAGATTACAGATTGCGAGTCAGAGAGGACAGGATACAAGTGGCAAGGTGACTGAATAACTAAAAAAGAAAGGAAGGCTGACGGGGAGGGAAAGAGTGCAGTATTTATAATTGGTTTTAGTCTGCAAGACAAGGGGATCGAAAATGAACAACTGCTAAATTGTTAAATTGGATAGGCTACGGGAACAAAGGGAACAGTGTCGATGAAAAAGAAAACACAATAATGCGGCGACACGCCTGCTGAGTGCCCATTTGCCCCTGTTTTGCCTTTTTTCATCAGCTTTCGAGGCGAGCAAAAAAAGGAGATAAAAAATTGTAACTAGCGCAATAAGAAATTTTTTGTATGTGTGGGGGGGGGGGTGCACCATTCACTCTTCATGTTTCAATAAAATTCCTAACTCGGCTAATAATCACGCAATCGGTGCCGGAAACGATGAATAAAAGGGCGACAGAAAAAGTGAACTTTGCTGTCGGGTATTATGAAGCGCATTGGCGTTTTTCGCTGCCGAATAGCAAAAATAAAAAGGTGTAAGTGAGCGCGTGCATGCGGGAATATGATTGAGTGCGCTTGCACCAATTAGAAATATTTGACCAACCAGGTGACTGGTCAACAGTAATCTTTAATTTCTTTATTTTGCGTGCTTATCAAGCGCTAGTGGTTTTATAGGGCGTGTCGATCCAACTGAATTTCCATTATTTGCTCATTGCCAACCCAACCAACAACCCACATCGAGCCCAATAGCAGCAGCTTGTGATGGCGCGAGAGATGACAGATATGAGGGATGGTTGATTTTTTGGTATTGACTTTGGGCTGGTTAGAGCGGGAGGAAGAATCAGTTGATAATCCGGGTTTATCTCATTTATGCAAAACAATGCACTTGCGATTTTCTGACATTTCTTTGTTATTGTCTTATTTTTTCTTGTTTTGTGGTCGCAAGTATCAAAAGCGGACAGTCAATATGGAAGAGACGATCAATTTTTGGCGCTAAGTGGTACGCGCGTGGTTGTTATTGATGTGATTTTCTATTTTATCGGAGCACGATAGGTATGCCGTGAAAGAGAGGAAAGAGAGTGTGCATGTGTGGTTCTGCCATGTATTGTTTCTGTTCCAAAAAGGCAATAATATTATTAATACTGGTGCTGCTGCCGTTGAATCTTGTTCTTCCTCGTTTACTATGCTTGTTTAATTGGAAATGGGCTGGATTTAAAACATAATGCTTAAATAAAATTTTAAATTTAAAGTAAAATACAGTTTTATATTAGGCAGGCATATATCGCAACACAATGAAATTCTGCGCGCTACAAATATAGTATATGACTTCTATCGAGAGGCAGCGATTTTCTGCCCAAAGATGTCCAGAACGCTGTAATGCAGTGCAGCTCTCATGCATTAAGCCGGAAGGACAAACACATAAATTTAAAAAAGTATTTTGCAACTCCTATGACAATATTTTTAAGCAAGGTGGCGCGACTTTTTTCTTTTTATTATTTGCTTGTTTTTTGTTAGCATTTTGGTCGGAAATCTTTTTGTTTTATTCAACATGGCAGAGCGGGAGAAAAACATGGGAAATTACAAAATAGATTAGCGCACGTTGCGCGCTTCGGGCCTCTATGGTCAAGGTAAAAAAATGTATATATTTTATCTCTATATTTTCACAATGTCGCTCGACAGTAATGACTATGCGAGAGCGTTTAGATGATGTGATCGGCGCATTAGTTGACACATATTAAAGACAATATAAATCAAATATAACAAAGGCATGGCCAACTTGATGGTTTCACGGCGATTGCCCAAAAACAATATCACATCAACTATTTCGGTTTTCAACTTTGATTTCGAAAACAATTGCATTCAGTGTAAATATGGCGTGTTTGGCTACAAACACCAAAGGGCAATTCGAGCAAGATAAAGTGAAAAACTGCTCTTCCGGTTGGCACAAAACGGATCCATTACAGGCAGCGGCGGTTAACGCAAAAAAGGATGTCAATGGCACCATTGGCGACGAAAAAAGGTAAGAGCACTCGGTTATATATTTGACCGAGTCACTCCACTGACATGTGCGCCATCTGTGATAGCACGGCACATAATAATTCTAGCGACAAGCATTGGTTTTTTAATTGGCTGATTTATTGATTTGCCAATGCGCAGCAATCAAGGCACAGGCCGGCTCAATACGTCATCGGCAGGGATACAAACACATGGTGAGCATGAACGCTCTCACGGTCATGTTATTTGCTGCTATAGACTATATATTTTTCGCACGGGCTAGATCATTGATTCCAATGCTTATTATTTTGCCTGCCCTGCGCTGCACAGAACTGAACTGTACTAACGCGAAGAACACAGTACAGCACCTCCCCCCATTATTTGAAGTGAGATAGCGCGTATTATGTGACTGCTGCTTTGTTTGGGTTGTTGCTCACCTGACCACAGCGCTAAGCATTTCGCTGTCATTTAAATATTACCAAAACCGAGTTCACTTATTTTCAGCTGACGATTGACCGCTAAAGTTGCATGGAGATAGAGAGAGGAAGATAAAAGGAGTTGAGGCACAGGCCCCCCTCATCCAATAAAAGCATGCGTGTAAAGGGGGGGGGGCGTGGGCACAGGTTGCTGTTCCCACGCCATCTGGACTGAACTGGACTGGCAGCAAATGAATCAGGGATAAGCAGGGCAAACAAGGGAGGGGGGCAATAAATAGCAGGCTTCAGCAGCACAACCAGCAGTAGCCAAACGTCGTTTTCTTCTCACTACTTTTTTTACATTATTCTTTGTATTCCTCGCACAACAAAACCAACTGCTCTTTGCAAGCAGCAATAGTACTAACAGCAACCATTAAATCTACACAAACCAATGAAGCAGCTCACATTGGCAGCGCGCGTCGGCGCCGGCTACAAGCAGCGCGCCGCCGTGGCCGTGGCCGTGACCAAGGCAGCAATGAGCACCAGCGCAAAGCTGAGTGGCGCAACGCCTGAGTCAACCAAGCTGTTTATTAACGGCGAGTTCGTCGAGTCGCAGGCTAGTGAGTGGATCGATGTGCACAACCCGGCAACGCAGGAGGTCGTGACGCGCGTGCCGCGCAGCACCAAGCACGAGCTAGACGAGGCAGCGCACAGCGCGCAGCTGGCGTTCGGCGAGTGGCGGCGCACGTCAGTGCTGACGCGGCAGCGCAAGATGCTCGACCTGCAGCACGCAATCCGCGGCAGCATGGACGCGCTGGCGGCCAGCATCGTCACCCAGCAGGGCAAAGTGCTGGCCGATGCGCGTGGCGATGTGCAGCGCGGGCTGCAGGTGGTCGAGAGCATGTCCGGCATTCCCGAGATGATGTTGGGCACAAAGCTCGAGGTGTCGGCCGACATGGACACATACACAGTCCGTGAGCCGCTAGGCGTCGTCGCCGGCATCTGCCCGTTCAACTTCCCAGCGATGATCCCGCTGTGGATGTTCCCGGTTGCGCTGGCCACTGGCAACACATGCCTGCTCAAGCCGTCGGAGCGCGACCCGGGCGCCGCCATGCTGCTGGCATCGCTGTGCCGTGACGTTGGCATCCCACGCGGCGTGCTCAACATCGTGCACGGCGCACACGAGACCGTCGACTTTTAACGTCCGACGCGCGCGTCCGCGCCGTGTCCTTTGTCGGTGGCGACCGCGCCGGTAAGCACATCTACGAGCGCGCCACGCAGCACGGCAAGCGCTGCCAGGCCAATCTGGGTGCTAAAAACCATGCTGTAGTGCTACCCGATGCTGACCGCGAGCACACGCTCAACGCCATCGCTGGCGCAGCATTCGGCGCCGCTGGCCAGCGCTGTATGGCGCTGAGCGTCGCGGTATTCGTCGGCGACTCGGCGCAATGGATCCCCGATGTTGTTGCCAAGGCACGGAAGCTGCACGTCGACGGCGGCTTCGAGCCCGGCGCTGATCTCGGCCCTATGATCTCGCCGCAGGCGCTGCACCGCGCCGAGGCGCTGATCCAGTCGGCGGCCGACGACGGCGCCGACATCCTGCTGGACGGCCGTGGCGTCCATGTCGAAAAGTACCCGCTTGGCAACTTCCTCGGCCCCACAGTTATTGACCGTGCAACGCCCGAGATGCAGTGCTACAGCGAGGAGATTTTCGGGCCTGTGCTGACTTGTGTGCGCGTCGACACGCTGGACCAGGCGCTGGCGCTGGTCAACGGCAACCGCTACGGCAATGGCGCGTCGGTGTTTACGCGCTCGGGCGCCAGCGCGCGCCGGTTCCAGGCGGAGGTTGAAGTTGGCCAGGTTGGCATCAACGTGCCGATCCCCGTACCACTGCCTATGTTCTCATTCACCGGCAACAAGGCGTCGTTCCTCGGCGACACAAACTTTTATGGCCGCGCCGGCGTTGGATTTTACACGCAGCTCAAGACCGTCACCAGCCACTGGCGTCGCCAGGACGCCGAGGAGGCTGTTTCTGGAAGCAGCACCAAGGGATCGATGCATATGCCGACACATCATTAGAAAAAAAACTGGTAATGATGATGGCCATTGTTGTTGTTTATTTTTAAGCGTGTCAGCCAATGGGGAAGTGAGCTGCGTGCCCAGGCCAAGCTCAAGAAGGTTTGTGACCAGACCCTCTATTCCATCAGAGCCAAAATTTTAATTTTGCATCATTTTAACTGTAGTTTTATTTCGTTGCCCAGCAAAATAAAAAGCAATGTGGAAAAACGTTGGCATCATCAGTTGCTAAGGAGATCGCGTCGCGGTGGCAGAAAGAAGGGAAAATATTAAAAGTTGATCCACTTTCTTGTTTTTTCACTTTTTTTTCTTAAAGAAAATTTTTTGTTTTCACTTCATCTTGCCCAATTACAAATTTCAACACATTTAAATTGCGCTTCCCCTTTTTCGCTTTATTGTTTCATTTCCGATCTAATTTTATTCTCACCAACTCACCCATTCCTTCCTTTTGAATCATATTTTTTACTTTGTAAAAACATACAATGGGCGGCGACTCAGACTCCGAGTCCAAGTACCTCTCCGAAGGGTTCGATGCAAGCACGCTCAAGGTCAGTAGCCTGCGCAACATTCTAGTCAAACACTCCGTGGACTACCCGAGCAACGCCAAAAAGGGCGAGCTTCTCAGCATTGTGCAGAAAAAAGTGCTCAGCAAGGCAAGCAAACTGCGCAAGGAAGCCAAGAAGCTGAAAAAAACCAAGGCTGATGGCCGCGATATTGAAGTGGTCGACAGTGGGCCATCTATTGGAGCACGCACACGGGCACGCAATGTACCGTCATCGTCTGCTGCCGAAACAGGGGGAGAAGCAGGAGAAGAGACCAAGACCGAGAGCAAGGTCGAGAGCAAGAACAAAAAGTCGTCTGCATCTGCTTTGGCAAAGGCAAAGTCCAAGCCCAAACACAAGCACAAGGAATCCAGTGCTGAACCGGAGCGGGAGCCGGAGCTGGAGCGGGTCATAGGTGCCAAGCGCAAGCTCAGCGAGGCCGAGGGAGAGGACAAGCCTGCTGAAGAGAAGACAAAGCAGCACGGGCTGGGCGCTGGTAACGACCAGAAGGGCGCCGATGCGCAGAAGCAGCGCATTGCCAAGCGCCGCGTTTTGCACCCTCACACCAGCAGCAGCAATTAAAGAAGCGTGAGGCCAGCAGCGTGGCAGCCAGCGGACTTGGCAGCAGCGATTCTGAGTACAGCAGCCGCAACACCACCAACAACGACGATCAGCAGCAGCGAAAGCGGATGGCGGCGGCGGGCAAAGCCGGCACTCTGCTGCGCAGCCCTGCGAAGGCTAGAGAAACTGGTGGCAATTTCTCTGATGATAACCCGTTCCAAGGGAGCAACAGCCCGGAGACACCACGTAAGCGTAGACGCCAGTCGTCGACTGTTGTGGGAAACACCACGCCGCTGTCTGCGCTGCGCAAGTCGCAGGTGTCTGATGTGACATTCCGCGTGGCCCTGCCGGTTGCGGCAGAAAAGGAGATGGAGACTGGGGCCGAGGCCGAGGACGTCGAGATGGCTGGGGGCAGCGGCGAGAGCGGCGAAGAGGAGGTCAGCTCTGGCGAGATGATTGTGGAGCCGCCGCAGCTGCAGAATGTCAGCGTCGGCGACCTGGTGGCTAAGTACCAGGGCCAGGGCCAGGGCCAGGGCCAGGGCCAGGGCCAGGGCCAGGGCCAGGGCCAGGATCAGAGCCAGATCAGATCGCCGCTGATCAGATCGCCCTCACCTGCCGCCAGCAAGCTAAGCAGGAAGCACGGCGCACCAAGCCTGACCCCATCGGCGGCGCCGCCCAAGTTCGACCTGGCGGTGTCGCCCGAGTCGGCGCCCGCATACCAGTCGGCGTTCCACTCGCCGAGCCGATTCACGATGACGCCCGACGCGCTACGGCAGATGTCGCTGGGCTCGCCGCCCGAGGCGGTTCGGCGCCGCACAGTTGCCAGCGGCCTGCCGCCCGTGTCGCCTAGCGTGGCGGCGTCCGACGACATCCATTCGCTGCAGCGGCGGCGCGTGGCCACGCTGCGCCAGCACGCCGAGTCGCCCAAGCAGCTCCACTCGCGCCGCTCGTCGGTCGCGTCGATCGCAGACAGCATCGGCGAAGCGCGCGGCATCCCGGCCATCCCGGCCACAGCTGCGGCTGCCGCTGGCTGCCGCTGAGCCGGCGCAGCCCGTGCGCCGGTCGTCGCTGGCGCGACGCGTCGTGTCTGTGCACTGATCAGCATCGCGGCGCTGGGCTGGCGCACGCACACGCAGTTCGGCATCGGCTTCGGCAGCACGCGTGCCGACGCGTCGCCGCTGCAGCCACCGACCGACAGCATTCTGGCGCCGCCGCAGCCGATCGACACGCTGAGCGCGCCGCTGTCTGAGCGCGCGCGCTACGTTGCGCAGCTTGTGCGTGCGGCGTACCTGGCGCCGCCGCCGCTGCAGTGCCCCGAGCACGCGTCGTGCGCGCCGTTTGTGGCCATCGACGCGCAGCGCGCCGTGGCCGACGCGTCGGGCGCACAGTGGCTGGCACCGCATGCCGACGGCAGCGCCAGCGGCATGCGTGCGGTGATGACGTGTGACGCCGGCCACGTGCTGCGGTTCCCGCCGGTGCCGCGGCTGGCGCTGCGGCTGCTTCCGGCTGTGCCCGAGTGCGTGCGCGACGTATCGACCGAGAACCGCGTGCGGCAGCTGGCCGACGCCATGGTGCAGCTGTGCAGCGAGCGGCGCGGCTCGGCGCAGTGTGCGCAGTCGCTGTACGAGCAGGCGCGCGAGCTGATGCGCCAGCCGCTGGCGGACGCAGAGCACGACGAGGCCGACGAGGCCGACGAGGTCGAGCGGCTCGGCGTCAGCGTGCCTGAGCTTCGGCGCGCGCTGGCCGCGCGTAAGGCGCCGCGCCTGTCGGACGCGCAGTTCGACGCGCTGTTCCAGCGCGCGGTCGACGAGCTGACGAACGCGCGCGGCGACGCTGTGACGCCTGTGGTGCTGGAGTTCGAGGCCGACGCCGACGGCGATGACGCGGAGGCTGGCGCCGAGGTGGCGTACTTTGTGGCGCGGCGTGCGCAGCTGCCGCCGCTGTGCCGCGCGCGGCGGCTGGCGCTGGCGCTGGTGCTGGGCAACGTGCGGCGGCTGCTGTCGGCCGTCGGCCTCGGCGTCGTTGCGCTGGTCGCGTCGCGCCGCCTGGCCGCGCACCGCGCGGAAGTCCGCGCGGCCGACGCGCTCGTGGTCAGTGCGCTGCTGCGGCTGAAGCGCCAGGCGCGCCGCCATTACCTTGACCCGGCGCTGTCGCCGTCGCCGGCCATCCCTCGCTGCAGCTGCGCGACCTGCTGCTGCTGTCGTCCGGCTCGCCGCCGCCCAGCAGCAACGGCGACCGCCTGGCCGAGCCGTCTGCGCAGCAGAGCCGCTCCCGCTCCCGCCACCGCGAGTCGCTTGTTGCTTCGCCTGTCGCGTACTACGACCCGCGCGCCAGGGCCAGCGTGTGGGAGCGTGTGCGCCGCGTGGTTGAGCGTAACGCCAACGTGCGCTGCCGCACGACGGCTGTGCGTGGAGAGCCTATGCGCGTGTGGGAGTGGATTGGTCCGCTGGAGGAGGAGGATGACGATGACCTGTTCAACTCACCCTTCTCGTCGCCTCAGCGCCCGGCGGCTCTTGGCTGATGCAGTGGCCGAGCCCGCCTTCTAATTGCTTAATTGCTTTCCTTTAATTTTTCAATCTTTTTTATCAACATGCTCTATTATTATATTAAAGTCCGATTTTATTTTAAACCAGCCGGAAGCAGTCCGATACTATGTACATCAAACCGTTGGTCTTTTCCAAAACAAACGTCTGTGCAAACTGCACTTTTCCGCCACCGCCCATCTTCACCAGCCCGCTGACATTGACCAACACTAGTTCACCACCCAATGGCTGGCAGTCCAATCCGTGTATGTCAAAGTGAGTCATTGTTTTCTGAATCTCTTGAAGCATTTGCTTGAATTGCGCGCCACTCATCCCTGTGCCATTCCAAATTACTTTGCTGTTGTCCTGGTAGAATTTCCACAGGTGGATTTTGAGAGACACCGGTAGTATTGCTCTGTGAATTTCTCGCAGAGTGAAAGTGTTTGTGTAATTTTTGCGTCCGAAGGCGCATCGAATACTGCTGCCGCTGCTGCTGAGGTGTGAGTGAATTCATTTTTCTTGCTAATTTGAAGAGGTAGAATAAAGTTGGGAATAGAAACAAATAAAATTGAATGTTTTTGAGAGACAAATTAAGTGAGGAAAAAAGAAAGAGAAACACCAAACCAGCACCCAACCAAACGCCTCCTTATGGGGATATCAACTATGGGCCTATGAGCCTGACCGAGCTATTAATAATAATTCACTTTAATATTTGCCTTTTATTTATTTTATAACTCGCTCAATAAATCTATTTTTTTCTCCCTTGAATTAAATAAATTATGTTAATAATCAATTGAATTGACAAAAACTAATACACACACACACACACAGCAGAGCCAAAGACTAGAAGTAGCGTGCTGTGGCCAAATGTCGACATCCGCCAATTCGTTTACAAAAAAAGTAAATCACAAATGGCAATCGCGTGCAATTATTTCATAGCAAGCAGACAAAAGGCTGCCACTATAAGCAAATGCAACCCAAATAATAAATTTGTTAAAGGTTGATTTTTGTGTCACGCATTTTTTTGCTTTTTGCTTTTGCTTTTTGCTTTTAGCTTTTGGCTTTTGGCTTTTGGCTTTTGGCTATTGGCTATTGGCTATTGGCTTTTTTGCCCTATATCTTTGTATTTTGCTTTTATTCTACTTTCCATCAATCATAAATAAATTGTTTTTAAAAAAATAAAACCAAGAAAAAAGTAGAAGCAACCATGCCTTTATACGTTTGTAAAGCTTGGCTGTCAAAAAAATGGGAAAATAATTTCTAGAGCCATCCACCACTATATTAGCAGTGAATCTCGAGCGCGAAAAAAAAGCATGTTTCACTTATTCATTTCTATTTCATTATTACCTTGCTTTCACATTTTGTTGTTTTTATTCACGCACTTTTCACTTCTATTCTTGTTATTTTATTAAAGTGGAGGACGATACATACACGCACATAGAACTCGACCCGCACTCCCACCTAAGAGGCATTGACATTACCTTTGTAACCGACGAACAATTCAGCACCATGTTTTTCACCAAACCTATTCTCACTGCCAAAGGAATGGAGTCCTTTGCTAAAAATAATGAGGCTATTGTTTTCCACAGCACATACGATCTTGAAGGTGGATACCGTCTCATCAAAAAGGCCACCACCCCTCTTGTAAGGCACCTTGTTCTCAAAAATCGATTCATCTTTAATATTTTGAGCCTGGAAAAAGCCAACTTGTTAAAGGACTTTTCACCTGCCAAAGCTGAAGTTAAAGTTAAAAGAGGCATTGCATTTTATAAAAAGGGTGCGCTTATTGCTGAAATGGAGGGTTTTGATTTGACTAAGTTTATTAGTGAGCTAGCCAAGTTTGAAAAACGGCCGCAGCGGGATCAGCAGGCGGTGCATGCTGCGAATGCATCATTCTTTGAATTGCATACCTTGTTTTATATACATTTACAATTGTTTTTCTGTAGTTATTTGCTTGTTTTATGATTTCAATAAATTAACATTTTCAATTATCCAAACATCCAATTTAAGTTTTTGTAATGCTTTTACATTGCGAGGATCCACACATGTGTAATGTCCAATGTATTATATGTAATATGTAATAATGTGCTGCCCCTAATTATTCTCGATAAATTACGTGCCCTTTACTTTCCAGTGGGCAAACCCAAATTAATGTGCAGAGTGTCTGCGCTTAGCGTATATGATATTAAAAAGAAATACACAAAAGCCAATGTTAAAACACGTGAGAAATAGCTTTTAAAGAGTAAAAGGTGCGTTTTATAAAGTATTCATTATGTCTTTGTTTTGCTGTACAGGAATTGAAAATGTTTTAATTTATTATACGCTATAAAAAATCCTCGCCAGCTCACGATGCTAGCTCGGAATAAAAATCAGTTTTGTAAGAAGTATAAATTAGAACTATGCTGGATACGTTTTTCTTTTTTTGAAAATCCATTTTACTCAATTGATTTTATTTTTATATTTTTTACTTGTAGTACATTTTTTACTCTGACAATATTTTATAATGGCCCTCAAGCTTGACACACTGTCAAAGTTCAATGACTTTATCAAACTCACAAATACTGCTGGCAAAGTACATCCGGCGGTTATTTTCTTTGCCGACTCTTCAAGCACCTGCACCCACGCGACATGCGTGGGATCAGGCCGCTGCTAGCTCACATCAGGTCCAACCACAACATCGCGCGCTCGCAGTATGACTCGAGCAAGTTTAATTTTGCCGAAAGTGAATATGGCATTACAAGCAAGTGCGGCGTGTTGTATATTCGCAGCGGCAATTATCTTGCCCACATGAATCATTACATCCAGGCCGAATTTGAGACAACTGTAAATGAATTGTTTACAAAGAAGCCCGAAGACTCACCGCGTGTTAAAGCCGAGAAGGCTGCTGAGAAGGCAAGGCTGATGGCTGAAGAGGAGGCAAAGAAAAAGGCCTTTGAGGCGGCAAGCCGCCGTGCTGAGCAGGAAAGAAGGGCCCAGGCCAAGCGGACTGTGCTTGCTGCATTATCTTGTAGTTTTTATATATAATTTTGCTGGTACACTCTCCTGTACTGCAAATCTCTATAATAGTTGCGTTGATATTTTCTGAAATATACATCTCATAAACCCATGTAATATTGTAGACCTCGCATCTTTTTGCATCTATCTGAAAATACCCCCGTCCTCCCACCTCCACACACACAGCGGCAGAGACGCTGCAGTCAGTCATTTTTCTTTTCGCCTTTGAGCAGACTTTAATAGCTTTGCTTTACACCATTTCTTTTTTAATTCTGCTTTTTTGTTTTATAGTGGCCAATGAGAGAGCAAGCAAAAGCAAGAGCGAAATAAACGATTAAATGAGGCGGTGAAAGGCTTCCTTTTGCATTGTTAAAAGACCGCCAAAGCAAGGCTTGTTTTATACTTAAAAAAAGTGCTGCGGGATTTTATTACACAACAAAACCCTGTTCTAATTTTTATTTTTTGTTGCGGTCATAGAGCAAGGTCGTGATATTTAATGGACAATTTTTTAAATGTCTTGTTTGCCGCTTGTTACATATATACAGTTATTTTGCTATTAAAATTGCTTATTTGATTATTTTTACTATTTTTTTTTACACCATGTCTGCGTTCCCTTCAACTATTATTCGATTCATTCCACCGACTGTCATCAAAGACGATGCCGAGTACGACAAGGTCTTTGCCAAATACTATAATAGCGGAAGCAAGCCAGTTTACCGCATTGAGTATTACTACCCATTTGACCCCATGGCCATAAACGGCGAGCCAAATCAGTATTTTGTAAACGTAACTGAGTTAGACATGTGCATTGTATTATTAGCTACACAGCCAATTTTATTCAATACAAGGTCAACAACACCAACGGGCAGTACTGTAGAAAAAGATACGAGATTGAAACTGACTCAGGAGTGCTTTTCTTCCGCAACAACGTGCTGGTCAGCTACATGCCTGGCTTTAATTTTGATAACTTCCGCGACAACATATACGATTTGTCGACGCGAGCGCCCAGGCATTCGCCCAAAAAAAATAGACTGAGTGATATCAAGGTAGAAATTGTAAAACCAGCGGAGCCCCCCAACGCGTGAATGGTGTGTCATTTTGTAGCGTCTTTTGTCGCTCAAATGCAAAAAGTTTGCGTGCATTTTAAAAACCACGTGAATACTTGTTCTTATTATTTTTCTTTAAGTTTTACAAAGCAAAAGCAAAAGCGGATGCTTTGTATTAATAAAATCATTTTATTTTCACTTTTTACCACCTACTTTATTTTAATTTACAGCCACTTGCCCGTTCTTCGACTTTAATAATACCCTTGAGTGACATGGTTTGGCATTTCAAAGCCTGTTCTTGTAAATTTTGGCTACTAAACCCGTTTCTCTTTATTTGTTTTCTTTTTTATTATTTAACATATATCAATATCTTTTTTTTTTACTAAATGTTAGCTACCAGCATGTCAACGGAAGTGAGTTCAACTCTGCAAGGGCAATGGTGCCCATGTCCATCATATTCTTCTATAACCACAACGTGGTAACCTTCAACACTTTGTCTCAAAAATGGCAACGCTGAGCACCTGCGCAATAGAAAACAACATTCACAAGCTGTACTACTTCCGCACAGCCGACGTGAGTGAGCTTGCCACGAGGCTACACCTGGTACTCAACATGGGTGTTCTGTTTTTCCGAAACGGCCGGCTACTCGAGTACATGGACGACTATGACAAGGCCGAGTTCCAGCGCATTATCAAGCTGCCGCTGACGCATGAGTTCATGAAGGAGCCAGTCACCGAGGAAATGAAGGAAATTAAGAGATTGAGAAAGGTATCAAACAATAATAATAACGCGTATCAGCAGCGGGCAGAAAATATGGAAGAGATGATTACGGTTCAGCGTGAGGCTGCGGAGGCGGCTGAGGCGGCTGAGGCGGCTGAGAAAGCGGAGAAGGAAAGGCTGCCCAGGCTAATGCTGGACTCACAGTCAGCATCCAGAACTCGGCGAACCACGACATTACCTACCATGCAGACGGCTCGATAACTATCAACCCAAAGAAGGACAAGCCTGCGCCCAATACCAATACCAGTACTGACGTTAACAACATGGATGGTTGCTGCATTGTTTTGTAACTGGTAATATCTTTTATATTTTTTATTCATAGCATATCTAAACGCTCAAAAAGTTGTAACCTTTATTTAAATAAAAAAAACACACATTTGAATCACTGCGTTTCTTCTCATGCTCGGAAGCGCCAACAGTCTTGTTTCCGGCAGCGAGTGAGACGGGTGGGTTGACAAAGGTGCGCGAGTACAATTTGAGCACCTCGTCGACAAGGATGATGGGCGCCGAGATCAGCAAAATGGCCCTCCACTCGATCCAGCCCAGGGGCACGACGCTGAAGACAGTGTTAAAGAAGGGGATGTAGAGAATGGCAAAGTGCAGGGCAAAGGAAAGCGCAACAGCGCCCAGAAGCGACGGGTTGCGCCACAGGGGCACCTCGAGCAGCGACGCGTTTTCAGACAGCGAATTAAGGGCGTTGAACATTTCAATGCTCACCAGGATGCTCAGCGAGATGGTGCTGGCGATGACAGCATGCTGGCCATTGAACACAGTGGCACAGTCGAGGTGGCCGGCGAAGAGACGCTCGCACTGGTGGAAGTTGCTCAGCTCGTGGAATGAAATGTTCGGGCCCAGTGGCGAGTAGATGAAGTGCCACGCGTAGCCAAAGACGGTCGCAGCGCCGACATAGGCGCCAATTACAAGGTAGCGGAAAAGCAGCCAGCCAGAGACGATGGGCTGGCGGGCGGACCGCGGCCTGTGCTGCATGATATGCGGGTCCGGCGGGTTGAAGCCCAGGGCCGTGGCCGGCAGACCGTCGGTAACCAGGTTGACCCACAGCAGCTGCACCGGGATCAGGGCCTCGGGCATGCCCAGAAGCACAGTCAGAAAAATCGACACGACCTCGCCAATGTTGGACGAAATCAAGTAGCGGATAAACTGCTTCGTGTTGTCGTAGATGGCGCGCCCCTCGGCGACGGCCATCTCGATGGTCGAAAAGTTGTCGTCAGCAAGCACCATGTCTGCCGCCAGCTTTGCAACGTCCGTGCCGCTGCCCATGGCAATACCAATGTCGGCCTTCTTCAGCGCTGGCGCGTCGTTGACGCCATCGCCGGTCATCGCGACGATGTGCCCAGCGGCCTGCAGCAGCGACACCAGCTGCAGCTTGTGCTGCGGCTCCGTGCGCGCGAACACACGCGCCCTCAGCACGCACTTGCGCTGCTCGGCGTCGCTCATCGCCGAGAACTCGGCGCCCGTCACGCACAGCGAGCTGGCGTCGTCGTTGGGGCCCAGCACGCCGATCGCGCGGCACACGCTCTCGGCCGTTGGCTTGGCGTCGCCGGTGATGACGATGACGCGGATGCCGGCTTCGGCGCAATGTGCGATTGACTGGCGCACCTCGGCCCGCGGCGGGTCGTGCATGCCGACCATCCCGGCAAAAACCAGCTGCGACTCGATGGCCTCGAAATCCGTGCCGTCGCTGGCCTTGATCTGCGCTGCCAGGCTGCCGGGCCCCGTGGCGGCAGCGCCCTCGCGGGTGGCGAGCGCCATCATGCGCAGCGCGTGCTCGGCGCCCAAGCGCCCGGCCGACGCCAAGACCTCCGAGCGGATCGACTCGGTCATCGGCACGACGCCGCCGCCGACCACGGCAAACGCGCAACGCGCAAGCACGTTCTCGGGCGCGCCCTTGACGAGGAGGCGGTCGCACTGGCGCTGTGAGTCATGCACCAGCACAGACATGGACTTGCGCTCGCGCGTAAACTCGAGCGTGCCAACGCGCGCAAAGCGATGCTGCACCCATTGGCAGCACGCCTGCACGCGGTCGGCCTTGGAAAGCTCGGCCAGCGTTGCGTTAAAGGCCGCATCAGAGGTGCCGACCTTCTCGACCAGCACACGCAGCGCTCCCTCGGTCGGCTCGCCGATGAGCTGATACACGTTCTTATCGCGGTTGTACAACACGTTTGCGTCATTGCACATGGCGGAGACGATGACCGAGTCGCGCAGCGCCTGCGTCGAGCCGGCCACCGCGCCCTTGTCTGCCGCCGCGTTGGTAATCGTAGTTCCCTGCGCGTCGACGACGTGTCCTGCCGGGCTAAAGTCAGTTCCGGTCACCTCGAGCTCACGCACAGCGCCCTGCGCGTCCAGAAGGATGATGCGCGATGCCGACATCTGGTTGGTCGTCAGCGTGCCTGTCTTGTCCGAGCAAATGATGCTAGTGCAGCCCAGGGTCTCGACCGACGGCAGCGAGCGCACAATGGCGTTCTTTTCAGCCATACGCCGGGTTCCCAGCGCCAGGCATGTCGTGATGATCACGGCCAGGCCCTCGGGGATGGCCGCCACGGCCAGGGCCACGGCAATCTTGAAGTAGTACACAGCGCCGCGCACCCACCCATGGTGCGACGCCTCGTTGAAGTGGCGCACGTTGATCGCCCACACCAGGATGCAGATTACGGTGATCACCTTGGCCAGCATGTCACCAAAGTCGTCGAGCTTCTGCTTGAGCGGGGTCTTCTGCGACACCTGGTCGGTGATCGACGAGTGGATGCCGCCGATCGCCGTCTTGGAGCCGGTTGCCGTCACGACGCACTGCGCGCGGCCCAGCGCGACCGACGTGCCAGCAAACACCATGTTAATCTGGTCCTGCACCACGGCACGCTCGCCCTTGGTTCCCTGCAGCGCGCTCGAGCTCTTGGTCACGCTGACCGACTCGCCCGTGAGCAGCGCCTGGTCGATGCGCAGCACCGACGACTCGACTGAGATTACGCGCGCGTCGGCCGGGATCTTATCGCCCACGCTGACCACAATGATATCGCCCGGAACGAGCTCAACAGCGTTGACCTTAGACACCACGCCGCCGTTGCGCACGACGCGGCACTCGTCTGGCGAGTACTCCTTCAGCGCGGCGATGGCATTCTCGGCGCTCGTCTCCTGTAGCACCCCAACCGTCGCGTTGGCCACCAGAATCAGCATAATCACGATGGGCTCGACGTACGCCGTGAGCTTGTCGTTTTCCTCCTCAAAGAACGCGAGCACCAGGGATATAAGTGCCGAAACTACTAGGATGACGACAAGCTGGTCCTTGAACTGCTCGAGAATCAGCTCCCACAGAGGCGTCGACTCTTCTTCGGGCAGTTCGTTGCGCCCGTGCTTTTCCTGCCGCTCAGCCACCTGCGAGTCGTTCAGCCCCTGTTCCTTTACGACATGGAGGCCTTCGAGCACCTCTTGTGTGCTCAAATTATAGGACTGGTCCATATTTTTACCTATTTAGCTTTGCCAGGCGTGCACTTTGTAGATTGAATTCAAAGTGAAAATAAAAGTTAATGAGCAGCCAAAATAAGAATGAAAACAGAATGGTGCGCCAGCAACGTATATAAAATTAAACAATAAAAAAGTGGAAAGGTAGAGAAAAAGAGTGCTGGGAAAAAATGACGCATATAAAGAAACCAACTGACGCTGTTGCTAGCAATTGAAATAGTAGTAGCAGTGAAGTGACAGTGGCAATGACAATGGCAGCGACAATACGCTGGTCGCCCACTCTTTGTTGGCTCATGCCTCATATCTCACGCTGCATCTGCATTTTTTTGGGTGCCAAGCACATAAAAAAAAGCACGTGTATGCGCGTGTTGCCAGCATTTTGTCGTTTCTTTTGGACTGTGGCCACTTTTAATCGCCTGCAACGGCTTTGGACACAGCTGCCGCTGTCAGCTTTCTTTTTTCTAGTTGTTTTTGCCCAATGAAATTCATCCAGCACGCAGGTAAGCGGTTCGCTGGTGAGGTGCGATTTAGTTTTATCTTTTGGCTAATTTGAGCGTCAGCCGCCGATTTCGATGGTTCTTAAATGCGCATAGTGCGGCTTGAACCGGTCCACAAACGAGCGGAGATCAAGAGCCTCGCCGCCATTGATGTCCAGTAACTCGAGCGAAGTGGCGCACAGTAACAGCTGGCCGATGCACATTTTTACTACTTCTGCGCGGCTGTTGAGCGCCAAAAACAAGACATTGACGCTGGTGATTCTTGTCTCCCAGGGGCTCAGTGCCTCGAGAGCGTGGTCACTCGGGTCGAGAGAAAAGCTGACTGCGGCCCAGCTGCGCTAAAGGCCAGCTCGTGGACTGCGATGCTTTCCAACTTGGGCATTTTGCAAATGAGCTGCCGCAACGTGGCGTATTCGATTCGCCCCAACAGCTGTAAGCTCTTGAGGTTGCTCCACTTGCATTGCCCGACATCTAGTGTGAACCCAGCTTCCGAGAACACGAGGTAGGATGAGTCCCTAAGCGTGATATTGCTGAACAGGTGCTTGGTCAGGCTGTAGAAGCTGTCTGTGTACTCGGGCTGTACATTGAGCATAATCACTTCCAGCTTGTCGATTGAGCAGATGCCAGATTTTATAAACACATTGGGCGGCACAACCGAGCTCTTCAAAAGAACACTTTTCATGTGCCTGGGGTACGTCGCTTCGAACGACAGCTCAGCATCTCAGAGTAATGCGATATGCTTAGATTCTCCAGCTTGGGGAACAGCACCGTGAATTTAGCCGCTTGACTGCTGCCGTTTTTTGGTTGGCTGAGCCTTGGTGCGCCCTCCTCGTACTCGAATCCCTCAAATATGTACTCAAACTGCATGTCCAGCTGTGTCAGGCTGGAAAAGTTGATGTGCCCTGGGTTGTTTGAATCGTTTTGCTGAAAATACTTCCACGAAAAATTCAACGGCACATCCTCCAATATGAGCGTCTGTAGCGACCTGGCGTGCACTTGTGGCAGCAGGCGCAGCGAACTCTGGTTAATTTTGACCTCCAAGTGCGTCAAATCCCTTGAAAACCTACTAATGTTTTGCGGCAAAGAGTACCTGCTGCTGAGATGCTTCAGGTTTGTGCTGTAGGCTCCAAACAATGTAGATTTGGCCGTTTTGCTCAGGTTTACAAGGTCGCCGTCAGAATCGAGAATCAGTCGTTTGACGTTGGGCATGTTCAAAACAATCGTGCTGACAAGCTCCTCCACGTAAATTTGCTTGCCTCCCTGCATTACTACCTTGTTCCCATATTCATTGTTGTCAATAATATCATCGGCATTGTCATCTTCATCGCCATCGCTCTCATTGTCCGTGTCACCGATGACCGAGTACAGGTCGAGTCTTAATGAGCTGACGCCCAGCCAGGAGCTTGCGTAAAACTGGAAAAGACTGTCTATCTGCTGAACAAACGGCACAATAAATTTTATCGCGTCTAAGCACACAGCCACTTCTCTGACATAGTGTGTCTTGTCGAGCGATGTAATCAGGTCGATGTTTGCTGAAAACGTGACGTTATTTGGATTCTCCTCGTGATTACTGTCGTATTTAACAATTCCCTCGACAAATGCGTTTCTGTATACAATGCCCGACGCTATGTTTCTCCACTCGTGGCAAACTGCTAGGAGGTAAAGTTTGTTTTTCCAGAGATATGATTTGTTCGAGTGTGTGCGGGCGGCTTCTTGGAGTATTTTTTCCGTCACAATTAATGGTAGGCGGGTGATATGCATAGCGATAAATAAATTTTGTACAAAAAAATAATAGTATGTGTGTTGAAATAAAAGAAATAAACAAAAAATGAATTAACTACAAGAAAAATATTAATAAGAATAAAGTTGGTATTATTTAAAAAAAAAAGTGAATTGTTTTGTTTTGCTGGCTGTTTTTTCACTATTCAGTTGTTAAAAGGGAAAAAGCAAAGCACGCATTTCCAAGCCTTTAACTACCATTTGACAAAGAAATAGTGTACACTTCTTTTTAAAAAAATATACATAAAGAATGGTGATGGTACAGTTGCAATATTTTTTGTGCGCCAAGCATTTTATTTATTTTATTTGATTATAAGCTAATCTACGGTAATTTATCTATTAACATGGCCATTCAAATAAAACAAAGTCTATTGGTGTATGGCCTAAACGAGAATCAGTCGCAGCCGCCGCCACCGCCGTCATGATGACCGCCATCATGGTGGCCCCCGCTATGATGGCCGTCGCTGTGATGTCCATGATCGTGGTGTCCGTAATGTCCAGAGCTATGGTGGCCGTGTCTAGATGATCCATTGTTGTTGTAATACGGCGTCATATGGTTGGTATCGTAGTAATGTGGCTTTGCGCTCCCTGGATTATAGCGCGCAGGGTTTTGCCGCCTGTTATGATCCGGCTGGCCTTGAAACACGAACCGAATAAATTAAGCAGCTTTCCCATGATTTAAATTGATATGTGAGAACCAAGCGACGTTTAAAAATACAGTAGTAAGAAAATAATAATCGTGGATAAAATAACTAAAATTAAACAAAAGAGTTGTGGAAAGCAGTTGATGTTAGAAAGGGATGCCATTTTATACGTGGAAGAACTGAACAAAAAACCAATTGCGAAGATGACATTGCAGCAACAATCCATAAATAAACAAGCCCTAAGCACGTGCCAGCTCCTTTTCAGGACATGCTACCACTGCACTCTTCTTTTGTTCTGCATGGAAGATCAGTGAAATTGGGCTTGATTTTTTGAATTGTTGCACGTGTTTAAACCTGTATTAATGTGAATTAATTATTATTGACGTGGCATGTACCTTTAGAATTGGTTCTAGCCACAAATAAAAGATGGTATTATTCGCCCCCATCGCCTCCACATCCTCCATCATTGCCACTGCCATAGTCGCCTCCTCCGCTGTCTCCAATACAGTGACGTCGCCTCCATAGCTGCTTATATCACCTCCAAATATACCTATACCGTGCCAAATTCCAGCACCATCGCTGTTCCCGCCAATGTCCTTATGACTACCATAAGTGGAATCTACAACGTGGGCGACGGCCACAGCACCGGCAGCACCAGCAGCGCCATACACACCGTAGACGTTGTTGTAAACTTGCGCCGGTGGCACAGTATCAAAGAGTGGTGACAAATGGCTCACTTGTTTGTGTGTAGGCTTTCTGTTTGGTGTCTGGCGCGTGTCCCCTTGCTGTGCTTTCCTGTCTTGTTTGCTTTTAAAGCAACCGCTTACTTTTTGAAGCAGAACTTGCATGATTTTAGGTATTATTGTACACAAATTATTTTCAATAGCTGATTAAAATATAAAAAATGAAGAGACAAAACATATCAATTTCTGTTTTTGAAAGGTCCACGGAACATGCACTTTTTATTGTGCGTAGTACCACAGCAATCAACAAGGCATTGTAATGCAATTGACTAAAAAAAGCGCACAATTTTTTGCCCATCTTGCTCCAACATCTTGTTTTTTTTGTTGTTGCATATCATTTTTATGGAAATTCGACTATCCAAGTTGTTTTTTCTTGGCACATATTAAGCCCGTGGTCATTTGTTTGTAAATTAAAATTAAAGAAAATCAAGGCACAGTGATCACATGTGCCATATACACCAAATAAAAATACCAGAAAAGATTGAAGGAAATTTTAACATTCAGCACCCACCGTCGCCTCCTCCTCCACCCCCTCCGTCACCGCCGCCTTCGCCTCCATCTCCACTGCCACCACCCCACCGCCACCATCACCTCTGCCGGACCCATGTTCTTGTGCCTGCACGGTTAATCCGGTTAGCGCGGTTAAAATCAAAAGGCGTGACCCCACTGAACACGCTCATTACGCCGCCACCGTACCACTGAGCCCCCTGATGACGTACACTGCCCCGCGTTTCCCGTTGGCGCAGCATAGCCGGGACTCAATCCCAATGGAGGCGCGTGGGTCTCTTGCACGTATATTGTCTGAAGAGTAGCTGGTGGCTCGGTTGGTGGAGGGTAGATGTCAGCTTTGGGCGTTGGATAAGGACATCTCCAGGCGGTGGATAGGGAATTTCCGGAGCTGGAGGATAACTGATGCCCTCTGGAAAGGGTAGGGGACAGCCACAGATGGGGGGAGGGAATTCTTTCTGAAGGAGGAGAGAAGGGATACCCCTCCATTATTTTCTGCTGGTACTCTTTATAAAAGGCCTCGTCCTCCTTGTCCTTTCTGTCTGCCGCCTGTTCGAGTAGCAGAAAAAAAAGACACAGGTCAGAATAGACAGAAAAATTAGGCCTGAGGCTATGGGCGCAGCGATGACAGCAGCACTGACTGCCATTGTTTAATATGTGCTGTAATTAAATAAGTACTTGAGTATCAATTGAAAAATAATAATGTAACAACAAATGTACAAGAAAAGAATGAAGCTCCTGTTTGCTGTCAACATTGTTTTAAGCGCCAATTATATGGACAAAGCACGCAAAAAGTTTTGCAAATGTAGGTGACATATATGTGTTCTCATGTCCCTCTTTTTTGTGTTTATTTGTTAATTTTTTTGCTGCAAGTGACTTTGACATGTTGCATCCAACATTATGTCTTTAAAAGAGAGATGAAATAAGGTAATTGAACATGGTTCCCTTTTCAACTAACCCATGGTGCTTTCTTTAAATAAAAAATCAAGCTTCCCCAATCACAATAGTGGCACATATCATATATGTGCAATTGTGTCTGTTTGTTTGCTTGGGTTGATCAGGACAAATACATGATCGATCAAGTGGGAATCAAGCATAGGCGGCAATTTAACGATCGATTTTTGGAAATTTCTCTTAAATTGTTTATCTACTTTTTTTGGTTCCTTGAACTGACCTCGTTTTTCCCTTTCTGTTTCTATACACACCTTTTTCTTTCTCAAACACACCAATTAATTCTCTTCCTTTTTTTTACAAATGAGTCAGGCAGTCAGATTCGGATCGGCATTTGTTGCTCGGTCAGCGGGAGCCAGCATGGCCAAAACAAGTGCAAGCAAGACTCTCAAGTTCCAGTAAGTATACTTTAATTGCATTTATTCATTATCTGTTTTGGTGAATTTCACAAACCAACCATATAATGCATGCTTGTTATGTCAACCTATCTGGCTAATTCGAATTAGCTTGTAAGAACTTTAATATTTTTTGATTTTAATAGGCCTCGGCATGTCATGGCGGTTTTCGGACAGCGCAGTATTGCTGGCAACAAGCAATCGATCTGGGCAGCAGGGTCTCTGACTCGCGGATTCCACAGCAGTCCGCAGAGACTCAACGAGGCAGCACCACCCACAGAGGCAATGGTAGCAGTGGCCAGCAGCAGACTCCGGGCAGCCAGCAACAACAGTCACAGCCACAGCTTCGGCAGAGCCCGCTGATACCGTGTCGACGATGCTGCAGGCGTCGATTGATCCAAGCATCGGCACGGAATCGATGATGCAGATCGGCGACCTGGCCAAGCACGGCCTGGACACGTACTTTCCGACGCGGCTAATGGAGTACACGCTGGAGTTTGCCCACGTCACTACGGGGTTGCCCTGGTGGGCGACGATCGCAGTGGTAGTCGTTGGTATTCGCGCAGCGGCATTCCCCCTGGCAGCATGGAGCCAGCGGCATATGGCCGGAGTCAATCGTGTAAAGCCCGAGTTCACTTTGCTTATGGATAAGCAGCGTGCGGCAGCGGCGTCTGGCGACATAATGAGCAGCGCGCGGTTGTCGCAGGAAATGAGCTCGTTCTACAAGAAGCGTGGGGTGTCGCCGTTCAAGGCCATGTGGGGCAACCTGGTGACGGTGCCCTTCATGATGGGTATGTTCTTTGGGCTCAAGGACATGGCGCTTCTGTCTTCTGTTACCCATATGAATACCGGCGGTCTGTGGTGGTTCACGGATTTGACGCTCCCCGACCCGACGTACATCCTGCCGGCGCTCTCGTGCATTGGCATGATGGGTGTCATGGAACTGCAATCCAAGATGAACTCGCCGACGGAGCAGTCGCGCAATATGAAGTACGGAATGAGAGCCGCCGGTGTACTTATGGCATACTTGACTTCAGGTATGCCTGCGGACGTGTTTGTCTTCTGGATCACCAACAATATTCTCTCGTATTTGCAGGTATCTGTGCTTCACAGCAAGAAGTTCCGCGAGAAAATAGGTATTGTGGATATTGAGAAGGTCAGGTACGCTAGAGAGCCTGAGTCCATGATGTCCAAGCTTGATCTCTCGGCTATCACTGGCAAGGCCAAGTCTAAAAAATTCGTCGTCAAGCGCAAGTGATTTATAAATTTTAAAAAAAATTATAAAGTACTTGGAAAAATATAAAATTGGTACAGTGTGTTTTTTTCCGTATATATTTATGTTGGATCAGAAGAATATTAATGGCTGTTGCTGAGAATTTGCCCCATTGCTGCTACCGCCGTTATTGTTATTGCTATTGCTGTTATTGCTGTTGCTGGTGATGTTGGGACCAGCCGAGGCGTTTGAGCTGGCCGACCGGTTCCGCACTCTATTCGCAAGCGACAACGGTGTTGTCGCCTGTGGCGGGGGCGGCGGCGGGGCGCGTCTACGTGTCCTGGCAGGCGGCGAGTTCGGCACTAATCCAATCCCCACACCACCCCCTCACCCTGATTTCTCTGCGGCTCCTCAGTTGGCCCTCCAAGCAACAAGGGCGCCACAGGCACAGCCGCCGGCTGTAGCGGCGGAGACGCCATCTGCATACGGCTGAAGAACGGATTACTGCTGGCACGACCATGCCTCGGAGGACCTGGCGGTACTGGTGGTGGACGCCGCATTACACCATTGAAGTTATTCAAATTGTATTGTGGCTGTGGCTGGCTGTGGCTGTGGCTGTGAGGGCGATATGGTATTGGCTGAGGATGACTCTGCTGGTCCTTCTCCACTTGTTTCGGCAGCAGTACCAGCGGCGGCAGGGCGTGGCGAAAGCGAGTGGTAGGAGGTGGAGGGTTTACAGCGCGATGTGATGTTGGCTATGGCGTCCAGCTCAGCTGCGTCGAGGGTCAGCGGAGCAAGGGCTGGAGCAGAAGTAGGCTGGATGGTATCGGAATTGGCTCAACCGGATCAATTGGACCAATCGCATCATCCAAACCAGTAGTAGGAGCAGCGGCCGATTCTTCGGGCTGCTCGGCAAGGGGCTCGAGCGGATCAGTGGCGGTAACATTCCGCTGCTGCTGCTGCTCACCCTCTTGCGCAGCCAAGCTCATACGTATTGCTTCCTGTATCAAAAACTCCTCCAAGTCAGTCTGACCCGCCGCGCGCATAGCCGACGCATAAGCAGCGTACTCGGGCGCCACTGCCACCAACCTTCTTTGCCTACTGTCACTGCCACTGTCACTGCTAGCAGCAGCCTGTGATCTCCCAGCCCTGGCAGCCCTGGCACTGGCTCTCCTTGTAGCCGCAGCCACCAGGGCCATATTCTCCGCCGACCTCTCCTGCTCCCTCCGCTTCGCCTCCATCTCTGCGCCCAGTTCCTTCACCAACCCAGGCCTGATATCGTCGCTCATAACTATAAGCGGCTCACCAGTATTATTGTTGGCATTCCTTCCCCCGGAAAAACTGTGCGCCCTGCCACGCGAATCATCCACAAAGCCACCTCCGGCCAGTGACGCCGTCACTAATCCTCTGACACCCACAGGCGCATAATATATAATGCCTAGATTCACCTCCACGCAGTAAGGGCAGTGCGTTGGCGTAATCAGACCATCATCGAGCTTACGCTTAATCTGCACAAAGCACTCTGTGCACAGTGGCTTGTGGCAGCACCGGGTGTAGTTGATGTTCTGCGGGTAGTACAGGAAGCAGATCGGGCATTCGACATGCCGGCGCAAAAGTTTCTGCAGGTCCGCTGATGGCTGCTGTTGCTGCTGGTCGGAAAATGACCGCTCGTGGTTGTGCAGGTGCTGGTGGGTTGGTGCTGGCGACAGTGATGGCGACGAGTGCTTGGGAAATGCAAGCGGCGACTGTGGGTCAGAGTTGGCAGCGGCAGCGGCGGCGGATGATGGTGACCGTTGGTGGGAGTTTTTGAGTCGCTGGAAAAACCCACTGCCTACACGCGCATGGCCGTTGCGTCTGCCCGGCGACGCAGCCGAGCCTTCAGCCAAGGATGCTGTGGAGCACCCCGGCTATGCGCACTGTTCTCGTACTCGTCCACTAAGTTTCTCAAAGCAAAAAAATCAAAAGGAAAATACAAGATATGAGAATAAACCATAGTTTTTTAACTGATAAGCATGGCCACTGGTATAACGCCATTATTTTTTTTACTGGATCCTTACTACTTTGTTTCTGCTGCTGCTCGTGCTGCGCAAGCATCATGTTATAGCTCCACCACCCATCGTCGTTTTTCTTTGTCTGATCTGCCGAACCAGCAGCAACCGCAGCCGCAATCGCAACCGCAGCATCATCACCATCAGCATCACCATCAGCATTGGCATTGGCATTGGCATCAGCATTGTTGTCCTCCAAAGTAGGTTAGCGTTTGTGCTGGTGGATGCCACCTCGGGGTCAGGGTCATCGGCACCGGCGTAAAAGGGAGCCATCTGCCGAATTAGGATCAGGCGCTGGACAACTTTGGCGTCAAAATCCTGGGCGTCTTCGGGGTATATGCCGTTGGGAACTAGACTACCACCGTCGCAGACCGTGGCATTGCTGGTGCGGTGCTGCTGTTGAGTTTCCCTGGCGCATTACCCATGGTTCTTTTTAAATAAAAGTGTGTAGAAAAAAAATAAAAAACAGTAGTAAAAATTAGTTATTGAATAAATAAAAAAACAAAAATGAAAGTGTGAAAGTGAAGAATGAGAGTGTGAAGAAATATAATGAGGGCTTTTGCAATGAAAGTGACTAAAAAAATATTTCTCACACAACAAAAGTCAACTGATGTCATTCCCTTTTTCCAATAAAAATAATAAGAAAACGTGGGGGAGGGGAGAGAAAGTATAGAATCTAGAAAATCAGTGGACTGGACTCATTTCATTTCCATTTATTATAAATTGCGTATAGTTCGGATGACAGAGAGAAAGCCCGCGAGCTACAGCCCAATCGTCATCCCTCCCCTCCCAGTATCCGTCAACTGCCTGCCAAAACAATAAATGCTATGAGAAAATAATAAAAGCGCATATAAACACAATTTTCACATTCCTTTTTAATTGAATTTTCACACATCTCATCTCTCTTTTTTTCCTTTTCTTTTTTGTTTTTCATTTATAAATTCCACTCGTTCTATCTCAAAAAGAAAAAAACTTGACTTGCACATAATGGACGACGGTGAATACGACCCCCTTGCGGACTTCCTTGCAACCGAGCGTGCGGCGCTCGGCGAAGATGCTGACATGTTCCAAGCAGACATGACGAGCAGCAGCAGCCCAGCACCCGCAGCAGGGATAGGGCATCGGGCGACAACGACATGGATGTCGATACATTCATGGCCAGCAGCAGCAGCTTTGTCGCCGACACTGCAATGAGCCCGAGCCTCAACCAGCGCCAGCGCCAGTGCCAGTGCCAGCCCCGTGCGCAATTCAGCCCCAGCGTGCAATTCACAGCAATGGACATCCAGTCTCCCTCAGGCTCACCCTCCCACCAGCAGAAACAAACTGGGTTCCAGCAGGAGTGGCAGTCGCGTCAGCGCGAAATCATCTCGGAGCGTGACCGCGACTCAGAGACAAAACACCAGCAACTGGTGCGCGAGGCGCAGGAGTCCGTGGATAAGTTCTACGCTGAGTACAATGAGAAGAAGGAGCGCGCGATCGCCCAGAACAGGGCGGCCAGGAGGTTGAGATGCAGGCTGCGCTGAAGGGCAACCTGTGGGAGCGTGTGCTTAAGCAGATTGACCTGGCCACAAAGTCTGCGGCCGCCGACCAGCGTGGGGCGCTGTCGCCGCTGCCGGCTGCCAGTGCCAGTGCCTCTGCCTTTCTGGCGACACTGCTCGGATGCGTGAGCTGCTGCAGGACCTTAAGAAGGACAAGGACGCGCCGGGCGTCAAGTCAAAGAAGCCCATCGCCGCCTGATTTTCATTTTGGCTTTTGGCTTTTTAGCTCTTTCATAAATATATTCTGACATTATCCCTCCACACACACGCTTAGACTCCATCCAACTTAGAGCAGGCTAAGAATGCGGTGGTAGTCTTCGACCACCGACTCGAAAGAGTCATTGACGCGTTTCTTGCGCTCCTCAGCATCCATGCCAGCCATCGCATCCGTGTTCTGCGCGTAAATCCTCCGCTTGACGAACAGCCTGAACCGGCGGTACGCCTCTGCGTCAGTCTTGTCGAGCCGCTTCAGCGCGCCGATCTCCAGCACCGCGTCATCTGCCTGGGGCTAAGCTTAAGCGCGCAACAAGCTCTGCCACCTGCACCCTGGTCCTCGGCACAGTCCAGTCCATCTGCGCACCCTGGTCCAGAAGAAAGCGCATATCGTTGCGGTCACGCATGTCGTCAAAGGCCTCGCTGGGATCCTCAACGGCCAATTCGACGTACTCCGGCGATGCGCGCACACACGCGTGCACAAAGCGGTACAGCTCTGACCCGTGGCCCTGCGCCTGGAACGGCGGCAGCACCAGAAACTGCGAGATCCGCGGCCGCTTCTGCTCCGGCCAATGGAAGAACCCATACAATGTGCAGTACCCGACCGCCGCGTAGTTCGGCTCACCATTGACCACCGCCCGCTCAAACGCCACGAATACCCGCCACCGCTCATCGCGTCATCAATGAACTGTGCGCCCTCGATATACAGCAGGCACAAGGTCTGCAGCCGCCGGTGGTACTCCCGGAACGCATCGTCGCGGAGGTCGCCCTCCCACACCTCATACGCTACGCCCTCCCTCTCATACCATGCACCTTGCGCCCAAATGGCCGGAACCCTGCCGTGTCTCGCGCCACCTGCGCAGCAAACTCCTCCTTGCTACCGCAGAGCGCGTTTTCGCTGAGCACTGCGCGTAGGGGCGTTATGACGTCGTCGGCCTTGAGCGACACTGCCATTGACGTCTCCATGTCTGTGATGCACCTGCCGTGATCCGCCCAGAGAAAAGTTGCTAGGGAGCCGCTGGCGTAGCAGAGATTGATGCGCAGATTCTTGTACCCGAATACCCGCTCGTGCTCACCGTAGATCGCGTACGTGAATGCTGGGTGGAACTGGATGACGTCGGCACCTGCGTCCTCTGACTCCGAGTCGCACTCGGGCTCGGACCCGGACTCGGGCTCGGCAGAGGGGTCGTGTCTAGCGTCTTGAGCACTGCATCGGCTGTATCTGCGCTAACTAAATTAAATGAAAATTAAATAATTTGTTTTTTAATGTTTTGCGGAATTTCGGTTTAAATGCTCTTTTTGCAACAGAAAAAAGGGGCTTCTTTGCTTACTTAGTCGAATGTATACTGCCGCGTTGGTGTCTGCTGTCCATTGCGAGGCCGTCGCTGCCAAAGAACCATCCATATTAAAGAGAAAAGGTGTGGTGTAATGTAATGTAGGGGTTGGATTTTGAATTTTGGATTTTGGATTTTGGAGGGAAAAAAGAAATGTAAAAATAAAGTAAATGCGAATCGAAGCGATAATAAAATGCAATAAAGAAAACACGAGACAAACGCGTCACGTAAAATAAAAATGATTTTTTTAAACCTCTTTCCCCAAAAACCCCATCCATCCAAGAGTTTTTTTGCCTGAATCTAATCACAGAATCAACGCAACGATATCCCTAGGCGAAACCCCATCGTAATCGCAAATATCCAGCGACCCACCCTGCCTTCTTAAAAACGCCACAGCGCGGCGATCCCTCGCCATCAATGCCTCATGCAATGCGACGCCGCCGAATCTCGACCGATGATCGACGTTTGCTCCCAAATCCAGAAGCACCGCAGCCAGCTCCAATCCGGCCTCACCCTGAGCCGCACGCATAAACGCCGTGAACCCGCCGACATCCACTTGATCCACGTCCACGCCCCACATGCTCAGCAACCGTAGACACTCGGCGTAATCCGCCACATGATTTTTCTCTGAGTGGTGGTGGTGGTGATGTGCTTTCTTGTAGTATTGCGCCCCGGCTATGACCACTTCCATCGCGGGCATCTGCAGCGGAGTCTCGCGCATGTCCTGATATGATAGTGTGGATAACCGCAGGCTTCGCTGCAAGGAGTGTCCGTGTGCCAGGTAAATGGACGTTTGCGCAGCGTGGGCGGCTAGGAGGACTGTGGACAGCCGCGAATCAGTGGCTGTGCGAGTGCGCTGAACTCGTGGTTGTGGAACGTCCATTTTGAGATCCATTCGCGCAAAACCTGCTGATCTAATCCAGAAAGCACCGAATCGCTGTTGATTAATGATCCAACGTGACTACTACTGTCAGTACCAATGTCATTGTTGTTGTTATCCATGGTGATATGTAAAAAAATGTTGGTATTGTTCCTTTGATTTTTTTGTGTGTGAAGCTTAGAAGTAAAAGAAAAATGTTATTGTCAAGGAAGAAAAAAAATCTGTACATGTTGGTTTGGGAATAAAGAGTTAAGAGTTAATGAAAAATAAATGTTACTAGTGGGGTGGATATTGCACTTATATACCTTTGAGAGAAAAAATATTCGGATCGAGGAAAGGGAAAATCCCAACCCCACCCACCGATCACTATTTTTATTCTTTTCGTCCATGTTTACACTGAAGCTGAAGCCCCTCTCCTTTATTTTATTATTGTACATTGTACATTGTACATTTTGCATTTTGAATTTAGCAAATAAGACAATGAAAGATAAAAATAAATAGTCAATGAATAAATAAATAATGGGGTAAAAAAATTGTATGCGGATGATCGATACTACCACAGTATAATTGCATTAACAAATTTGAAATAAATTTGAGGCGCAGTCAAAACATTAGCATAATACAATTACTTGTGAATTAAATAATTACAGCTAATGTATCTGTTTATATCTCCATATTCTGCCTTTTGTCACTGGATGAGGCTTTTTTTAATTATTAATTGTTTGTTTTTTATAAACAATGTACTTTTACTCTATTCTTTTTTCTTTCAAAAAACGTTTTTACGAATGTAATGTAATGGATTGTAAAGTCATTTCAAGTGTTTTGATATTCTGATCGACAAAAGGTATTGTGCATTATCTTGTGCTAAACAATTTATTAAGAACCACAGACTTGCTTTTCATTCTGTCCCTCAAAATCCATCTGTGTCTTCTAGTTGAATAATCGAAACCCACTTTGTTGTTGTTTTTATTTCAAACATTGCATATTGTTTTTTAAATATTTGTTTAAAAAATATCTTGTTGTTTCCTCCTCTCATTGCTCATTACATATTCCCTACTCTCCCCTCCTCTCTCCTCTTTTTCAATTCAATTTGTTTTCAATTCGCTTTCGATCAACTGCATGCTTTTGAAAAATAATGAAAATTGATTTACTGAGTGTTCTTTCTTTCTATTTTTTGCAGAGCACTTGATTTCCATTAGCATTGCCATCAAGTAATAAGCATGTGTGGCGGAACTACGAAAAATAAATTTAAAAAAAGCTGGGGGAAAAAAAGGTGAGCCTCATTAAAAGCAGAATTTGCTCATTTTCTCATTTAATCAATCTGATTGGATACATGGAATATGCGGATGTCCGCATTCTTGATCAAGTAAAATGGAATATCACTAAATTTTTTCTGTTCCTAATCGGTTACAATTCAAGTTCCAGATCAACTAAACCCGATAAAAAAAATACAAGGTAGTCCTTTTTTGGGTTGCGTTGACTTTTCTCGCCTTTCGCTTTTTCACTTTTTTAAATTTCATTCCTGCTATTCTTTTCCTTTTCTACTTTCCACCTTTTTTTTTGCTCTCGCATTTTGTACACAAACTGTAAGGTACTTTTTTCATTATGCCGGAAGACACACCCTACCTAGTCAGACAGCTCTGTCAGCCAGCCAGTCAGTCACACACCCTACTGTCAGTTATTCCAAAATGCGAATTCACGACTTTTTTGTTTTCCGCGTGAGCGTAAAGTCACGCTCTCGTTTTTAAATAACAATTAATTGGGTCAATGTGAAAAGTAAAGTGAGGCGAAGCGAATTTACACAATGCAGGCGAGACTTTACAAAAGCCAATGCACAGCGCAGCTACTCTCCTTCTTATTTCTCCTCTTTCTTTCTCTTCTGTCTCGGCATCTTAAAGAGAACAACCCATTAACCACATTGTATTTTTATATTATTTACCTTTACATGGAACTATCAACCTACTTAGCACCCGCCGCGCCACTGCTGGTTCTGCATCTGCTGCTCCAGCTGCTGCCACCACTATCATTATCCACAGACCGCGAAATGGGCCGCCTATTCGGACTCGACTGGTTCAGACATCGCGCGGCTCCCTGCACCTATACTGCTTTGGGGCGCTCGCCAGCATAACCGCCTACTACCTCATCTCTGACCACTTGATCGACAAAAAGCGGCGACAAATCATAGCCGAAAGGAAAACGCAAAAGAAAGGCCTTTACGAATCGCTCATGATCGGCGGGCGCTTCGTCAACCCCTTTGAGACATGGCGCGATAAGACGCTCTGGGATTTTGTCCGGTGGATAGCCACGCGCAGTACCGGTAACGGGCTCCCAAATGACCGCCAGATCCTCGATACAGAGCTGCCCCTGGCCATTCCGCACTTTGCCCTTCTCAATGCATTGTCCGCACCCACAGCCGGCAACACCAGAATCTGTCTGCGGCCCCACTCCCTGTTGAGTACTCGGACTGCCCTGCGGTCGATAGTGTTGATGGGGACAAGTCACTGACGGTGACGTGGCTCGGCCAGTCCACTTGTTTTTGCAGATGCAGGGGCTGAATATCCTGACAGATCCGATCTTCAAACGCCGCACGGTATACTCCTGGCTTGGACCTGAGCGCCTCCGCCCAGTCCCCTGCCAGCTCTCCGACCTCCCACACCCCGATATTGTCCTTGTCTCCCACAACACTTCGACCACCTGGACATCGACGTTGTCCGCGCACTGGCCAATTCTGTCACCTGGTATGTACCCACAGGCCTCGCCTCGTGGTTCTCAGGCCTCGGTGTCACATCCGTGGTTGAATTGGACTGGTGGGCGGAAGATACCGTGACTGTACGCAACCGGACTACATTATCGCAGCCACCCCGACGCAGCACTGGAGCGGACGCAATGGTGCGGACAGCAACAAATCACTCTGGTCCAGCTTCCTCGTCAAAACCTCATCGGCCTCTATATTCCACTGCGGAGACACCGGATACTGTCCTGTGTTCGACCAGGTTGGCGCAAAATACGGCCCAATGTCACTGGCCATTTTGCCCATTGGAAGCTATGAGCCTAGGTGGTATATGTGCCACCAGCATACGAACCCTGAGGACGCCGTGTTGATCCATAGGGATTTGCGCGCAAAGGCGTCGGTTGGCGTACATTGGGGCACGTTTATGATGAGTGATGAGCACTATTTACAGCCACCGAGGGATTTAGAAATTGCTGCGAAGAAGTATGGATTGGGGCTGGAGGAGTTTATTGCGCCGCAGTTTGGAAAAACATATGTTTATGATTTATAGACTGAAAATGTGTATTTTATTTAAAATAATAGAATGTCGTTTAATAGAATGTCATTGTTTTATACGATTTAATCGCCAGCCTAGAACGGGCGGGGAAAAATATAGAAATTTAAAAATATTGGTTCATCTGTATGTCAGTAAGGTAATGGCAAGTAGTCACGTTCTAGGTGCAGGCGCAAAAATAAGGGCAGCAATTGGATGGGGGTGTATTTGAATTTCCTTTATTATAACGGTGGTATATTTATCATTTTTCAAATATTTTGACTTTATTTTTTGTTTCCCTTCATGCATTTCGCCCTTCAATTCCACACCGCAACTCGAAATTCCACACCTTTAACCACATCATGATAATAGCAGTGTTTGGCGGTCTCGGCAAAGTCTGCAAAGAGTTTCTCCTTCAAGCCCTAGCCCACGAGCATACACTGCACTGGTTTCTCCAAGAAACCGACTCGCTCCCAGACCTACCAGCCCTGCCCATTCTCAAAATAATCTGCGGCTCACCCAACAACATCCTGCATTACCAGGAGGCCATCCAGGGCACTGACGCTGTGCTCGTGGCCTTTGACCCGCACAATACTGAGCCAACGCATGGGTGTACGAGCAAAAAATGGTGCAGCAAGCTATGCATCGCGAGAACGTCCGGCGCCTTATTGTTGTGACGTGTCATGGGTCTGGGGACTCTAGAAGGCAGATGGATTGGACAACGTGGATGTATATGAATTTGAATCAGATCAAGTACTTGGCTGGCGCGCTTGATCGGTGTTGGTCGATTTTGGCGCAGTACACAGCGCAGGAGCATGTGGTGATGCGGGGGAGATTCCGGCGGACGTGTTGGGAGGCAGTGCGCATGGGCAGGAGGAGCAAGAGGGACGCGAGCACAGAGGCGCAAGGCACGTTGGAGTGGACTATTTTGAGACCAGGCTTGTTCGTAGAGGGCATTGCGACAGGAACGTATTTGGCCAGTTCGGAGGATGTTTTTGGCGGATATGTGTCACCTGCAGACGTAGCCAACTGCGCACTGAAGGCCTTGGAGGATGGCATGGATAAGGGCAAATGTTTCTCTGTGGCATACTCATCCCGAGTGGCATAGACGGAGGAAATAAGTGTGTGGATGTCATTTTTGTCAATGATATTTGTTTTACTTTATATTCAGTTTATTTTTTATCTATTCCTTTGTTTTATAAACTAAACCCTATTACGCTATTTTTCATTTTTGACTGACTTGGGAATCTATCTTTAAGCATTTGGACCGTAATAACTTTGACATTGGCCGTGTTGCCCTCTATATGTGCGGACAAGTGGCTATTGTCGCACAGTATGAGCACCCAGCTTTTGTTTCTTAAAATGTGAAGCCTGTGGCCTTCTAGCTATTCATAGAAGAACTTTTGCCAATATTTGATCCAGCAAAAAACCCGTCGTTTTTTTATCACTTGCATTCAGCTCAAAGTGCTTGCCCGCTTCAGTTTTGTTTTCAACGGTAATGGTGATCTTGTTTGGCACGTCTGAAGCTTCTATAGCAATAAGAAGGGGTATGTGTTAATAATAAACAAATAGGTATAGGAAAAAAGAAACAAAACAGAAAAATAAATCAAAAAACAGCCGCAGCAGCAGTAGTGGCATAGATTAGTAAATCATGAATTTATTCATCCTTTGTATTCTTATTTCTTTTGATTTATTAGAAATTGTTGATTTTTTGCGTACCAGGAAAGTGGGTGCTGACTGGGGCCTCATTTTAATGAAATCCATGTGTTTAGTTAAAAATAAAACTGGTCTCGACGTACCATTTCAAATAAAATAAACAAACATGTTAATGATACTTGGTTGCATTCATGCAAGTCAATTGTTTACCAAATTAATGCATATAAATATATATTGGTGTTTTTGTAGTGTGCTGGAGCACTAGGCGACTAGTTTTATATGTAGAAAACCTGTTTTTATAATGGTTTTATTACTGTGGAATCAAAAGTAGAACTAGGGTGGCCTCGACATATATGTTTTTTATTTGTCTCTGCTTTGCACATTAGCTTTAATATTAACGAGTGAGTTGAATAACTAGACTGAATTTATATTCCGTAAAAACTAAAAGAAGACAAGCGGAGAACTAATAAATGTTGTTGTTTTGCTCTTTTTAATGAGTCTTAGTGCTCACAAAGAAAAGGGCAACTGATGGGCATTAGGCTACAAAGGAAATCCGTTCCCAACAACATATTCATAATTATAAATTATCTTTCTATAATGAGCACTCTTTCCTTCTTTAATTGCCCATTATTTATACGCGTTGGACAAAAATGGCCAGCACAACATTTGTCGGCCTTTATAAATATAATTTAATGGTGTCAGCAATCTACAACTTAATATACCGTGTATTCACCTAATTTACACGAGATTTTGTGGACATGGCCTTAACAAGCGCATATTTGAATGGCGCACAACAAGCGTATCTGTTGAAATATAGGAACGTTTTATGAACGTGTAGATAAATATATGATATAAAGTATATTTAATAAATAAGTGCTATGCATGTGAAAGGTAAAGAGGAGGGCATATTACTTTAGTCATTGTGTGACTTATTGTTTGTGTGACTAAACAGCCAAGACTGTTAATCAGTTAATCACCATTAACCAATAGTATCTTTTATTTAACTGGAATACAATTTACTAATCTGTTTTGAGGGAGCGCTGTATTGTTGCCATCAATGATAATTAAATAAATAAACTGCAATGTAATGGACGTCAACAATGATTTTGGGGTTTAATAACCGCTACAGTTTACTTATACTTCATTGTTATTAAACTAATAAATATTATAACGATTTCTGTAATTCATATTGTGAATTGTATTGGACAATGATTTATTTTTTACAAATACAGAACACCATGTAAAGCACGTAACAACCAATAATTAGATTTATTTAATTATTTAATGAGGTCTTTTGGTTTGTCTTCTCATGGCATTGTTTTATTTTGTTGTTATAAAATTTAGCAAAAACAAATAAACCAACAAATCTGGATATTGACTACATATTTAAATTTATATATTAAAAGAGTGTGCATTGCATGGGCTTTAAAGCAATTGAATTTGTGGGCAATTATTGAGAAAGAGGGAGGCTTATGATTAAACAATTAAATAAAAATACAAAAAACTCGTTCCTATTTTTGTTACAGCATAGTGTAATAATTGCTCTATCAAAGTAAGCATTGTAAAAATATAAAAATAAACTCGCAGACCGAAACAATTATATAATAAACATAATTAAACCTCACTTTCCACTTTCTTGAACGATTTAGAAATATTTATACTTTTCAGTCATATATTATTACTTATCAATTTATCTTTATACTCATGATTAATCCGCTCTGTCTGGTCTTGTGGTCGTACTTTTTGTTATTTTTAGCACCATTGCTAGCCTGGTTACTGCCAGATAAAGGCTATACCCAACGCTACGCATCACCCTTATCTGATTTAACCCATCAGGAGAGAGCTACAAGAAAGACATTTTGTGGACTGACTTATGATTATTTTAACCTTACAAATATTACGGCCGCCCAGGGATTAAAAACTGCTGATTGCTATACATGCATTAATGTTACAGCACTATAGGTCCAAACAAGTATGCGTACGTGCTTGCTGTTGATCGTGGCAACAGAGGTTTGGATTTAAGCGTGGAGACTTTTAGTACATTTTTTCTTCCCTCTCCATCCATGGCCAGGCCAAATTGAAGCCATTGATGCCAAATATTGCGATACATTTGGTGGAGGACCAAACCCAGAGCCATTAAATAATGGTTTTCAGTATACCTATTAAACAAGTGAATATAAAACCTGTAATTGCATTGGATTATGTTGCTGCTTTAGATTTAATTTTATTATTATATATTGATTTTTAATTTATTAGTTATTAATAATTAAGCACCAACAATTTTATAAAGCAATGAGCGCACATTTTCAAATGTCAGCTGTTGTGACATTGTCTGAAAGGCCCAAATATTATTTTTATAATCCTTTTTATTTCTTTGAGCTTTTTATATTTGTCCACGTTGGCCTAATTATTTTTATAGCTAATGGGAGCGGGCACCTATTGTTTTTGCAGGAGGCGTTTTCTCTTCAAACTATTTTATTTTTCGTTTATTTTTTGTGTACTATAAATGGCGTTCAGAATTGAAAACAATAAATTGTTTTTACAGCAAGTAGATGAGGGTCTCTCTGTTTTGTACTTTTACAATAGTAAAGACGGCGGAGCCACATCAACCTCCGTGTTTCGCAACGCTTCCATCAGTCTCATTCGCAATGCCAAACGCTATACATCTTGCTGGAGGCAGTTTACGTTTGACAGCAGCAATATTACCGTACCATTCACTACTAATGGAGTCAGCGTAAGCACGGGGATATTGTTTTATTTTTATGGAATTTGCGTTGGCTACATGACCGAATTTGACTGGCCCAATCTGGACTCGTGCTAAAGGATTTGCCAGAGTACCTCAACAAGGCAGTGGCAGCTTTTTCAAAAGATAAATGGTCGCTTATGCTGCCAGATCTGCTGCATGGTATTTTGGCCAGCAAGTTTTCCTTTGTGACTTGTGCAATGCCTGCGCGCGTGTTGAAGCCCCTTCCCCAATTGCCACTGACTAATACCACTGTGTCTCCACAAAACATTAAGGCTTTGCCTATACAGACTAAAATACCGCGACACCACAAACTGCAACTGCTGCATCACCTCAAGTGTCATCCGACTGCTGCGTAATATTATAACTTTTATTAGTTTTGGAATTATATTGTAATATCAAATGTGTAATATGCAAAATATAAGCAATTAAAATAAAACAATATATAAAAATCAAACACAGCTCAAAATTCGATATTGCATAGAGCATTAAGAATAAGTTATATTTTTAAATTACCCTTCTGTATATAAAGCTATGTAAAATTATTTTTAAGCAAACTACTTACGTGTTCCTCTATGTTGGTAACCGTACCAATTGAAATATTATACAATATTATATTTAAACTACAGTTATAATATTCAAATTATTGGACAATGGTTAGCAGCAAATTGTATCGCTGGTAAAAATTGGTGCTTTTGTGACCAGCTCAAACTGTATTTGCTTCAATGTTGTGACTTTTGCGTATGCACGCTCATGCACACATACTACAAGGGAAAGTATATGTGTCTTATTCTACTCTACCTAACTCGATTCTCTGTCGTCACGTCGGAATTCGGTCACTAGGCATGTGGATAAACAGCGGCCTTCTTGCCCTCAATCTTAACATCCTCCTTCATATTATCTGGGTGCGCAATATACAACAGCACTGGTTATATACACATATATAAGCTGCAGCCACATCAATTTATTTGATTACTGGTAATTTATTTTTCAACCATTACTTCTGCAATCATTTCCTTGGTAAATCACTTATTTTGCCTCTATTACCGTTGCGCTTTTTGATAACGGCCCCTTTCTAGCTGGACACCAAACCAGCCACTGATATTTTAAAGTCTCTCCTATTGATGGTTTTGTTTTTAATGCTGATGTTGACTGTATATGGCGTTTAATTAGCAGACCCAGTGAAAGCAAATTTAAACACCTAAATCAATGAGTATTTGCAAGAACAAACTTGCTTAACCCGTGAAATCTGATGTTCAATTTAAATCAAAATCACGCATACTTTTTCTCTCTCTTTCTCTTTTGTTTGCGTTTTGCCAAGATTCTTTGTATTTAAAAATAAATGACAATGCCTTGGCAATTGGATTAAAGTAAATATATTTGATTTAATGACCCTTTTAAGCGCACTCGGAGGGAGTAAAAACAAAAACCTTTCAAAAAAAATATTTTTTGTTTTTATTATCAGTGTATTGTAATTATCCTTTTAATAATAATTTGGATGCTGCGCGCTCTTAAAATGTAACATTGGCACTTGTTTGTATATTGTCAAACCTACTGTTTACCTTTTTATATTATTTTATATTAATATGTTTCCTAATAACAACCTTCCGCTCATTGTTGTTGAAAACATACTGCGTTACGCCTTGGCCACCATTGGAAGTCGCTCTATCAAAAATTGGAAGCAAAAACTACAGCTACTTGGTATCTGCCGTGGATGGAGGTATGTTGGTATGGGGCTGGTTTACAGCGACGTTTATTTTCAGAGTCCAGCAATGGGTCCTGCATTTTCCAAGGGCAAAGGCGCAGTAAGCAATGCTGAAACCAAAATGCTTCAGTTTAATATTAGTCTTACGGACACCATTGGGGCAACGCACTACATCAAAAACATGCACGTTGGCATTGCACGGTTTTCAGACTTTTGCATGCTGTACAAGATTTTACTTCTTATGCATAAAAAGAACCCACAGTACTGGGAGGGTATCACAACTCTCACAATGGATTTAAGAATGACAGAAAAACCACACAATGGTGTCATTGATAGCAGCTTGCAATCCAGCGCACAAGCACAACATACTATACCTATAGTCACTTTTATAAAAAATAATATGTTTAAGGTAGCAAAAGTGACTTTTAGTGGCAGTTACAAAAACGAAACAGTAAAATTGTTTTACAACTTGTTGATTGATCAGTTATCGAACCAACTCAAACATATTACAAATACTGCACACACGTCTTTAAATGCCCCAAAGCTCTCGGATAATTTGACGCACCTAATAATTTCACTTGATAAAAGCTCAACTCAGATATTACCCAGAATCTGTGCCCAAAAACTTAAGCAACTAATGTTGTACGATACTCCTCATTCTTTCTCATGGAAGCACTTTCAAAACGAATCATCTCCTGGTGATATCTACTTTAATAATTTAAAAGAGTTGGAGATTCGGTTTTATTTGGGGGATAGTTACAACAAAGCAGATGTTTTACCGGACAGTTGGAGATACAAGTCAAACAGCGGAGACAAATACAAGGTATATTTCCCCAGTCTCAAAAAATTAAACATTACCCATAGGCCACCAGATACTGACATATCATTTGCTGACAACTATTCCGAGCACATTAATCAATTAAAAATTACCGATATGTTTTTAGCCGAGAAATCATTTGATAATTCCAATATCAAATCTGTTGGGAACATGGTGGTGAGTTACTATATGCTATCTAAGTACACGGAAGATGAGTTTTACCGTGCTGCAAACTATGTGTTTGGCCAAATTAATATTACTAACCGCGCTTCCCTTCACTTATCATGCGAAGACCAGATTTTAAATTTAAATTTGATTAGTTGGCCAAACTTGAACTATTTGAAACTAGGAATAATTGATTATAACACAATTATACATCTGTTGCCTCTTCTTCCGGGTCTCAAAGACTTTAGTATTGCCGAGCTCACATGCAATACACACAATGTATATGAAAGTAACAATGTGGTTAAACCCTTGAAGACAGGATTAAAAAATATGTTTATAGGAAGAAATAGAATCGCTTATGCAGAAAATATCATATTGTGTATCAAGAAATTAATGGTGCAAGTGAAGTCGCTGCGTAAATTTGGCATGTATGCACCAGCAATTGAGATGCTAGAGTTTGTCAATGGCAATAGTAAAAAGTACCCTCACTTGAAAAGTATTGTGTTTTATAACAAGCTGAAAATACCGAAATCTGACGAAAAAATAAGTTTCATGTAAAATAAATTCATTGTTTTATTTTGGCTAATAAAAACTGAAAATTGTAATTTCATTAAAATCAACATTTACTAATTTCCCATGTTTTGCTTCCCTTTAAATAAAAAATCTAGATAGTCATATAATACCATACGTAATATAACTTCAGTTTATTAACTGTTGCGTTTTTTGAGTGCCTGGATCCTCGCGTGCCCTACAAAACAGCATTTTCAGCTGTTCATCCAAAGCACAATTAAAACTACATGGAATATGTTTTATGAAGTAGAATAATTTTTAGTGATTAGCCGAATAGTTCAGAAATGAGTTGAATCGGAGCTGAAAGGGGGTCTAGCTCAAATGGCAGAGCGCGCGCTTCGCATGCGTGAAGTACGGGGATCGATACCCCGGTCCTCCAATTCAAAATATTTTTTTTGGACTATCCAATATTGACGAGTTAATTTCTATTATTAATATAGCAATCAAAACTGGTAAATTTTATTTTTTGTTGCTACAGCTGAAAACTGACGTTTTGCACGCAAATATAACATGTGTTTCTGTTGCTGTCCTTGATGCACCCACGGAGGAAGGCAATTGACTTTGTGGCGCGCAAGCACTCAATCTCGATGGTCACAGTGGCGCCAACCCTAACGCTCGCGAGATAATTGGTAGTCAGATCGGTAGAAACAATGTTTTTAGCGCCACAGGCAACCACAGCAGTGGTTATTTTTCCGACAGCATTGCAGAGGGTGAATACGCAGCCTCCGTGGATGGCGCCCCAGGTGTTGCAGTCTGCAGGGTCGACTGTGAGGCAGTATGTGACGACGGCACCAGTGATGTGGGTGTGTTTGGAGCCAGTGGGTTGGATGGAGACGAGTTGGAGGCGGCTGATGGGCGGTGTAGTAAGCTTGACGTTGGCTGAGAGGAGCTCTTTGTGCTGGGCATGTGCGCGTCGGGTGAGCTCGTCGACAGAAACAGGATAGTTGTATGATTCTGGAGCTGTGAACGACATGGCGAATATATAAAAAATTAACAGTTTAGATGAATTGGCGTGCGATGATTAAAAATAGAGAAAAGGGAGTTGAGACGTGTTGTAGCAGTATTTGTAAAAATAAACCCCAAAAGATTTGTTTATCTACGATTGACATAAATAAACCAATAAATATCTGGTTATTCCTTTATGGTTAATGGGTCTATTCTCTCTTGTGGGTTGGGAGAAGGCCAGAGGGGGAGGAGATATTAAATGTACCACGCATTGTTGCCTTAGAAATACTTTTTTCCTCCCTCATTCAAATAGTGGATTGTGGCCACATTAATATACATGTAGAGGCTGCATTTTTGTGTTGGGAAATTGTTTGGAATTTTTATTTTTAAACACCGATAAATATTAACTTGCCTGTGTGCTGCAAATGCAAGCATGGGTGACTGCGTAGTGAGTAAAGGTGGTTGCGTTCAAAGTACTCTTGATTGTTGTAAATATATAAAAAAGCCTTCCTATTTTCATGGAGGGAGGAGTGGTGGATAGATGAAGGGAGGGGGGAGAGAGGCAATATTGGTAAATACACTCTGCTGCCATGCATCTACATCTTTGCTGCTTTGAAATTGGCAAAGCCCAAAATATTATTTGAGTGTTTTGTATGCGAAGCCCAAGCATACACAGAACTGGGCCGTTCAGCATCAACAAACATTACTGTAACATGCAGTTTGGCCAAGTTTGCATTGCCCACTCGGCATACCACATGTACCTTTGTATTCGGCTCAATAGGAGCTAGCGCTTGGACGTTGAGCGAGAGGGAGACAGAAATGGGCATCCCCCCAGGGTTCCTGATGAGAGAGTGGGACATGAGGAGATAACTCGTGTGGTTGTCTGCCAGGGTGGCTACGAGACCCTCATCGAGCGTGCCGGCGACATTGATGTGTTCTTGAGTAATGGCCATTTCTAGCGTTAGAATGCCTTGATCTAAATCCATGCTGTGAATGGATGTGCCGTCGTCGAAACCAAAATTATTGATTATGTTCATATTACTGGATATATAAAAACCACAGAATAAATAGTATTTATAAAAGAAAAAGGAAAAATGAAGGGTGAAAAAAGTATTACATATTCCAATTTTAGTTGCCTTTAAATGTTTTTTATTCATTTTGATATATTTTTGAAAAACTTTGTATGACTCGCAACCGCATACACCCTATTCGCATCCACAGCATCAGCAAACTTGGCTGAGGCATACGGCATCTCCAACCCCTCCGACGCCAAACAAACAACATCCACCTTGGTCCCAGGCGCAATGACCTTGGGTGCCTGCACAGTCAAAGAGGTGGTTACTGCAGGCCTATCCTCGTGAACGGCACTTATGAGCGTCGACGTCCAGTAATCTGCCACAGTGCTGACAAGGCCTTCGTCGATGCAGCCCGAGCTGGTGATTTCCGATGCGGTTATGGTGATTTGCACGGTTATTGTGCGCCCGAGCTTGCTCGCGTGTGTGACGGTAGTGGGAAGCTCGGCGGTGTAGTAGTAGTGGCTCTTTTTGGCACTCGCCAAAGCAATAACGTGCTGCTTAAACTCGTTGCACTGTGCGTCCATGGGGGGTTGATTTTGTCAGAGTATTTTATGGTCCCTGGTTATATTTTAAAAGATAAATATAAGTGCGATGCAAAGAATTGCTTTGCTGCTCATTAAAAATAAATTAAAGACAAGCAACAGCGCTGCAATATTAAGGGATTGACACAGCAAACCAGCACGCACACATGCACATATTGTACACTATCCTGTAAACCATCCTCCCTTGTTTCCTTTAAATCTTTGCACCGCCACCGCTGGCAGAAAGACCCTCCTTGTAAATAAGCGTGTGCACGCCAGCTGCATAAACAATGTTTCTCTTCCTCGCATCCCTAAACGTAACCACGGCCTGCACCATCCTTCCTTCAAACAACACCAACCGACAGACAATCTCCACAACAACACCAGCCATCACAGGCTCCAGCGTATTAACTGTCAATGACGAAGTCACCATATTGCTATTACTCGTTGCCGCGCAAATCAACGGATCCGTTGCGTTCTCCACTACGGTGGAGAGCCATCCGCTGGCGAGGTATCCGCGGTATACTTCGTCGCTGGTTATTGCGTATTCATAGGTGATTGTGCGGGTTTGGGCGTTGGCGGTGGCTACGCGGAGATCGAGTTTGCTGCCGAAACGTGTGGTGCTGGTGTCTCTGGTGCGCAGTTTGTCGAGGAGCTCGTTGAAGATAAACCCAGACATGGCATTTAAGTGTAATAAAATATGCTTAAATGATTTTGATAAAAAAATATGCAGAATAAAAAAAGCGAGCGACAAGCACCAATTTAACAATGATAAAGACGAAAAACCTCCATTTTTCAGTCAATTCGCATGCGTATGTTGGTTGCCCAAGGTGTGCCACTCACCACGTGGACAATGTCCTTATATGCAAATGCAATGCTAAATGGGGATTTGATTGATTAATAAATCACCACCACGTACTTCTTCAAGCATACTCGATCTGGCTCAGCAGCAGTGCAATCTTCTTCTCCGTAGCCGAGGCCCCGCCCATGACCTCCTCCAAATCGCCCGAGGCTTCCAAGACGTTCTGCGCCGCCATCGCCAGATTCCTCACCAGTCCCTCCGACAGCCCCAGCTTCTCATTCACCTTGTGCGAGTCCGAGCCCTGCAGCGAGTTCCACGCCAGCTGCGCAACCAACAGGCACTGCCTACCGACCAGCGGGTGAAAGGGCGGATACACCAAAGCATAAAATGCCAAAACATGCAGTGCAGACACATACGACCAATGCCAGTGCGCGTCCTCATCGGCCGAACCAGTAGAGATCCGCTCGAGGCACTCGTCTTGGCACTCGAGCCAGTGTCGGTATGCAGCAAACGATAGATCGCGTTGGTCGAGTGACTCGACAGAATCGATCATTTGAGTTTCGAGTTTCGCCTCGTGCGTGTGGCGCGACCGGCTGGCCAGCAAGGTGAGCAGAGCATGAGTCACCTCTGTCACCCAGAGGTCCGCGCAGGGCGGCTGCGCGTAATCGGTCGGCAGATTGTGCGGAATCGCATGTGCCGCGCTATCTGACTGGGGGGAGCGGTCCATTAGGGCGTCCATGCGGGCTCTGGGCGAACCACACAGCTCGCACCTCTCGCAATGGCACGTGAAGAAATACACAGCCTCCAGCGTCTTTCTCCTCTCCGATCTTGGCTTGAGCCCATCGATATACGCCAAAGTGACTTCGTCGCCCTCGGCTATATCCCTTAGGGCGCGCACCACTTGGCGGCCGCCCGCAGAGTACACAAAGGAGGCATTGGGCAGGCACGCGTGGTTCAAAAGCAGGGACACGAGGGGGCTGCATAAGTGCCCGGTGCTCTGCAGCAGATTCTGGTCGCCGGAATCATCGAACGCCGCAAAGTTGTTGCAGCCAAAGCGACACAGCGCGTCCACCGGGTCCAGGGAAACCAAGGAGCCGGGTGTTTGGGGAACGAGGTTGGCGATTTCGGCGTACTGCTTGAGCAAATACTTTGGGTGCTCCGATCGGTGGCTTATCAGCCGGTCCCACGCCAACGCCTGCACCCGAAGCCACTCTGGTACCTGCTGCTGCTGCTGCTGCTTCTTTATATTTTGCAGCACCTGGGTGACTCCTGCGGCCATGCGCAAATACGGCCTGTACACAGGCTTGATCTTCGCCTCTGCCTTTTCCAAAGCCCCCTCGTTCTCGGCATTTTTCGGGTCGCACTCAAAATAATGCCGTGCATTCCAGTGGTCAGTCAAGCACCGCGTGGAACAATACAAGGCCGTGTGGCATTGGCTGCACCGTGGCCGGCGTTTAGGCGGCAGTGTTTTGAAGCAATGTGTACAGCGATCCTGCGGCTGAGTCTCTTGCTGCTGCTTGTTTTGTTGGTCTGACGATGTGTCATCATCGTGGTCTTCGTTTTTGCGCACCGGGAGGCTAAATAGCGGGTGGATGGAGAGTATGGTGTCGCCGCGCTTGAAGGCTCGCGTGGCGATGGTTTTGTGGCCCTTGGTTGCGTCGGCAATGCTTTGAAGCCCGGCTTGCGCAATGAAATTGTCAAGAATATGCTGCTTCTGCTGTTCGTTGAAAGAGTTGTCGGCAGACATTATGAATAATAAATATGTTGTAAGTAAATTCGCGTGGGGAGGGGGAGGGAAAAAGAAGGAAAAATAAAAAACTCATTCTTTGGCTCCACACAAATAAAAAAAGGGGGAGCTGATCTCCAATTCCCTCTCATCAAAAGCTCGGTCTCAAAATCAAGTAAGTGAATGCCAGTCAGTAGGCATACACGCTGAAGCCAAAAAGGAAACAAGAAAACATAAGGCACATTTTCTCTCTTTTTTCTTTTACTCAATTCAATTGCCCCCTTTTCCCTAACACTTTTAATTCCTGCACGTATTTATCCTTTCTATCTCTACTTTTTCCACAACCACATCACGACGACGAACATTTCCCTTCCCTTCTACATTATTAAAATGACTCAGATTCACGACAAGGCGGTGGGAGCAGCTCTCCTCGGAATTGGCTCGCTCGTATTCACATACTACTCCATCTGGACGCTCATTATCCCCTTTGTCGACGAAGACCACCCGGCACGCGTGCTGTTCCCTCCGCAGTGGTACGCCATTGCGCTTCCCGTGTTCCTCCTTATTGTCGGTGTCACTGCCATCTTTGGCTTCTTGTCCTTTATTATGCTAAAGTCTGCCAAAAAGGCTGCCAAAAAGGCCACCTAAACCCAGCACTTTTTTCGCTTCTATTTTGTTGAATATACACAAGTATCTTTCTCTTTGTTCATTGATTGTGCCGAAAACAAAACCTAATTCTTTCGGGACCGCTTCTCCCAGGCCTTGTACGCCAAGTCACGGTGACTATCAGGGCTGCTATTTTGGCCATCCTCCTCTCCTTGGCTAGGTGCCTTGCCGCCCAGCACAAAGCCAGCGCTCCCAAGCGACCCGCCATCCACAAGCTCAGCATCCTCCGGCCTCGGCGGCTCGTACACCCTCGGCGCCTGTCCACCGACCCTCTGCCCACGCAGCTGCCAATTGAGCTCGACAACCTCCTTGCACAGCTCCCTATTGAGCCTATGGAACCGCTCATCGTGCTCGTCCCAAACCATATGTGCCAGCTCATGCATCAGGACATCCCTGACACTCTCGTACCGGCGAAAGCCCTCCAAATCATCCGTGCGCAGCCTCAGCGCAATAACCTCGCCGCGGTTCCTATTGTACCCGAGAATGGTGCGCTCAAACGGGTGAAGCTCGCGCAATGTGCCGACGGAATACTGCCTAGTGACCATAATCTGCCGCACGCCCTCATCTTTACTCAGTTTGTGCAAGATATCCAACGCCCGCTGTTTCTCTGGCAACTCAAGAGCTTCGAATGCATGGAACGTATGCTGCATATTGTCTCTGCTCAGACTGCCCATTGTGGGCGTGCGCCAGATATCCGACAATGTCGCCTTGTATCGCTCGTGGTTCTGTTGTGCCGTTTGTCGCAGTGCCTCTCGCGCATGTAGATGCTCGAGCTCACCGGTCACTGTGCCCATTAAAACAACTCGGCTTTTGTGAGGAATTATGCTGGCTACTGGTGTCTCTTGGTCATTGTTGATAAGGCCTCCGTGGAAAAGCTTTTGGTTGCTTGGGTCTACCCCGAACACGTCTCGGATTTGACCTCGCAGCTGGCCCAGTGTGGTTGTGTTGTCAATATCGAATTCGCGTTTGGTGCCCTTGTGGCTTATAACAAATGAGTGAGACATTTGTTGAATTTTAAAAAAGAGAAAAAATATGTTTATTTAAGAAAGATGTAGAAACAAAAAAGGCTGAAATACGTCTGTTTTTTTACATGTTTTTTCAATCATTTACGTCACCTGTACGGATTCCGCATTATCAATTGCGCCATCAGATTACTAATTAACAATTATTAATTATAATTTTAACCTTAAAATTAATTGATATGAAAGTCATATGTTCAAAATACTAAAACTGAATACCCGATAATTAAAACTCACTCACTCACTCACTCACTCACTCAACTAACTACTACTTTTTAGGAATTAGCTTTCTAAATGCAATATTATAATAGAAAAGTATCTTGAATCTAGTATTATATTGTTTTTTCTTGAGCTCCTCATCTTGCATAATACTTGCACTGCACTTGACAAAAAATACAAAAAAGCTGCCAGCCTGATAGACAACCAAAGCTTGGTTGATTTTGTAAAAAAAAACCTCCCCACCTTTTCCGAAAATTCAAGAAACAGGTCGCACAGGGCTTTAAAATCTTCCTCGTCGACCCCAGGGTTATCTTTTAGAAACTCTAGGCCACTTTTACCTTGATCAGATAATGCAAGGACAACTGATACGGTGATGGCAGCAAACGCAAGGATAAATAAAAAACTTCATAGCTGTTAAGAAAAAAAGGATAATTAATGTTAGGTAGATAAAAAATATTGGTTTTCTAAACAAAAAATGCAGATAATGATAGGTGTATATGTTGGTTTTTATATAGCTGTCGATACCATTTTCTTAAATAAAAAGGTGACGTACTTTTTACTGTGCCAAAAATGTTAATGTAGCTGTGTTGCTACAAAACCTTGCGTCATTTTGCAAAATATATTTGTAATGTTTTAGTTGTTTGTTAAAAAAAATTGCTCATGCGCTTTGAACAATGTCTAAATTAAATTTTTAAAAAAACATCTACTGTAGATGTTTTAATGGCTTCAGTATTGCAAAAGATACCTGGTATTGATCAGTTGGTTTAACTAAAAATTAATTAAAAATTAATGTTTTTATCAGTTGATGGCGATCAACTGATTAACCAGCCTTGGCTATTCCAGCCAAACATACAACCATCAATAAGTAGCACACAGTGACCATACAAAGTTATATATATTCTTATTCACTTTTTTCCAGTGCATAGCACATATATTAAATGCACTTTTATACATAATATTTTATCTCTACACGTTCACAGGATGTCTCTCCCAGAATTCAACAGTATAGGTATTTTCATCTTATTTGGACATGTCTTTTTTTGTTCCTGGTATAAACCCCCAGCAGATATTCGTAGGATTGGGTATAAATTCCTGGTGTAAACCAAGCTGTAGTTGATATATAGATATGCGCGGCGTGTGAAACCAACAAATAATAGATGTGCGGATACAAAGTCCTCAGCCTCAAAATCGCCATAGTGTTTAACCCAATTCAGGGTCAGCCATTGTTTATCAACCAGTGCTGAAAAAGAAGTGGCGGCTAAGGCAGCAAACACAATGATAGAAAATAACTTTATTTTATTGCTACCCCTTACTATTATATACACACTGTTATGTAAGAGGGGGTAGGGAGCACTACTGTAATAGTGTTAAAAGAATGGGTGTGGAATTATAAAGGTTTTTATTACTAGTGTTTCTAAAGTGCTATTATTGCCGGCCTCACCTTATATATATCTCCTTGCCTTTGTGGCACTCACTGGCAGTTGTGTGCGCCGTTTGTGAGAACTGATCCTTATAAAAGTAACCCGGGTTTCTGATATGGCATAATTGGCATGTCTGTATTCTTGCGCCCAGCACATTCATTTCGGGACAGGCAGTATGTCCGGATGTCAATTGTGGCGCCTAATTTGATCACCTGTAATTTGGCCCATATTAGATCCATCTGTGAGCTGACGAGAATCTGTCTCATGATTCTTGCCCTCAGTGTCTACCTCCATATCCTCGGGCTGCATAACAACATAAAGTAATTTAGTAAAAATATTGGAATAAGGTATTTGACGAATTTTTAATTTATACCCGAAAATATAATATGTTGGCCAACATACATTTTGATTACTCTGCAAAAGTTAATGTAGTTTGTGAGTGCAACGCATTTTTTTACAAAAATAGCACCATTGATACATGAATAGTATTGTCTTGTCATTTTATGCTAAATATTTGCACATTAAAACAATGCACAATGTGAATTAGCTGCACGACTGGCAATAAAGTATTGTTGGAATATAGGAAACGTTCTATGAACGTGTAGATGAACTATAATGATATAAAATATATAAAATATATTTAATAAATAAGTGCTATGCACTGTAAAAGGTGAAGAGTAGAAAAGCATATCGCTTTGGTCACTGTGTGGCTTATTGTTTGTATTGCTAAACAGCCAAGACTGGTTAATCAGTTGATCGCCATCAACCAATACTTAACTGTGACATATCTGAAGTCAATTCACACACTGGTTTGAATAGCATTGGATGTCAGTGCTTTAAAAGCATGTTCACAAAATGATGAATCATTTCCAGCAATGACATGTACAGGATGCTGCTTCCATTATTGCTAAAAATCCCATGTATAAATAAGACATGGTTTCTCGAATCTTCAGTTGGTAGTTCTTTAAGCACTCTTGCTCCTTTTTTTACTCACAACTGCAAACATCTTTATTTTATTTACCAGCAACCATCATTTTCAACATGCAGCTCTTCTCATTCACCACTCTTGCCCTGGTTGCCATTACTGCCACTGCTGTTGTGCGCGCCGACGCTTATGCTGATGCCATTTTTGACAGTTTCGAGGTGTTTCATTACCCGAAGCAAGCCTATTGGTGCACAGAAAGAGTGCAAAACATATTTCAGGCTGGCAAACCTTAGAACCCACTGCATTTTTCATTTTTCTATCTTTTTTTCAATTGGCAGGGCTTATTTACTGCCTTTCTCCATTTATTCGCATGTCTTATTTCATATAAAAGGAGCGCCCAGTTTTCAAGATATTTTTGGTTCCCTATTTCTCTCCCAACAACCACCACTTCCTCTAAAATACTACCACCTTTTTCTAATACGCACACATATTTCCCTAGCATTACGACATCACGACTACAATACACACGCACACACACAGCAGCATCAACTTCGACTTCATCATGGATTATCGGTTCACAATACAAAACTTTTGTGGGAGGGGATCGCACACATACAACAGTTTTCGCCCAGCGTCATCCATTGCACTACATTGGTCCATATATTATATCCGCCGTCTGCCACAGCCATGCTCATTTGTGCATCACAAAAAATAATGTGTGTCTAGTAAACACTTGGTAAGATATCTGCAACTGGTCTCATCAATGTTATGTCTGGGATGTCTGGGTATATAAGGGAACCTAAAGAACACCCTTATAATAAAAATCGGGCCGGTTCCATTCCGTAAGACCCGTAACTGTGGTATATACGGGGGCCCACAGAACATTTGTTCAATATGAATCCGGCTGGTGACACGCCTAAGACCTGAAATCAGAGGCAGCGGAATGGGAGGAGGGTGGGGTTTACCCATGTACCTTCTCCGGATTGCCAGCGTCTGGATGGGCTCCTCACAAAATCACAACACGGGCATGGCTAGAAAGAGTAGCGCATGTACCAAACCCAAAGACATGACAACCAGTTGCAAGTATCTCCAAGCGTCCAACGACATTTTGCATTCGAAGCTTTATGAGCTTTAAACAGCTATCATTTGTGCAGCGGTGCTTTTTAGATGGCACTTTAATTTTAATTGTGCTAATTTTTGTCTCTGCCATCCATCATGGCAGAAAATAAAACCACTGTACATACCACACCCGAAATTCCCATTGAAAATTTAATTACAAAAATTAGACTTAAAAAGCCAAGAGAATGAATTTTGTAAATATCGCTCGAAAAAATCAGATAGTATTAGAATATTAAATTTCATAATTTTAGTTTGCATGCACTTTTGCAGCCGCTGATTTAGTCTGTGTTTTAGTTGATCATGTGCAACAGCCATCGAACACGAATACATGTACAACTATTGGGCACTTGTCCATGTTAATCTGCGTTGTGCTTAGTTTGCTGTTTAGTTGATAAGAGAGCGTTGGTAAAAATAACAATAAAATAAGAGATGACAGCAGGCATACAAACAATGTGGCTGTATTGTTATAGTAAGAGGGGGTGTGAGAAGCACTAGTTGTCTAGTGTTAAAAGGTAGGAGTGATTTTATAAAAGGTTTTATTACTAATGTTTTTAAAATACTACTAGAGCCGGCCTCATCTTATATATGTATCTCATTGCCCGTGTTGTGCACTTCGCCAGTTGTGCACTCCGTTGGCAAGAACTTGTTCTTCTGTGAGCAGACCGGTATCTTGGCAAGTCAATGTTGTGGTTTTTGCGTGTATGTGTATGCGCTCATGCGTGTGCATTTCAAGATGGGGAGCATGTTTGGGCATCAATGTAATGCCTCCCTAATTTACGCCTGCATGATACAATTGGTGTCCTATCAATCGGCATGTAGGTGGAAACCTGTTTCACGATCCTCAACCTCAAGATCTACTTCCATGTCTTCAGGCTGTGCAACATTACATTAAAGTTGCTATTTTTGAGCTGCACTAGATGTGTTTTTGTAGAACAGGCTGTATAAATGGGGCCATAGATTATCTACACAATGAATATGCCCATCTCGATCCTAACGAATAACTCCTAATTGAATGTATCATTAGCTGTACACTCTCCAATATCCCCTGTTTTTCTTAACAAAAGGCTAAAGCATTTTTTTGCTGCAACAGCTTTTTGCTGCAATGCTCTCCAATACCAATCGCAATTCCAAGCGAATGTGTTGGAATATAGGAACGTTCTATGAACGTGTAGATGAACTATAATGATATAAAATATACTTAATAAATAAGTGCTATGCACTGTGAAAGGTAAAGAGTAGAAAGCATATTTCTTTGGTCACTGTGTGACTTATTGGTTGATGGCGATCAACTGATTAACCAGTCTTGACTGTTTAGCAACACAAACAATAAGTATATGCCATATTGCGTCGTGTTTTGGTGTAAAATAGGGGAGTTATATCAAGAGAGAAGAAAATTAATTATAAGGATAGAGGCTTCCCTAAATGCAATTTTATCACTACAAAAATTGAGTAGTTAAAAATTTGCATGCAAAATAATTCAATTCATCTCAACACATGAATGGAATGTCAATAAATATATGCCACCGTTTTCCCATCAATGCTGCACTAATCAAAATTTTAATTGGCAAGTCCAAGCAATAATCGATTTCCAATAATGGCTTTGCTCCTCTCAGCAGATGTTGCTGTTTGTACGGCTTGTATATATGCTTGCGGCTAACTCACACGTTAACCATTCGCACGCTACGCCTCTTCTCATTCATTGTAATAGGATAACAAAAATAGAAGATATATGTTACAAAGGGGTATAAATCAAAAAGGATATTTATTTTGTCCAAGAACAATTCCTGGCTGCCCAACAGTCACTCCTTATATGCTCTACTTGGCATATAAATAAACTATAATAAAAACTTATCATCATTTCTTAATTGCCACGCGCGTAATCAATTAATCTCAGTAAGGCAACATGCAAAGCCATGTATCTAAGCTGTGGCATATATGACCAGATAAATATTAAATCGTATTTACAATATTATGATCACATCAATTTTTCAAGCTCATAATAAAATTAAACATAAATTAAACAAAAATACATAGGATAAAAACGGAAAAGAAAAGAAAATAACTAATACGAGCGAAAAAAGACATACTATAAATTATTCTATATCGCTTCTGGGACGGACTTCGGGAGAAATGAATAACGTGTCATCATTATGGTCGTCCCTTTTTTTGGCATCTCTTGGGCTGCTGTTGTTGCTGTTCTGCCATTTGCCACCGTCTTTATATAAGTCTGTGCTGGTTTGTGAATTGACTCTTTCAACCTTTGGTGACACAGAAGGTGATCTTTCTTTGTCTCTGGGTGGTGTCATATTACCATATTCTTCACCACTCTGGTACCCATTGCCACTTTCAGGACTTTCGGGTCTGCGGTGTTCTTCTTCTCCGCGACGACGGTATTCCGGTGAGTGACTGCGTTCTTTAGGGTAGTCATTGTAGGATACTTGGTGGTCTTCCTCTTCATAACGCCGTTCACGAGCAGGGTAGTCTTCGCGGTACAATTGGCGTGCCGTAGGAGGGGCGTTACGGCTGTTGCGTGGGTGGCCGTACTGAGAAGGAGGGCCATTGCGTTGGTACTCGCTTGGCCGATATGTTGGTTTTTCGCGAGTGTACGGTCTTTTTTGGTAGTGCGTGGGGCCACCGCTTAATGTTGCCCTGTCACGGGAGTAAGGCCGTTGGTGGCGTGTAGGCCCACTTGTTGCGCGTTCATGGGTGCTAGAAAGCCAACGACGCTCACTGGAGCCTTGGTAACCGCCGGACTCGTAGCGACCGCGGGATTCTGGAGGCCCCCCAGCAAATTTATGCGATTCTGTGGTTGGGCGGCGGTCAATCGGGTATGTGGGGCGGCGGAATTCAGCGCGGTCCGGGGATGATTGCGGACTCGGCCCGGCGGCGACTGATTCGTTGCCGATGCTTTCTTGGCTTGATCTTCTCACTTGTTGAGGCAGCGAAATTCGCGATTGGTGAGGAGGAGTGCGAGACGGCTCTACGAAATCCTTAAGATCATCGAGGTGGGGGCGGAATTGGGGTGGTATTCTGGAATCAAAGTGCACTTCCAGACGTTGTCCACGAACAAGCGCATGGTGCATTTTGTTGCGAGCACTGGTGGCATCGATAGATGTGTTGAACTCGATGAATGAATATCTACAATTAATATACAAATGATTGTTTATGTGCGTGTATCATTAGGAACCATATGTTTTTATATATACGCCATTAATTGCATTTTGCAATGACTCATTGTATGTGTGCGGTTTCCGCGTTACAAATCAATAGAAAAATACTTACGGAAATTCGTCAAGTCCGTTGGCCATTATCATTTTTGTGCCGACAATTCTTCCAAACCTAATTAGATAGAACAAATATGAATAAGTGTGGAAGTATATTGGTTAGATTAAAGTCTAATTTTGGTGTTCAATCCAACATAAGCAAATGCAATACAATGCAGTTCAGAACAAAGCAAAATTAATGTCAAATCGATGTGATAGCGTACTCTTCAAACTGAGTCATGAGCTCTCCATGCGTGACGGCTCCCGGGTATCCGGTGACGAAAATCCTTCTTGAGAAATATCCCTTTTTCATTGTCGTGCTGGAACGAAAAAAGTTAAAGTTGGTTAAAGTGTGGGCTGAAGAGCAAAAAAAGATGCAAAGATGCAAAAAAATAGATTCGGGTTTTTTAAACGTGGTCAATACAAGTTGAAAAAGATTAAAGAAAGCGGGTGAATGAGCGCGTGCAGTTGATGGGATAAAGCTTTGTTAATTTGGAACTTAAAAAAGAAGTGATATTATATTAATGCTGTGTGGAAATGAGTGCAAAAAAGGTAGTGCAAAAAGTGAGTATTTAGATGAAGATGTAAAATGAATGTTGTGAGCGTGATGTGGATAATAAAAATAAAAAATGGTCGGGACGCAGGGGCACCGCTTTATATGTAATTCTATGAAAGAAATTCCACAGCCTCAATAAAAGGGCACAAAAAATAAAATCCATGACATTCTTTATTTTTTTGTTCGCTTATTTTTTTGCTGGCTGGGCGGTTTTTTTTTAAAAAAATATATAAGCGGCATGTTAAAAATAAAATTTTACTTTGCAGCTTTAATTGAAAAAGGCTTGGGCGCTATAATAATAAAGGAATTTTTTGTATCTTCTCAAAGGAAATGCCGAGCCTTTTATATAAAGACTTGGTCTTTGTCACAAAGTGTGTGGAAAAAAGGCAAATCCATAAAATGTAGAAAGGAATCATGTGCAAGGGTCGCTGAGAAAAAATAAAAGCACTCCTTTTCCTCGAGCGATCCCTATTGGCCAGTTAAACTAGACGGCTTTTAACGCTTGGATTTTGAACCCTTAAGGCCAAGTATTAAATTTTTTATTTTCTTTCCCCTCGTTTAGAGATAAGGTTTGAAAAGTAGCAAATATCTATTACAACCTGTTCTTGGTATTTTCTATTTTCTATTTTTCCCTCTCTTACGAATTCTCGACGCGAATTGTAAAATAAAATAAAGCCAATAAAAATGCTACTTTCCTTTGCTACTACAGGTGCAAAAACATCATGGCGTCCGCTGAGCATGTTGGCACGCAGCCTCAGGCAGAGGCACTATACGTCAGGCCGTGTTTTCGAAACAACGACAGCGGAATTCGAAAAGGATGTCCTTAAGTCTGAGCAGCCTGTAGTCGTGGACTTTTACGCCGACTGGTGCAAGCCGTGCAAAATGCTGGCGCCCATCCTGGCAGCTGCGGTTGAGGAGAGCGGCAAAGTCAAGCTGGCCAAGATCAACATCGACGAGAACTTGGATTTGGCGCGCGACTACAGCATCGCCTCGCTGCCGACTGTCATGGCATTCCACAAGGGAGAGCCCGTGTCAGCCTTCATTGGCATGCAGACGCCAGCAGTGATCAAGAAGTTTGTAGAAGAGCTGGAGAAGGAAAAGTAAAGGTTGTTTTTGATTTATAAATAAAATGAGATACGTGGTTTACTTGCGCTCGTTGCGCTTGTCTGTGAAGAACTTGCCCAGCGCGCCCTTCTCGGCCTCGGGCACCGGGCGGGCCCTCTCTGCGGCCTCGCGCAGCTCGCGGTCCATGCGCTCCATATCCTGCAGCTTCTTGAGGTCGGTGATGTTGGACTGGCGCTTGCGAGCAAAACGCTTGGCCGTAGAGTTGCGGCCCTTCATCTTGTTCTTGACCTCGTTGTCCAAGTAGCGGCCGGCCGCCTTGTCTGCGGCGTACTTGGACCGCTGCTCCTCCAGCTGCGTATGGTCCATCTGCGCCTTGCTGCGCGGGTCCAGGCGGCCAATGAACGTGGGGTCGAGCTGGATGGTCTCGGGCGCCAGCTTGTCCAGCAGCTGCTTGACCTCGGTCTCCTGTCTCTGCTTCGTGGTCTGGTAGGGGTTGGCCACATAGGCGTCAAAGTTGGGCTCGCCAGCGCCAGGCACGACCATCGAGGACACGCCGTCCGAGTGGCCGTAGCCGAGGACATCATCGTAGGGCACAAAGCGCACCGAGCTCAGCGTCGCACCGGGCACAAGCTGCGTCATGTAGGGCTTGTCAACCCTCGTCGCCAGCGCGTCCTTCCAGATGCTGACGTGAGGGCCCCAGGCAGCAGCCAAAAGCCCGCGCTGGCTGATATCCAGCGACTGCGCCGGCCGCATGGTCTGGTAGTCGTGCAGCTGGCGGAACGTGCGCACATCCCATACCTTTACGCGGCCGTCCAGCCCGCTGGTCGCCATATACGTGCCGCTGCGATCAATAGCCATGGCCTGTAGCGGGCCGCGATGGCAGAGCAGCTTGGCCAACGGCTTCTGCTGCTGCGGCGCCCACAGCGTCACTGTTCCGTTGCCGTGGCCGACGTGCACAACGGCATTGTGTGGGTTGACGCGCAGCACGTGGTTGGGCCCATACCCAGGCCGGTGCTCGCCGACGACCCCGCCCTCGGTGATGTCCTGGAAAACCACCTGCCCGGTCATCCCCGTCGACGCCAGCAAAAAGTGGAACGGCAGGAAGCCCAGCGCCGTGGGCTCAACATGCTTACGCAGGCAGTGCACCTCGGCGCCCGAATGGTCGTAGATGTAGACGTGCTTCTTCTGCGCCACGGCAAAAAGGCTCTCATTGTGCAGCCAACAGACGTCGCGAACGGTCTCGCGCACGTGCAGTTCGCAGCCCAGCCGCCCATTGCGCCAGTCCATCGTGGCCAAATGGCCCTTGCGTCCGCCCAGCAGTAGGTTCCGGCCGTTGGCCGAGTACTGCATAGAGTACGGGCCAAAGTCAGGCAGCTTCAGATCAAAGATCTTGGTGGCACTGCTGAGATCGAGGTTGGGTGCCAGCTGCTTTTGCGTAATCTTGTATGTCCTCTCCATGCCTTCGGCCTCCAGAAAACCAGCATCCTCCGTCAGAAGCATCTCGCTCCTGGCTGCCGCCAACGCCGCCTCTTCGCGTCGCCGTTGCTCATGCTGGATCTTGGACGCCGCCTTCTTACTCTTCACCTGCTGGGGTGTCTTCTCTGTGCTGTTGCTTTTTGTGCTCGATCCTCCGCGCTGATACTTTTTGGCCTGCTCGAGCACCCGCTTCTCGATGGCATCGGGCTCGGCGGTTTCTTCTGGCTTTGCTCTTTTGTTGTTGTCCTTTTTGCTGTCCTTATTGTTGCCTTTTTTGGTGTCGGCTTTGGCTGTTGCTTCGCGAAGCGTCCGGGGGGCCCGCTCGTTGTCGCTCTCGTTGTCGTTGTCGTTGTCCGCCATGGCACTTTTCCGAGGTGTGTTTTGTATGCCTAACTCCTTGGCCTTCTGGCTGGCAGCTTTCTCTGCTGAAAACATTTTTTTTAATTATGAAAGAAAATGTGGGTTTATAGTAATAATGAGGTTAAACAAACTAACAAAAAGGTTAGAGCACAGGTAAAAAAAATTGTGTGGCACGCTTGTCAAGATCAACTTGTAGAAGAAAAAAAAGTGAATGAAAAAAGAAAAATTTATTGGGCTTCAACCGAGTTTTGGCATTGAGCGGATCAGGATCAGTTGATTAAAAACTTTTAACATAAACAGCTCGCACCGAGCCACGAGCCGGAATATAGTTGTAATGAGTTCAACAGCTTTCGGGTTGCCAAATCCTGAAGGGCAGGCCAACAAAGTGTTTCAAATCTCTTTCCCAATTTTTTTTGTCGTTGCATTTCGTCGTTCTTTTTTCTGTTAATTAATTACCAACTTCCTTTTTAATTCCCTTCCAATTGAACGCTCTACAGACACGCAGACACACGCACATGCCCTATATTCCATTCCACGACTGAATATCTTCAATAAACAAAAAAGGAGGAATAATGGACGAACCAAAGAAACATCAGCAGGATAACAAGCCTCCTCTGTCAGACAATGCCAATGCTGCTCAGCCATCGAGTAGGCCCAAGCGTAGCAGGCGCCCAAAATCTCAGCCGGCAGCAGCGGCAGCACCCCAACAGCAACAGCAATCGCCGTTGCCAGCTGCAGCAGCAGTTGTTCAGAATAAGCCCACTCCAAGGACTGCACTGCAAAAGGTCAAGGGTTCGTCAGGACCCGCGGATACACGCAGGCTGGCGTCACCAGCAACAACAGCAACGGCACCTGCGGCTGTGGCTAAGGGAAAGGGTACGCCTATGGATACTGCGGATCGATCAGCGCCGTTGCCGGCCAGCGCCTCGAAACGGAGATCCAGACCAAAGCCAAAGCCCGCAGCAGCCACATCCACGCCGGCTGTTGCACCTGCACCTTCAACTACAGCTACTCCCACTACGTCAACAAGACCGCCTGTCAATGCCAGACATAGGCAGCCTGATGCCTCGAAGGATCAATCGCGCGCACAGAGGAACCCAGTGCAGCCAAATAACAACAAGAGAGATGCTAGACCCAATCCACCCTCGTCTCGTGGGCCCTCTCGCGGTGCGTCTCGCGCGCCGTCGCCTCTTCAGGCTATGCAGCCCAAGGCTAAGCAGCAGCAGCCCAAGCAGAATCCGAGGCCACCAAGAGTGCAGCAGCAGGATCCGAAGGCACAGAACACACCGGGTTTTAAACAGTTCCAATCAACTTTGAACACTCGGAAGGGACAGGGCTCTCAGACAATTCAAACCACTGATGACGCTCAGCCCACCCAGGTTGCCCAGGGCGCAGAGATTAAGCATGTTCCTACTTCTGCTCTGCCTTCTGGTAGGCTTTCTACCAAGGTCTGCGTGCGCTGGCTGCCAGCTGATCTCCCCGAACATGTGTTTTGGAAGACTGTCGAGCCCGCGTTGCCTTGGTTTGACCCAGCAGATGCAGGTACGACCACGCAGAGGCAGCGTGAAATCCTGCGCGCCACTGCGCCAGCCGGCGATATCAGCAGCAGCGAGGAGAAAACCATTGACAGCGACGCCATTACGCCCTCTGAGGATGCCACAGAGGGACCTTCTGAGGAACCCACCACCGAGTCTTCTGTGCCCCTTCCATGTATGGGCCTTGCGCCAACCAGTTCGATCACCGTCGATGTTTATGACAGCCCTGCCCTGCAGCGTCTCGACGCGCCGCCATACTGGCGCCGGTTTTCGCCGGGAAAGCAGCATCGTAGCAGGGCCAAGCCGACGGACCCTTCCCACGCAGAGATAGTCTTTGCGACGCCTGCCGAAGTTGACCATTTTTTCCGCCACTACCATGGCCATGCATTCGCCAAAAATGGATCGGTGTCTAGGGCCCAGGTCGAGTTGGCGGCCTTTCAGTACGCACCCTGGTCGTTCGACCAATCCAATGCCGCAGCGGATCCTTTGGCAGGCACCTTGGACACTGATCCGGACTTTCTGGCCTTTCTCAACCCCCTACCACCAAAGGCCGAGGGCGAAGAGGTCAAGCCTACCTTGGTGCATCTGTCGTATGCTGCGGCGGCAGCGGCAAAGTCCGCCACTGCGGCAAATGGCTCTGGCGCGGATGCAGATGCGGCGACTCCCCTGATTAATTATTTGCGCGAGATCAAGCGCAAAACATTTGGCGGTGCGTCGCGCATGTCCATGCCAGCGTCTGCGTCGTCGTCGTCGTCGATCAAGTCGACAGTTTCGACAAAACCGTTGGTGAAGCTCTTGGCGAAGCCCGCTGTGCCGCCGTCTCGTTCGGGCAAGGGTGCTGCTGCTGCTGCTGCTGCGAATTCAAAGCCATCTGCAGAGCACGCGTCTTTGAAAAGAAAGAGTCGCCGCAATCGTTGAGAATTGGGAAAAGAGTCGTTTTGTGCTAGGGTGGGGGTGGTTTTTTATTTATGCGAGAGGCAGGTCGTAGTGGCGACTATTGACTGTATCTGTTGGAAACTTTTTGTATGGAATGAGCACCAATTGGATCTTGCCAGTTTTGCTTCTTGGTCATTTTTCTTGCTGCTAGAGAACACATTGCCGTTGCTTGTTTGAAAAAGGCCACTTTTTTCTATTCCCCGGATTACAAATCATGCAGTCCATGCGTCCATGTGGAGCGATTGCTTTTTTGGGGTTTTTGGTTGCTTTGGCTTACAGAAAGCAGAAAAAAATGGACTGCAAGGCACTGCAGGGAATGGCTCTTGTTTCGAAGTGTGCCCCGTTGCACTTTCTATTAAGGACCACCAGCGGTCGAACGGATCAACTTTGGTATCGGCAAAACACATTTTAGCTTGCTTTAAAAAATTTAAATATTAATTTTGCTCTCGGTCAACCACTTTCATCTTCTTAATCACCAACCCCCCACACAAAAAAGATTATATATACATTTATATTGACATAATTGCCCAGACATTCATACGTGTCTGAGACCTATACAGCCATGTCAACCTCCTCATTTTTTTTAACCCCTTTGCACTAATAAATAAATATTTTTTACACAACAGGTTGTGATGTTCCAAAGTCATTTTGGCTTATAAATTGTATTCGCCTTCTCCACAAAAAAAAAAATATTTTTTAGACCTGCTGAAAGAGAAAACCCATGCGTGCTTTTCCACTAATCCCAGATAATGCGCAACTCGAACTTTTCAATTTAAAAAATGGGCCACTGTCCTAAAAAAAATAACTTTCATATATATTCTCATTTCAGCTTGAAGATTTCATTTGGCCATTTTATGATATGCCTCTGTTTTTCTGTCCTTCCTCTATGTTTTTCGCATTCATATTAAAATTATCGTCATATCGCTTACACATTCACACATTTTCACAATAAAAAATAAGGCAAACAATGCAGGGGTTTACTTGGTCAGGAGTAACATTTCTGATCCTCTGCATCAGCTGCTGCTTCTTGTTGCATCCGGCAGAAGCGCGCTTCCGAGTATCAAGCACAGCTCACATGCGGTTATACCGAACCAACGATCTCAACCTAGTACCTCAGAAGATCCGCATAACTGACCACGACAAATGCACCCCAGAGGCAGTCAACAATTCGACATTGCGCAACCCGCCGCCAATGCGACTCCAAAAGCCACGGCTCTGCGACTCACAGGTGCGCCAGTACTCAGGGTATATCGACATGGAAGATAAGCATGTGTTTTTCTGGTACTTTGGATCGCGCGCAAGACTGTCACCCACCTTCAATGCTGCGACGGACAATGTTCCTTTGGTGTTTTGGTTTTCAGGAGGCCCAGGCTGCAGCTCCCAGATTGCCAATTGGCAGGAGAACGGGCCCTGCATGTACGTGCCGAAGAACGCGACGTTTGATCCGTCCATGTCGGACGAGAGGAGAAAGGCGCTGCCGCATGAGGTGCAGAGAAACCCGTGGGCATGGAACAACGTGGCGGATATTGTGTTTGTCGATCAGCCTGTCGGCACCGGATTCTCCTACGGACCCATGCCCAGCTCGACCGAGGGCGCAACAGATACCGCCTGGAGGACCATGCAGGCAGTATACGCCAAGCTGACCGAAGACGCGCGGACCAACGGCGAGGTTAGCATCAAGGACGTGTACTTGTTTGGCGAGTCGTACGCCGGCCGCTACATCCCGGTGTTCACCGAGTATCTCATCCACATGAACAAGCACGTCTCCGCCTCTGCGGACCTGCAAGAGCGCGGCTACGTCTCACTGCCCCTGCGCGGCATCGGCATCGGGAATGGCATGTTTGACCACCGCCTGCAGGCCTCGTCGGCGCACACAATGGCCTGCCAGTCAAACTACCCGCCAATGTTCAGCCGCCAGCAATGCGCCCACCTGCGAAGCACCGTTGTGCCGCAGTGCACCGCGCAAATGAACAAGTGCTACGGCGAATTCACGCCAACGACAAGCTCCCTGGGCATGCGCATGGATAAGTGCGTGCGGCTGGAGCCCGAAAAATGGAGGAGCAGCAAAGAGTGCGCGGCTGCCAAAACCATCTGCAACGGCGCGCTTAACTGGACCAACATGGTGAATGCTTACGATGTGCGCCCACAGGCGCGCATGGTGCCGGATGACTACGTCGAATACCTGCGCACCCGCGAGTTCACCAATGCCATTGGCGTCACCCAGAGCGGAGTTGGGTTTGAGGAGTGCTCGGACGAGGTTTTTGACCGCTTCGGCTCCACGTCAGACGAAATGTCTCGCTCAGCACTGTCCTCGCTGCAGTACATTCTGAACCAGCATATGCCCGTGCTGCTGTACAGCGGCGACGCTGATTTTATATGCAACTGGCACGGTAACCTGGCAGTCGCACGGGCGCTCAACTGGCACGGGAAGGGCGCCTTTAAAAGTGCAATTTCTGCTCCCTGGAATTGGCCGACAAAATCGGGGAACAAGGTTGGTGCTGGAGAGGTTTTGTCTGCTGAAAATCTCACCTTCCTGCGCGTGTTTGAGGCCGGCCATGAGGTGCCGTACTACCAGCCGCAGGCATCCTTGTACATGTTGGCACAGTTTATTACCAGCCAAAAGGTCCGCTAATATGGACAAATAGTCTAAATTTTTTTTAGCAATTATGGTTGTTAAATTTACAAATGATGAAGTAAATTTCCAAGCTCTATATCGTGTGTGCGCTATCCATGATGTTATATGATTTCTATCCAGTTTTTATATAGAAAACCGGCGCTATTCAATGTAAATGGCTATTCGTCTGCTCCACACGTTGGCAATAAAAAAGTTGTTCACCGGGATGATACCAACCAACAATATACAGCAAAGTCTGGCAATATACTTTTTTATGTTCTTACAATATATTATATTCTATTCTATAAAGTAAAATAAATAAATAATCTAGCTGGTGTTATGTTCGGCTGCCTGGGCGGCCATAAGATGGTGGAAGTACCCGCCCTCGCGGCTAAGCAGCTCATCGTACTGTCCAACCTCTTCAACCGAGCCATTATCGCCAAACACAAAGACAACATCGCTACGCTTCAGTGTGCTCGCACGGTGCGCAATCGTAATCACAGTCAGGCGCCGACCGTCCTTGTACAGCAGCCCACTCGACGCGCCATGCAAAGCCTCAAGCACGCGCGCTTCGCGAGTGCCGTCCAAAGCGCTGGTGGCCTCGTCCAGGATCAAAATATCCGGCACAGCCAGCAGCGCGCGCGCAATGGCAATACGCTGCTTTTGGCCACCAGACAGGGACACACCGCGCTCGCCAACATACGTCTCCATCTGCATGGGGAACCGCTCGACAAACTGCCATGCATCGGCCATCTGCAGAGACGCAATCAGCTGCTCGTCGCTGGCCTGCGGCTTGCCGTACAGGAGGTTATCACGGATGGTGCCGGCAAACAGCGCTGGTTCCTGCGGAACCATCGCAATGTGCGAACGCCAGCTGTTAAGGCGCAGGTCACGCAAATCATGTCCGTCGACCAGAATGCGCCCAGCTGTTGGGTCGTAGAAGCGTAGCAGAAGCGCTGTTACCGTGCTCTTTCCCTTTCCTGAGGGCCCGGCAATCGCTACATGGGATCCAGGCTGGATCTCCAGACTCAGGTTCTGGAATACTGGCACGTCGGGTCTGGTCGGATAGCGGAAATCGACATTCTCAAACTGGACCTTGCCGCTGAACTGCTCGAGCACTTTGCCCTGTGGGTTGGGATCGACCGTCGGCGTGCGGTCAAGCAGGTAGAACAGCCGTGACCCTGCGCCCACGCCCTTCATCACCTCTGAGTAGAACGATGAGAGACCCGACAGTGCCGAGCCGACGTATGCTGAGTACAGCATCACTGAGGTCATTTCGCCAATGGAAATCTCGCCCGTCATCACCATGCGCCCGCCAAAGCCCAAGAACGCCAGTATGGCCAGGTTGCCCGCTAGACCGTTGCCGCCAAAAAACAAGCCGCTTGCAATAGCCTCCTTCTTGGCAAGATTAAAGATCTTTTGCACCTCGATGTCGTACCGCCGGACCTCCTGGTCCTCGCGGGAGAACGCCTGCACAGTGCGCACGTTACTGATGCGCTCCTCTGACACTTTGGTCAGGCCGCCCACTGCCTCCTGTGTCTGCTTTGACAACCGCTTGATGTACTTTCCGTAAAGCACAGCCCACAGCGCAATCGGCGGCACGATGCCCAGCATAATTCCCGTCAGCTTGGGGCTGACATACAGCATCATGGCGATCCCGGCAACCGCCGAAATCGAGGCTCGCAAGCCATCAGATACATTATTTGTAATGCTTTTGCTGACAATCGACGTGTCTGTACTCAGCCGGCTGACCAGATCGCCCGTGCGATTGCGGTCAAAAAAGTTCATATCCTGGTGCATGACCCGATCAAAGATATCCCGCCGCAAGCGCGCAATCATGCGCTCGCCGGCCGTGCGGATCAGCATGACGCGCCCAGCATTGGCCATGGCACCGACGACAAAGACAACGCTCATACTGGCAAACAACTGACCGAGCGACAGGCCGAACGGAATGCTCGCGCCCGCGTTGGTCACCATATCTATGATCTTTCCCATCGAGAAGGGCACGGTCATTGTCACGCTCGACGACACAAACAGCAGGCCGACTGCCCCGCTCAGAAGCTTGTACTCAGGCTTGGCCAAGCGCAGGAGCCGCATCCATGCCTGCCCTGTTTTGACCTTCTTGGCCCCCTTGGCCTCCTCGGGATCCACGCCCGCCTCGGTCACAGCGGCTGCAGGGTTGCTCGAAGCTGCGGGGCTCACTGCCGCGACTGGCACGGTCTGCTCACTGCTCTCCGACAGAGACGACTCTGGGCGCTGAGGCGGGATGGTCGAATAGTACCTGCCATTGCTGCCGAGCGTGACTGGAGAAATAAGCAGCGGCGTCGACATGTTGATTGGGCTCAACGGCCGTCTGCCGGAAAATATCAGTTGCGGTGACCGAGTTCCCTGGATGCTTTGGCGTCCACTCCCTGGCGACGCCTCGTGTGCCGCACGGCAGTAATGTTGACGAAGCATCGTGTTGCAGTTGCTCTTTCGACCGACAAGTTTGTAACCCAGCTGCTGTGGTTGCTGTTGTAAATAATAATAGTGTCCAAGTGTTTGCTTGATTGTAGTGTGAGCAGAGCGACAAGAAACAGCAGCCATCGCTTCAGCACACAGCTAAAAAAATATGAGATATGTATGAATTTGAATGTGTAATTCGTCGACTAGAACAAAAAAAACACCAAAAGTAATTTTAGAAATATGCAAAAGAAAACAAAAGCCACATCGACGAAATCTTTATCGTCAGTGGGGGGCTGTTTTCGATAGGAAGAGTGGTGCTTACGCTGGCTAGCATTGCATAATATTTAATTTAATTGGGCATAATGCGATTGCATGATCAGTCTTTTGTCTTAATCCATGCTCAGACAAATGTCACTAAAGCAGCACCTTGTACGCCAAGGGAAGGAGATGCTTATTTATACGCTGTGGCCTGACGATGGTGCTTATTATTGCGGGGGATGTATACAAGTATGCAAAATGATATTGAGTTTTGCGGAAGAATGAGTGCGTGCTTCCAAAACAAAAACCAAGTGGTACTTTGAAAAATAAAACTTTCAGGTACCATGCTCTTTTTATATGCACGCATATGAGACTATAGAGAGAACAGCATGTTGTCAAGCATGGCATCGTTAAAACAATCTCAAAAATAATGGTACTCAGTTGAGGAGCTTTACTAGCAAATGAAACAAGCAAAAGAATGTTTTCCTAAAATATATTAACACAAAAGCTAGTAGCATCCCTATTTCTGCCTTTTTGCACGTTACATCAATGGTCTTGTTTGTTGTGTCTATGTGTATTTATTTCTAATTTTTTGTCGTTGTTAGCACACAATTACTTATTTTTATTGTCATTTATTATCCAGTTCACTTATATTTATGGCAAGGTCACCGCTGAAGGGTGCCGACGCGTTTATAGTGCAGCGGCGGCCGGTGCTGCGTGCCATAACATACGCGACAATAGGTCTCATGTCGCTTGTAAACCTGGCAATGCTTGGAAGCAGCTGGACCAATGCGGACTTTATGCGCAGAAACGGCAGCTTCGTGGGGGCGTTCAACACCGCGTCAACAATAGTTACAATGGTAATCAGCGCCATGTTCACTGTAGCGACAATAGTACAAAAGCACGCCTTGGCGAGAGACGAGCCGATTCCAAAGTTTTGCAAAAGACTGATGCACGACCGCACGGAAAAGATTGTCAGCTGTTTGATGGCCGCCTGGTGGCTGGCCATGGCCTTTGCACTTTCTAATATGGCCTATGTTTATCGCGAAGATATCCGAAGATGCATGCAGGGCCGATCGCCCAAACAGCAAATGGGCGTCGAGGTTGACAAAACAGCAATTGCTGCGGCAGCCACGGCGTGCACGGTGTTTCAGGGCAGCTTACGCTTAACTGGTGCACCTGGCTGATGTGGATGGTTCGGATGTGGCGGACTTTTACGCGGTCTAATATCCATTTTGACTCTACCATATTTCGCGAGCCATCGGGCTCGGTGCTTGACAGCAGTCGTTCAAGAACATTGGCATGCCAGTGCCAATCAATCCGGCCACCTTTAGCCCACATTACCCTGAAGGCCTTGGTCCATATCATACTATGCATGACCTTCAATTTGAAGATTCCGCTGCCAACGGCTTGTCAGCGCACAGTACCAGATAAACGGATCTAGACCATGTACCTTTCAGAACAACCAAAATGCTCAGTTTGTCACACACGCCGATCGAGCTCAAGCCGCGGCCGCAGCAGGCCACACATGCCAGCAGGCCACACATGCCCAGCAAATACAATGCCCATATACCACCAGGCGACGTTTTATCGGCAGAACCAGGATACTAATACAGGATTTTGCCGGGAAATGTCTGTGGTCGCGACGCAAAACATGGCAAACAGCAATGCCAACAAGGATGTCTGCTGCCAAGTCAGGGCCAGAACTTGGCTGTGGGCACTGCAACTCTGACTACTGAGCCATCCCAACTCACAATATGACAACTTGATAGTTTTTTGCTTCTGACGAGCCTTTAATGCTCATCAGAAGCAGTCGAAAATACGTCATGCTTGCTCTCCATAGAATACAATATTTGCTTTTCTGCCACATGTTCTGATCTCAATTCAGCCAATTGTGCTTCAATTAGTACTTTCATTTAGTGATTTGAAATCTCACACATAATAAAAACGATATTTGGTGTTGTCAATCAAACAGCAGTCGGTCTAGGCACCTGTTGCACCCAATTATATTTTTAAAACACATGTACAAGTTGATCTTTTCTTCCTCTTCTAACAAGTGTATTGGTCTGGGCCTAAAAACTTTATATTTAAAATTTGATCAGCGCTGTTTTATTTTTGCATATTATTCGAATATCAAAGATTTTTTTGCTTGTCAAAATATAATCGAACATTCTGGGCTATCGAGCTGAGCGCCAGCTGTTTCAAATGTTAGAATACACAGGGCCTTGAAGGCATGCGTTTAGGCGGATACGTTTTTGATAGGCGCCATTTTACATAGAATCATTCCAATTGTAAAAAAAAACTACGACTGAAAAACACCATCTGCTAAGAAATGTTTGAAAGCTTTAGTCTAGCCACATACTGTTTAATGTTTTATAGGAGCGGCGATGATTGATCGTCGGTTTCTAAGCGCCGTTTATGCGCTCAATATTGGCATTGGTGAGTGGCAGCAAAGTGTAAGGGTTTGAATACAATATGGAACTTGGAGCACGCACAAAATGTGTTTGTGTTGTAGTAAAGAAATGTGCGAAAAAATTTAATTATTTTGGTAATATTTTGTGGAACCTCTGGAACTTGAAAATGCGATGCAATTTGCACAGTCGAGAACAGGCTTGTATATAATTTTGTATATAATGCGGCGCGCATCCCCTCCATCTTAAAATTTTCTTCAAACCCATCACGACCACTCGATAGTCTCTTTAACCTCACAAAACACGTTTACTTTTATTGTAATAGTTTTACTTTTACACTTTAACCACAAACTAATCAACTTTAATTTTTAACGCCTCAAGCTTTTCAACATGGGTCTGTTGCACACGGGCACATCGATTTTCCGCACCGCAGCGCTGGCATTCGCCTGGCCGCTTTCAGTTATTTCGCTGATTCTCAGCTGTCTCGTGGCTGCCAACGGCCACTGGAAGCCTCGTGCGGCATCCATCTTTAGCGCCATTGTCTCGGCGCTGACCATCGTCACTCTGCCCCTGATCATTCTGGGAAAGACCCTTCGCCTGGGCAGGATCAGCAGCGCTCGCTGCTCGCGTCTCTGGGAGCTGCTCCTGACCGGTCTGTGGCTTGCCTCGTGGGTGTGGCTTGCCACTCAGCTGAACAAGTTCTCTTGCAGGGCCCCCGTGAAACCTACACTGAGGTCATCACCACCCCTGTCACCGGAACCAACGTCGGCTTTTCCCTGTATGGCCATGCTATTGCTCCTCAGGGCGACTCGCGTGCGGCTATCCAGGCCATGGGCATGATGGCTGGCGAGGAGAAGAACCTTCTGAACGGCCGTGCTCTTGGAAGAAATGGAATCCGTCGCTATGGCACCCGCTGCAGGGTGTACAAGGCTCTTTTGGGCTTTGCTATCCCATCTTTGCCATCCTTGCCCTTGATATCATTGCGCACCTCTGGAGACACGATGAGAACCGCCATGAGCTGGCCAGAAATGGCAGCATTTCGGCAAGCGTGTCCAGCATCTCTAGCGTCGGCAGCCCCAGGCTCGCCAGCGCTGCGCACCCGGGCGCCCCTGTCACAAATGTTGGGCAAACTATCCCGGCTGCTCCGGTTGCACCAGTTACCGCTGAGACTAAGGTCTAAATGCGTTTGCTTGGTCGGCTAATCGCCCTTACCTCAGTTCTTTGAGGGCCGAACTAGCAAAGCAACTTGGTTGTTTTGCCCTGGCCATATTGATATCACCTGCACTGCCATCGCGCTTTATTAAGTCTGCTAGGCAGCTATTTTTCAAATTTATAATTTTCTTCTTGTCTACCAGTGCTAGTATCATAATTATAAATTCTTTTAATATTTTGAAAGCATTTAAAATAAATAATAGATACTGTTTAATTTAACACAAAAGGCAAATTGCTTTGCTTTTTGTCTGCTGTTTAATTGTAAAAATGAGCTAGCAAATCTTCAAGCGACTGGATGACCCATCCTGGTACTCCAAGGTCTGTTGGCGCAGCTTGTCATAGCACTCTTGCATGTCGCCAGTCTCCTGGTCCATCGTTGAACGCTCGCGCTTAATGTTGGTCTGGAGCTCGTCAAAGTGCGCACGCTGGGCGGACATCCGGCGGCTTGTCTCTTCAGCTTAGCTGACACATCAGCGCGCTCTCTCTGCAGCTGCCTGAGCCTGCTGGTGGTCTGCTCGCGCTTCGCCTGGCGACTCTTTTCAAGGCGCTCGATTTTCTCCTCGCCCGACTTGTTCTGGAACTGCAACTGCTCCTCGCGCACAGTGAGGTTGCGAATAGCGCTTGTCTCTTGGTTAACATTGTCTCTTTCCTTGGCCAGCAGCCGCAACTCCTCCTCATGCTGGCGCACAATATCCTCGGCATCAGTCATCTGCTGGATGCAGGAGCGAATATCGCAGAGATCTCCTCGAGCATTTCAATCTTGTAAGCCAGCTGCCGCGCTGACTCCTCGTTTGTCGTCATCTGGTGCCGCGACTGCACTATGTTCTCAGTGAGCTCAGTGATTGCCTGCTGAATTTTCTCCGGGCTGTGAACCACGCGCGCCTTCAGCCGCGACAGCTCGTCCTGTAAACTGGCGATGGTATACTTTATGGCGCCAATCGAGTCATGGAGCTCGTCTCTCTCGCCCTGGATCTTTGATGCCACATCCTGAGTGCCGCTTGAGAGGCCTTCATCGCTTTGAGCTCCTCACGCATAACCTGGTTGTTCTCCTGCAGGGCCTTGACCTCAGGCATCTCGCGAGCGTGCTGGCTGCGAATCGACTCAATTCGCGACATGGTCTGCTCCAGCTCCGCCTGCATTGACTCAAGCCTCTGTGTCTGCTCGTCGGCCTGCGCCGTGTATTTTTCCAGAATCGGCATGCGGTCATCGCGGAACATGGCAAAGTTACAAATGCCACTGAGAATTCGTCGCACGCGGCTCGGCTCTGGGTTGAGCATGTCGCGCAGTGAAAAGTCGTCAAAACCAACTTGCTTCAGGAGTGTCGACATGTTTTGGTAGAACGCCATGAGTGATATGTCGTCGTTATGGGACTCTGGGTAGTCGGACAGATCATGCATATCGTTGTTGTTTTCTAGCTCCTCCAATGAAATGCCCTTGAGGAGGTACAGAAATGCCGCGTACCAGTCCTGCACACGATACGGCGTCGGCTTTTCCAAATCCTCCTCTGTAATTGGAATTTCCATTTGGCCCATGACTTCGAGAATGTCATGCGACTTTAGTGTCGGGAAGAAACTACTGCCTTGCATTGTCCGTGCCGTACTTGTTTTTTAGAAGTTGGTGTAAAGAAATAAGTGAAAATAAATAAACTTATTTTTATTCGTGAATTATCGAATAAGAAATATATATAAAAAAATTGAATGAAAGACAAATAAAAAGCTCGCGTTATTATGTTTTTCTCACTGAAGAAAATAACAAAACTACAAACATTAAAAAATCCAATCATTTTTTGTTGTCTTTATTTTTTCTTGCCAACTTTTTTTTTCGAAATTGATTTTTTTTGCCAATCGTATTTTGTTGTGCATTCAGTGGCCCTCTTTTGTTCTCTATATCTCTCCGTGCTTTATTGTTTTAATACTTTATTTACCCTCTTTTTGCATCATTTCTAACTATGCCAATTGGAAATTTGCCCGCCGGCACCACTAGCACCAGCAACACCAATGTCAACAACAACGAGGACCTGCCAAAGTACAGCTAGAAAGCAAGGAGGATGTTCTGTTCTTGCAAAAGCAACTCAACGAATACCTCGCACAGTCTCTCGAAAAAAACGCCACTTTACGAGATGGGCTTTTCAACGACGAACAACGCGAGGAGGCGCGCCAGCTGGTTCTCCAAAGCATGCGCAAGTGGACCGAAAGTATCTGGCAAAAGGCAGGTCCCAGCATGTCCATCAACGGGTTTACCTTTGAGGATGCTATGAAAGAGAAGGATCGCGTAGAGCCACTTAACGAGGGACTCAAAAACGAAGTACAGGATTTGCGCAATGAGGTCGACGAGCTGCTTCTGTCGAGTGCTGCCAAGAGACGCACGGTGCCCAACCAGTTGGAAAAGCTGGCGAGCGATTCTGTGTGGCGCGAGTCAATGGCCTCTGAGATTACTCGCGAAATCAGAGGCATCGTGATCCCGAAGAGGCCGAGTTACCATATATCGATGATAGGGTCAACGGGGAGTTTGAAAGCGCCTTGAGTTTGGCGCAGAAGATCAAAGTTAGTATTCCAGAGACCACCGCCAAAATCCAAAGGTTGGCTGGGACCCTGCAGAGCACCAAGGAGCATATCAAGAAGAGCGCGGTTGAGGACCGTGAGGTGCGGGACATTCTTCTTGGAAGCTCGCTGGCTACAGGAAACTATGCGTCGGAGGACAGTCAACAACTAGCTCACAAGGCTGCGTTGCTTGCGATATCTTCAGACAATTAAATAACATTATTAATTTAATACACTTGTAGTTGATAAAGGTTTGGTGGGGCTCAAAAACACCCGAGTAATTAATTGTAAAAAGTTCTCGATCATGTTTATATTTCTTTTAAAAAAGAGCGTATATTGTACTTTGCAAATACTCACTTTGCTCATGAAACATATAACATATATAATATCTTTTGTGCTTCCACGTTTGTATATTAAAAATGAGCTCAATCTTTGTGCGTCGAAATATAATGTAACAATGATAGCTCCAATAATAAACCATGCGCGTTATTAAACATTTCACGTAGCTGGGAAATAGAGCAGATGATTGGGTGTTGGGTAAGCCACAAACATTCCAGTTGTACAAAAAGAGAAGAATTCAACGAGGATAACCACACATTCACTAAAATGTAGATGTTTTTATGGACTTAGCAATACTATTAGAAAATCGTGTAATAAAAAAGATAGTGGCTTTTTTATTGCCATCACTTCTCTATTTTTATGCATAATTGAATTTGTAACAGACAAATATAAAAAATTATTATGACCCCCTATCATTATCTTATCTTCAAATAAAACAATATATCTACAAATGGTTTTCATAAATTATTCAAAACGTCACTAGTTTAATGTATTGTGTAGTGCTCTTTTTATATTAAACAAACCACTGCTTAAAGCGTGTGACCAGGTTTTTAATAATCAACTAGAACAATTCAAATATATTTTACTATTTCAATAAAAATGTTTTACATTATCAAATTTGCCACCATAAAAAGTACAGAAACACCCGTTCAAAATTTTGATGACAGCTATATAATTGTTGTGATTTGTGGGAGCATAGTTTTCTAGTACTAAAAGTATGTTTGGGTTTTGCTATAGTTTTTATTATCAAGGGAATCAAAAGTAGAACTAGGGCCGGCCTCATCTTATACATGTATCTCGTTGCCTTTGTTGTGCACTCTGCCAGTTGTGCACCCCGTTGGCAAGAACTGGTTCTTCTGCGAGCAGACCGGTACTTGGCAATTTAATATTGTGGTTTTTGCGCAAGTGGCTTGCCCGTGTGCATTGCAAAACGGGGAGCATACCTGGGCATCATTATGCCTCCCTAATTTATACCTGCATAATCCAATTAGTGCCCTATCAATCGGCATGCAAATGGAAACTTGTTTCACGATTCTTAACCTCGACATCCACTTCCATATCCTCGGGCTGCGCAACATAATAAAAGCAGATATTCTGCATATCAAAAATTACAATCTTCCAGTATATTTTAAAAACATTATCATTATAGTTCACTTTCTAACTCATGAAGTTATTTTCTCTTCTCGCATTTGCCACCATTGACGTCTCCTCCGTCTTTGCACTTTACAATACACATAAAAGTGGCATAAATTACCTTTTTGACCATAGCAAAAAACTAACATCAATATTTTAATTCCGTGGTCAAGCTGTTACTTGGATTATTCAACAATCGTTATCCCACACTTACAAACTTTTGGAAAACAAGTATTATGAGAAAGTCAAAACTGGTTTTTTTAAAGTTTACCAGGAGGTTGATGACGGCCCATTTTCAGATGACAAAGCAAAGTATCAAGAAACCGTAGAAGTTGTATATAACTACAGTGCATTTGCCAGACTTTTAAAAACGTAATTTTTTTTTGTATCTCTACGCTATAAGAAAAGAATGAGGCTACAAATATGCTTCAGCCCGACATTCTTCCCCAGATAAAGCGTTTAGAAACTAGTGGCAATAGACACTATGGTTGACGATATTCTCCAGTTGCTGCTTTTTTAAAGAGAAGAAGCAGGGGAAGATGGATTCTTGCGCACACGCTTGGGGCTGGGCTTTGGCTTGAGCGTCGCTGTAGACTCGGGTTCAGCCGACTCTAACGATGTCTTTTTGCGCGAGAAGCGGGGAGGACGCTCGCCTGTAAGCAGGGCGTTAATGAATATGCAAAAGTTTAGCACTGCAGCCGTACCACAATTATACTTCCGTCAGCCCTGAAGGTTTGCAAGCAGCTTTCCATTGTGCACCAGAGAAAACCATGGCATAAAATTTGACAAGGTTTTTCTATCGCCGGAATTGTATTAGCGCCTGTTGCGGCTACCTGCTGCTGCTGACCATTCTGCTGCTGCTTTTGTTCTGTTGGGCGGCCAACTCATCGCGCATCCTCTGTCTGATTTTGCACTCGATCTTGCCCGCGACCAGCCGCTCAGCCTGAAAATGCACTTGAGATTATTGGTGGACTGGCAATCAATGTGCTGCTTCCGATTCCGCTCAGCCAGCTCATCTCGCAGCTGCCGTTTCACCCTGTAGGAAATCTTTCGCTTAGACCAGTCATTTTTCCCCTATCCACCGGATGATATCAGCAGACTGTGGGTGAATAGGCATTCACCGGTTGCGACTCTGTTGCGCACTGTTAGTAATAGATGTGGGGTTGGCGGCAGTTTTAGTTGCAACAGAAACTGCTGTGGCTGCTGCTGCAACGGAATTGGATGAATATAATTACATTGTTAAACGTTGCGTCTAACTCGTAGCTAAAGCACCAGTCAGACACAAACGTTAAATACTTCCCCGCATATTCAAAAATCTGGACTTTCTGATATTTTAGGCTAAAAATGGAAAATATCGATTTTTGAAAATCCCCCGCTTAAAAATCCAGAATTTCGCTATAAATGTTTAAATTCTAAAATCCATTTTCAATAGTATATTGCAAGTTCAGCTGGCAAGAGCAGAGGATATATAGCTAAACCCATTCTATAGATACGCATTGTCCACTTTAAATATATATTCTTTCAGCCTTTTTTTTACCCAATCATTTTTTATATTAAGATCATTTCCGCAATTTCGTTTGAGATAGCCCTGGCACAATCTCCTACACGCATAGGCATCGGAAAATCAAGAAATGAATTAATAGATCATGCCGATCAGCAATTGAAGCGATGAGGCTTCGCGCGTTGAGCTCAGCAAGACGAAAAAGAAAAGAGAAGTTAACGATTGACCTGTCTTTTTCTTTTCTTTAAATTCCAGTTATATACGGCACCTTAAAAATAAACTTATTACCCTATTATAAATCCAATTAGGCGGCGCCTTTATTTACAAATCTTTATTATGTCAGGACCGCCGCCTCCGCCGCCGTCAATGCACCAGCGCCCGCATCCTCCTTCAGCACAGCAACAACACTATCAGCAGCCAGCAGCAGAATCACCCGGGCCAACACGGTAATGTGAGATTTCCTCAGCAGATGCGGCCTCAGCAAATGCAACAAGGAATGAACATGGGGTACGCACAGCAGAACCGGCCGCCCATGGGAATGCAGGGGCAACAGATGGGAGGTATGCGTCCGCAAGGGATGTACCAGCAGCGTCCGATGCAGCACGGGATGAACCCCCAGCAACAGCAGGGCCATTACATGCAGCAGCAGCAGCAACAGCGGTTTCAGCACCAGGGCGGAGGGAGGGGCGGCCATATGCCGAACATGGCAGGACATCAGCCAAACATGACGATGCAGAGGCCGAATCGGTTCAACGCCCAGTTTGACGGCGGCAATCGGCCTCCACAGAAGCAGAAGCAGCGGCGGACAATTGACTATTATGGAGCGACGCTTCGCGGGCTGGAGCTCAGATCTGGTGGCGCGCACGTTTCGCTCAAGTACTTGCCCACCGACCCCAGCTACAGCGTTGACGTGTTTCCTCCGACTTTTGTGCCGGATGAGCCGGAGACCTCGGTGGCAACGCGGTTTGTGCACTCATCTTCGAACAAGGTGCGCTACCCCATCAATGTCATTAGGTGGACTCCTGAGGGCCGTAGGTTGATAACGGGTTCGTCCAGTGGTGAGCTGACGCTGTGGAACGGTCTGACTTTTAACTTTGAGACGATTTTGCAGGTAAGAAACGAGATATTGGTTTTAATAGTTTCGAGGATGTTTTTATTTGCCTATGTTTGTACTGCTGTTTTAGTTCTGTTCTGTTTCTGTTTCTGCTGATGCTGATGCTGATGCTGATGCTGATGCCGATGTTTTTTGTTTTCAAGTTTTGTTTAAGATTTGTGGTTTATTCGTGGGGCGCAAGCGGGTAGTACGGGGTCCAATAAACGGCGCTCATACCAGCGTGCGCGAAATTTCATTTCTATCTTTAGAGGGAAAAACGGACACATTAATAAAGCAATGCAATTTGGCAACCTTGTTTAAAGCGAGTGGGCACAAATTGCCTTTTTTTTTGACAATGCCAATATATACATTTCAGTATATTCCCACCCACATTCTCTCTTTGATAAAATGACTTTGACTCGACTCTTCTATTTTTCTACTTGAAAATAATAATATTAATATCCAAAATATACACATCCGACATTACCATTTCATTTAGGCCCATGATAACCCATTCGCTCGATGGAGTGGAGCCACGACTCGCAATGGATGATCAGCGGCGACCACGGCGGCATCATCAAGTATTGGCAGTCCAACCTGGACAACCTCAAAGTGATTGCGGGTCACCGCGAGCCCGTGCGCAGCCTGAGGTATGTAAAACAATATGTCATACTATGCTGCAAAAAAGTGTTCCAATGTTTTTTGTATGTGTGCTAATGTCAAATCGTTTTTGGTTCAATTTCTATTTTTATATGTAGCTTCAGTCCCACCGATATGAAGTTTGTCAGGCATCGGACGACCAGCAGCTTAAAGTCTGGGATTTCAGGCGCGGTGAGCAGGAAGTGACGTTGAGTGGCCACGCGTGGGAGGTACGCACTGTCGACTGGCACCCACACCTCGGTATGATCGCGTCCAGCGGCAAGGACCGAGTAATCAACCTCTGGGACCCTCGCTCCGGAAAGTGCCTCGTAAGCGTGCAAAGACACAACAAGCCCGTTTCGGAGCTCAAATGGAACCGCAACGGCAACTGGCTACTCAGCGGCGCCCGCGACCACTGCATCAAGCTGTTTGACGTGCGCAAGCTCAAGGAGGAGATCAAGTCGTTTGCGACCCCGCGCGAGGTAAACTCTGTGGCTTGGCATCCCGTGCACGAGACCATGTTTGCCTCGGGAGGCAGCGTGTGCGAGAGCAACACGAGGGACGCGACTGATGAGGGCACGATCCAGTTTTGGACCACAGATGAGCCTAAGCAGCGCGGCAGCGTCGAGGGCGCACATGCCTCGTACGTATGGTCGCTGGCTTGGCACCCAATGGGACACATTTTGGCGTCTGGCAGCAACGACCACACTACAAAGTTCTGGTGCCGTCCGCGCCCCGGCGAGCACCTGCCAACTGAGCTGGGAGCAGGAAATGGAGTGGACGAGGGCATCTTTGGCGACCCTGAGAGCATCATTCCGCCGATCAACACCGCGGCTGCCGAGAAGCTGGCTTCCTTTTCCAGAGATGGTGGCAAAACACCCGTATCTGGTGGTGCCAATGCTGGTGCTGTCGGTGGACCCCCGCGTCCTTCCTCTTCGGCTGACTCTTCGGCTGCCGCTTCCGGTGCTGCCAAAGCGGCTGGCAGTCTCCCGGATTGCAATCTATTGACTTGGGCCGCATGCTGGCGAAGATTAAGAAAGAGGGCGTGCCGGGACTACCAGGCCTGGGAAGCAAGGTTCCGATACCATCGCCGCCCCCGGGCTTGCCTGGTCTACCTGGGATGTCAAGGTCGCAACAAGGCGGCTTTTCTGGGGGTTCAGGCCAGCACAGCAGCAGCAACAACATATGCATCCTCCGCCACCACCTCCCCCATCGTCCTCTGCTTACAACAACCAGAATTGGCAGCAGAATGGCAACAGACCGCAGTACACGCCGCAGCAAATGCACAACCAGGGCCAAGGTGGTCCTGCGCGAAACTCCGATCCTCGTCAGCGCCAGCACTCGTCGCGGTTCAATCCAATGCAGCGGGGCAGCCACAAACTCCACCGCCGCCTCCTCCGCCACCGGGACCAGGACCGGGACCTGGACCGTCGGGCTCGTACCATTAGCATCAAATAATGCAGGTTTTATTTTTAATTTAATTTTTGGTTTATAGAAATGTCCAAAACGAATTTATTAGACTTGTCCACTAGTCTAAACCCAGGGCGCCCAACCTTTGTACGTCCTTGCCAGAATATCCTTTGACGTGGCTGCCTCCCAAAAATCATGAACTGCTCCTCAACCAAAGCATCGTCGTCGTTGGAAATGCCGCCGGCGTTGCTATTTCCCCTACTAATACACGCTGCGCCGCGGTAGTCAAGGCGCGCATCGACGCGTTTAATAGCCCCGCGCGCGATGCGCCATCCATAAGGAACCTCGGTCACTGGCCAAGCCGTGCCATCACTCTTACCGCCATCCTTCTTATCACCAGATGTCTTACACCGCGGCATAAACGCCTCCGGAGGGCACAGCCCCGTAGCGCGCACAAACTCATCTGCGTGGTGCGCATCCTGTTGGCCCCACACTCCAGCTACAACTGCTGCTGGCATCGATGGCGGCGGCGGCAGTAGTGGCGGTGACATTGCTGGGCAGAATGATGGAAGAGGCTGCAAGAGCGTCAGCTGCTGCTGCTGCGAAGCCGAGGCTGCGTTGACTCTGTCGTCACTGATATTATTGTCACGATGCTGGAACAATAGCGATGCCGATTCAGAGGGCATATGAGGTGAGGAGGAAGGCAACGCAGGCGGCAGTTCGGTGGATATATCCAGATTATTCTGCCGCGTCTCCTCCAGCGCGCGCCAGTCCGCAAACGGATGGAACGCAGCGCGCTGGACAATCGCATTTACCAGTGTATTTCTGTCCATGCGCGCAAACTTGAGCATCGCCATTGCTGCACCCTTAAATAGTCTGCTGAAGGCAAATGGCCGCTTGGCAACATCGTGGTCGTGCGGGCAGCCGCAAAGGTAGGCCAGAATGGGTGTCATCCGGAAGGGCACTTGCTCAGGCATTTGCATCATCCCACCCATGTCGAAGCACATGTTGAAGTCAATGTGCACCAGCCGCCCGCTGCGCACATCGACCAGGAGGTTGGCCAAGTGACGGTCGCCCAGCCCCAGGACGTAGCCGGCTATGGAGGTAATGCCGATGGACCGGGCCATGTTTTTCATAAGCAAATAATGATGCGACGAGCTCTGCGCGGACTCTGACAGGAAATTGTAAAACATATAGGCCGGAGCCGCTACGCTCGACGTCAGCGAGTCGTAAATGTCGACCCAAATTCTGTGTGGCCACTCTTCCGCTGGTGTCGTTGTTGCAAGGTTGGCGCGCTTCAGCACGTCTTTAGTGTGACTCGTGTACGATTCCCGAAGTCCAGCAATTCCAGCAGCCCTATCCTTCGAATACACGTCAAACAGTGAGGGCAAATGGTCGACAACCTGGATGAGGCCGCCGTAGGCATCAATTGGTACGATGTTGTACACTGTCAGGCTACCGCCCTGACCATCGCCCGCGCCGCCCTTGCTGCTTCCGATGATCCGATTGAGCCGCATAAATGCCTGGATCACGCTCTCGTCGATGCGCAGGTCCTCACCTCCCTTCAGAATGTACTTCTCCTGCACAGTGTTACCGGACTTTGTCGTCATGCCCAGAGATAGTAGCTTTGGGCGGGTCTTGGACACAATGGTGCGCACTGTACTGCCAAAATTCAGGAAATATGTGGGCTCAGTAGGAGTTTTCAGCGATGGGATCGGGATGGCTGATTTGAACTGAGCGAGTTGCGGGCAGAGCTGGCTCATCAACATCTCGGAGCGCATGCTGATGAGCTTGAACACCTCGCTCCACACCGCATCAAACACTGGGCATTGACCAAATCCTAGGCCCACCGCTGCATGGAGCGTCGTCGGCTGGCAGGACGCTCAAATGGTCGAACAACACCTTGAGCCGAGGAAGGCCGGCGACAAACTTGGCATCCATGCACACCGCCAGCAGTGGTTCCCTGTCCGCAAATTCGGCCAGCATTTGTATACCGGCCTGAGCGACTCGCTAATCGCGCTCTCCGCAGCCTCGCGCGCCTTAGAGTTGTCGCCTCTGCTGTTGGAATCGCCAGTCGCAGACAATATTTTGCAACCGCCTGTCGATGCGCCGACCTCGCCCCAACGCAAACCTGACGCAGCTTCTCCTGTGGCAGAATGGCAATTCCGCTGGCCAATGACAAGAACACGCGAATGTCGGCCACAATTACCTGGTCGAACCTTTGCAGCAGATGCGCGACCAGCTGACTGGCTCTGGATGTCTTGGGAGCGACCTGCTGGCTACCACCGCATGGAACATAATCAAATCGGGATCGCTCGCTGCCAGGCACTCGAGTATGCCCAGAGCGTTGTGGCTGATGGTGATATCGGTGGGCTGCGAATCTAGGGAGCCAGTGTGCTTGTAGGACAGCATGGCAAATAGCTGCGGGATATAGTTCGCCATTTGCATGACAGCATTGGCGTTGAAGTCTACAGTCAACAGTGTGGGCGGGCATGCTGGCTGGGTGGACATGTGTGCGATCAGCTGCGACGCCGGGTCGAACGTGCCAGTAGCGGTGAATCGGACTTTTCCTGATCCTTCCATTAAAAGGTCCGTGTTCAGCCCATTAGTATAGTCGCTGGCCGCCGACCCCGAGCTAAGGTATAGCAGAACCTCCTTTGCCTTTGTCACATCTACACCTGCGCCGGCCATGGCGCCCAAGTCGACAACGCCTCTAAAGTCAGTAAAGTCGCTGACAAAGGGGTCCTGGATGTGGCCCTCCAATCTAGCTGCGGCACATGCGCAAAGCATAGGTCGACGCGGTGGCTAGCTGGCACCGCGTGCACCACGATATCGACAGCGCGCTGGTCGGCCGGGATACTTGGCCAAGCCAGCTTGCTCGGCGCACACAACAGGCCCCTTGTCTCGTACGCTGACGCGATCGTACTGGCAGTGTATACGCTCCACCACTGGCCCACGCTCTCTTCCTGGTCTAAGCGGTCCGCAACCATATATGACTGCAACAGAGCAACAGCACGCGCAGGCGAAATCTCGCCATGACCGAATGCATGCTTTATTGCGGCAAGCCACTGCGGGCCGTCCGGATTAGCTGCGGCTGCAGAGTAGACTGTATCAGCGAATAACTGCAGTCTGGGCTTAGGTGTCAGGCTCTGCGTTGCGCGGATTACCATGCAGTCCAAGAACCGGTCGGCCAAAAACAGGCCCGATGCGTGTGAGCTGAGATAATCCGAGGAAGCGTTGATTTGAACGGCCAGGGGCTCGGGTACCCCAGCCACGCTGATATCAAACACTGCCAAGCGGGTCGACGCGGTCACGCCCCTTTGCGTACCAAACCCGAAATCTGAGTCGTCCGACACCTGAAGTGAGGACAGCGCGTTTTCAAGGTCACCCTCGGCCACACTGACGCTATGCTCCATCAACCGCTGAATGACATCGCCCATATCTCCACCCAGCAGTTGGTTTAAAACGGGCCATGGTGCCACCTGCGCCAACATGCCAAGTGTGGCGTCCAGATCACAGCTGAATCACCGTCGACCTTGCCAGACACTTGAATGGTGCCCTTATCCGGCGTCTGGACAGCGGCCTGGCAGATAAACACGGCAAATGCGAGGTTACTGCACAGGATAGCAGCCTCCAAAAGCAGTAGCTGGGTGTCAGCATCCTCCAATATTGCAAACAAAACATTGTTCGGCTGGCACAGAATAAAAAGCATCTCGAGCGCCCAAAATAACCCGGCAATGTCCTTGCCACGCTCCCTTTGCTGCATACGTGTCCGAATGGTTTTGATTAGATGATTGACTGTCAGCATGTAATGCGGGTTGACTCTTCGCAAGCGGCGCGCTGCCGAGCTGACCACAACGCTGATTATCTCAAAGACGCTGGCGCCCGGATGACAGCCAAACGCGGCCCGGTATATGGCTATGGCACAGTCAAGCGCCATAGCACTAAGACCAATAGCCGATGATGCGCTGTCCTGGCCTGTGTCTACGCATGAGTCCACAACAAGCTTAACAATCATCATGGCGTCGTCCGTCGAGAGGCTGCGTACGCACTCGTTAACCTCGCGGCCACTGAGCGCCTGGAAGTGGTTATTTTGAATTGCACAGCCCTGCGCAGCAAAAGGGCCGGGATCGGCGACTGGAATGGGAGAGCGACCAGGCATCCAGCTACCTGACTCCACACATCGCGCACGCCTCTGTTGCGATCCCCTAGCAGCACAAATATGCAGCCCGACAGGCCGGCCGGCAGACAGGCTTCAGCGTCAAACAGCTTGATGAGCAGCTGCCCAAATGCGATTTTCAGCTGCGACTGGTCAGACTTTGATGAAAAAGATGCAGGCCCCGAGCACAGCCTGGCCAAAACAGTGATGCAGTCATCTGCGCTGCCCCTGTGCTGCAGCTCAGCACATACACCAGAGCCAGCGCGGCTGCTTGGGCCTCGGCTCCCAGATCGACAATCACATTGGCGGCCAATGCGCAATATCCAGTACGGTAGAAAATTCGTCGGCACCCAGGTGGTTGCGGCCAGCGTGGCACCAGCAAGGTGGAGGAGTGGTGGCCACAGTCCTGCAGTCAGCTGCGCCGCTGTCGGCCGCGATCAATGCCGCCAACCAGGGCGACTACCGCAGCGGTGTCTCGAATACTGGCTAGCGCGGTGTGGATATCCAGCTTGTTGGCTTTCAAGCCGAGATCAAGCAGATGAAGCAGCAAATGAGCCGAGTCCAGGCCATTGAGAACCATCGAGTACTCAGTCTCGTTAGCTCTCGGCACGCGGCCTTCAAAGTACCGCTGCGACAAGGCCTGTAGATGCCCAGGAACACCGGCCTGGCTGGTTCCGCCAACGCGACACCTGCGATCAACCACATACTGCGCAACAGTCTGCGGCAACTCTGTAGCCCACAGCCAAGCCATACCACCTCCTACTCCTGTCAAATCCTCCTCTTGTGTGTGCCAAACGGAATCTGCGGCGTTTGACAGTAACCGCGATGCCACTGCCATTAGTTTGAAAAGCACCTTTTTAGACGACTGCATCGCGATCCCTGTGCCCCGCATATGTGCCTCCATACTGGCATGTCGCTGCCAAAGAGACGAAGGATGAGCGATGCTGAGCGGGCATTGTTGTTGAGCCAGGCTAGCTGTACATTGTGGACACATTGTGCATCGCAAGCCCCCATTAAATAGTCAATTTTACGCGAGACAGTGGGAGAAAAAATATATATAAACGTGAAATTGTGAGTTTTTTGAAATTGTTCGGCAGTGTCAAAGTCGTCTTTTGGGCGCGCGCTCTATTTCAAAATTGAATTGCCGAGAAGCTTGTATATGTATTAACTACTGATAAATAAAATGAAAGAATACAAAAGTATAATAAAAAGTGAAATTTGAATTAAGACACTAAAATGCGCAAAATAAAATAAAAGTGATATACATGCATGCCGGATCAGGGCGCAAATACAAAAAAAGGAACCAGTCCGAAAATCGCATCTGCACGGGCGATGCAGATCAAATTAGACCAGAAGAACTTACAATATAAAGCCATTGTGCAAGTGATAAAAAATACACTGAAACAAAACCTTAGCTTGTGAGGTACCTTGGAGATCGCGTTTACGCACTTACCTTTACATTTCGTTAAAAAAAGTAGGGAATTAAGTGCGATCATTTGGCAGAGGCTCAGTAGTAGTAGCAGCAGCAGCAGCTGGGCGCAAAGCCAAGGAAGGCACTCCCTGTTGTGTCTACTCATATCCCGCAGACAGCGCACGGATTGATTTGTCCACATATTGTGGCGGTTATAGCCATCTTTTTAACACAGGACGGACTTTGTCAAATGAGCAAGTAACTTACGTATCTATTTTCTCAGGGCGAGGGTGAACGTTTTTTGTCCAGCACATCAAATTCTAGTGCTCTGCTTATCAGGCATCCTTTTTGTATTCGTATTTATGTTATTATGTATTGGAGCGCGTAAACATAAAGTGTATATTTCTGTGTGAATAAAACAACCAAAAAATATTTTTAAAAAAAGGTCTTAATCATCAATTCAGGGAAGGGGCAGAAGAGTGTCGAGCAGGCAAGGAACCTGGTAACGCAGAATGGAGGTAACCTCGCTGACCGCCGGCTGCAGATCCAGACCGCCCAGTCCAAGGTTCTTCACAAGTTCATCGACGGACTTGAGCAGCTGTGAAATGCCATCGCTGTCGAGGAGATCCCTCACGGCAACCACGATTTCGTTAACAACGTCCTTGACCTCGTCGACTGTCTTGGCAAGACCCAGCTTGGTGAGGAGAGGCGTGAGAGCAGATTCCATTGCCGGAGTCATGACGCAGCCATTCGCAACCAGGCCAGTGCCGGAGCTGGTGTTAGGTCTGCCACTGTCGCTGCCGATGCCTCGGGAACAGCGGGAATGGCAGGACCGGTGGGTACTCCGCCAACAACTGGCGGCAGCAAGGGTGCGCCTCCACTGTAGACAGGCGCCGGGGCTGGGACAGGAGCAGGGGCAGGGACGGGGGCAGGGGCGGGGAAAGCATTAGGGAGACGGCAGAATACGAGGAGGATAAGACTGATACGGAGGAGCAACCGGAGGCTGAGGACCAAGAGGAGCCACAGCCATGGCCCAGGAAACAGAGACGAACGCAAGAGTCGAAATAGCAATGGAAAGCTTCATTGTCAAGGGAAGAATAAAATGAATTAACAAAGAGGTGGATTTGGTGTTGCTGAATGAAGGGGGTTGTAGAATACGAGTTCAATGGACAGGGGAAATCGAAAAAACGAATGATGTTGGTGTGGATGAAGTTGAAATGAAGACGAAGGTGGGCTTCTTGTCATCGTTTTATATGATTGTTTTTTTGTTACCAGACCGGTTGCTTGGGGCCGGTTCTTGACCTGTTGAATTATGTTTAGTACCGTTTAATTGTGGTTGCTTTAATATTACTAGCATTTTTCGGCACTGTACCAACCTAAATGACATAAAAAAGCGGTTATTATTCCGAGTTTTTTTTGGATTTGGCAGTTACTACCGAAAATAAAAAAGGACAAACGATTACATTTTTCTCTCTTTATTATTTGTTTTTATTACCGAATAAAATTTCACAGTTACGTAAAACGTCGACAGTAAGACGAAAACGTTGGGCTTTTTTCAACCGGACCGCACCACGTTTTTGGACATGGCTTGTCTGCATTTTTTGTTTTGTAATCTTGTGATTAAGTATCCCAGGGATTTAGCGAGCTTAAGAATGTTTTGGGGGGAAAAAATAAACAGGTTAAAAAATGATTGGCCAAGAAATACTATCGGATGATATGGGCCTGAAAGAAGGAAAAAAATACCCAAAAAAGAGCTGTTTTTTCTGTGATTTTCCTTTCAGGATTCTTAAGTGCGTTGCATTTTCTCCTTATTTTCAAATGCATTAGTGGCAAAAAAACATCATACGATTTTTATTTTTGATTGTTTCAAAATTTTGAGAAAATGCAGTCGCTTTTTTTCTATCTTACAATTTTTACAATCCCATTCTACCATTCAGAGTGCAAAATAAACTAGTAGTTTTAAAGGGCTGTTGAATACCCAGCAACCGCGTCGGATAAAAAAATTGTACAAATAAGTTGAGGCCCAGCCAAAAAAAAGAAGAAAAAAGATACAAGGCATGGAATAACATGTTTTTTTTTTTTTCTTTTATCCTGCTTAAAAAATTGGAAAGCTGCATCTCAAACTGCAAGGAAATTACCTTTTTTCAACCCATTTATGAAAGAAAATGAAAAAGAAAAGGAAAGGGAAAATTTTTGAGGCCTGTGCAAACCCTCTCAAGGGGATTTTTCTATCTTTCTTTTCTCTATCTATTTTTTGATGATTCTATATTATTTCATCAGTGTAATTATTTTTCTACCATTATTTTTCATTTACGTTTTATTATTTCTTTTTTTAAAAAAGCAACCTGTTCTTACTGTGACAATACATAAACAAAAGCGAAGAAGAAAGCCATTCATTGATCTGACCATATAAATATTTTCTATTGTTACCACCACCTGTTATTCAAACGCATCCTCTTCCAATTATACATATTTTTTATATTCTACTTAGCAACAAACGATTCATATTTAAAAAGCACAATTTTTTTACTGTCTGTCCGAGTGTTCCCCCTGCCCGATGAACAACACAAACACTGGAGCCGCCGCCGCCACTACCAACAGCGGCTCGGCCCTAGGGTCTACTACGCGAATAACAAACACCGGAATAAGCACTGCTGCTGCTGCCACCGCCGACACAAACAGCATTGATGGGCGGTTCATAATGACGCTGACACCAACATCCTCCGTGGCAGTCCTCGGTTTGGCCAATATGCGGTACGAGCAAGAGCCACCGGGCGTACCCTCTAACGCTGGGTTTCCCCCACAGCCGCAGTATTCCACACAAAGTATCACTTCCCACAGCGCGATAAATAACAGCAACTCGCCGGTGACTCCCGCCATTGGATTGGCAATCCCAACGGTTTATACTACGACACTGGATCGCCAAGGTTTAGCCAGCAGCAGCGGCAGCAGCAGAGGTCGGGGTTTACCGACGCATCGAGGTCAGTGAATATGATGTTGGAGGTCGAGATGCGGCAGCAGAACAAAGTGGCCAGCAGTCTCTGAACGGATTAGCGAATCACCCGATTGGCCGTTACTTGAGCTTGCTGGAGCTGCAGCAGCATGGGCGGCTGCAGGGTAATGGTGAAGTGGGCGCGAGGTCGCCGCTGGGCTTGCCGCTGGGAGCTGTGCCGTCGGCGCTTCCAGCGTATCTCAACTCAAAAGTGCCGATTTCAACCATCGCCACGACACCCGCTGTCTTTGTCAGTGCCAGTTTTGCAGGTAAAGTGTACATTTAATCTGGCTTTTATGATTACTCTGTTTTTTATTGTTTCCGTGAGTGCGTGAACATGCAGATTTGATACCCACCCTTGTTTCTTTTTTCCATTCCTAAATCTCAGATTTTGCATTTGTGGAAATGCAGTAGAGAGAAGAGGGGGAGAGGGGGGCACGCAGAACGAGTACCTATCCTGTATTGGACCAATTCCTTTTTTGTGGCCTTGTGGCTGCAGTTGTGTGTTTGGAGCGGAGTAGAATCAGCAAGGACCCCAGTCTCCACTGGAACTGAGTGAATTTGATTGTTGATTATTCCACTCAGTTTTGTATTGTCCTCAGCGAGAAAATGAACAAGATATGTTCCAAATACTATTAGACCAAACTCGTCTGCTATTGGTGGCTATTGGTGACTTTTACCAGTAAAATGAGTTGGCAACAATGCCAAAGATAAAAATGAACAGATCTCCCGTCTCTTACTACTACTTGCCACTACTATTGTTTATTTTTCTAGCCCCCACTCCCTCGAAATTTCATTTTGCTGTTTGTTTGCATCCCGAATTTTTATTTATTCTCATACACGTTAATGAGAAAAGGAAACATTCAATGCACAAACCAAAACAAAACAAAAATCTGCACCTAGACTCTGTTCTATTATTTTTATCTTGGCCTAATCTCTGCATGTTGCTTGTGATGCCTAAAAGATAAAAACTAAAATTGCTCGATGCTTGTTTCCTCTTTTTTCATTATTTGCAATGTGCCCCCCCCCTCCGCTGAGAAAGATAAACCCTTTCAAGCAGTATTCTCTAATTCGCGTTATCGCAATAGAATTGATCAATTTCTTTTTAGGTCTTTTTTGCCAAGACTGTCAGACAAACAAAAAATATTAATGTCAGTTGGACGGATTTTTTTATATATTTCACTGTATTCTTTAATTGAAATTTTATTATTATTTTTCTATTGGTTACTCCAGCACTCATATTGCCCTCCCCTCTCTTTATTATTGACTGTCTGCCTGACCGTCTCTATTTCTATTCACCCTTTTCATCCCCCTTGCATTAATTGTCTCCCGTTCACATCCTTTATTATACTCTACACAACATTAATTAATTTATTATATTGTACTCATAACCAAATTTGTAAAAAAAAAATTATTTCTTTTCTATCCAGCCATATTAATAGACCAAAAGAGGAGCGCACTCGTGGCGTCCACAGAACCATCGCCGCCACAACATCAACAACATATTATGCACCAGCACCAGCAGAACCAGCAACAACAACAAGCACCATCAACACCGTTAGCGCAGGGAATACACATAGACTCGTTATCCAGCGGCCCAGACCCGCCCGGCACTCCCCAGAGATACTTGGGCGGCATTCATAATGGACACAGCGGACACACAGCATCCCCACTAGGGAATCCCAACATCAACAGTGGCAGCAACAGCAATGTTAGTTTTAATGTTGCGCAGGCCAATGAGCTTGAGCTGGATCTACGGCTTGGCGGAAGCAAAAGCAGCCGAGGACGCCGTGGCGGTGGCGGTGGTGGTGGTGGCCGGGGGCGCGGTAGCAGGGGGCGCGGCGCGGGCGCGGAGCCAAAGTGCCAACAACACCGAATGCACCGATACATAGCGACAGCCGATTGGCGGCGGAAACCAGCCCGCGGGCATTGCAGGACGCGGGAGAATGGAACGGCGACGTCTACAACGAAACATGGGTGATCCGCATGGAAGACCTCGTCGACCGCGGCACCGTAACGCAACTCCCCGGCGGCCAATACCAAATCGCCGCGGATATCCTAGGCACTGGTCGCAGCTCCATAACCATTGGCGCAGCAGTAGGCGGCGACAAGCGGCGGTTCAACCTCAAATGGTTGTATGAATACCCCTGGCTGCGATTCGACCACCAGTGCAACGCCATGATCTGCGCCATGTGCAAGCAGTGCAAACGCGCAAACCAGTTTGCCAAACGTGGCAGCCGCAACTTCAAGACGTCTGCGTTGGTCGATCACTCATCGAGCAATGACCACCAGAAGAGCATTGTGCATTTTGGCGGCGCTATGCCTGGCCCGCCGTTGGCTGACGGTGTGGACGTGGCGCTGGGATTGGAGGACGACCAGTGGCTGGTGCAACCATTGGATCCCGGAGCCCTGGCAGCTGCTGCCGCTGGTGCGCGGCCTGATGCGCGGCAGAGTGAGCCTGCCCCCTTGGCTCGGACGGATGTGCCGGACCTGCCCGAGCAGCAGCCATGCGCAGATCCCGCGCCCTCGCTGCCTGCAGCTGTGGAGGCGGAGGGCGGAGCGACGCTCGAAAAGATGGTCGACCGCCACATGGTCGCCCAGCAGTCAAACACCATGGAGTCGTACATCACAACAGACTCTATAACGCCCATCGACAGCAGACTCACGCCGACACGAGAGGAGCAGCTGGCGGATGGGCTGGCCCTGCGACATCAGCAGCGGCAGCAACAGCACGGCGACCTGCATCCACAGCCAGCCGATCCTACAGGGGCGACGATGCCTGCCCCGGAATCGCGCAGCCTGGCGCCAGCCGAGGGCCTGGCCGAGGCCAGTATCCAGGCGGTGCGCAAGGCCAGCCGGCAGATGGTCGGCGGCAGTGGCTCGCACCCGGACGAAAAGTACACGCGTGAGTTCGGCCACGCTGTGCAGGCACTGCTGCAGGCCATGCGGCTGAACCTGTCGATCAGCTCCGTGCCCGAGCTCTACCGCCTGCAGATGCAGCCCACGCCGCTATCGGCCATTGGCTCAATGGGCGCGCATACCCGCGAAAACAGCGAGCTGCGCCTGGCAGGCGCCTTGACCAACTCGACCGAGGCGGCACGCACGCTGCAGCACGTGGTGTCGAGCGAGATCCTGTCGCTGGTCAAGGACGAGGTTAGCCAGTCGCCGGCGTTCTCGATCATCATCGAAGAGGCGCCGCTGCGCGAGCACAACAGCCTTGTTGCGCATGTGCTGCTCTACCTGCGGTACATGCGGCGCGACCCTGTGGCCAAGGACGGGCTGCAGGTCGTGACGCGGTTCTGGCGCTGCGTGCACCTCTACCACGAACATGAGGGGCGTGTGGCACGGCGCGACGCCACCGGGCTGGTGCTGACCTTGCTGGAGCGCGCCAGGATCGACGCTAGCCGCCTGGTGTCCATCTCGTGCGAGCGGCCGGTATCGCGCGAAGATGAAGAGGCCGAGCGCCGGCGCCAGCCGCACATCATCCACTGGCACGGCATCTTCACGTACGCCAACTCGCTGTCCCCGCAGGTCTATGAGGAAATCACGCACTGTAGCGAGGACTTTGTGCATTTTGCCATGACCCTGATGGACCTCTGCCTGTTCATGTACTCGCACCCGACGAGCTTTGCCTTTCTCGGCGCTGACTTCCAGGAGATGCTGTACAAGACGCTGTACGAGATCTTTCTGGGCGAGGGCTCGCTGAGTACTAGGCTTCCGATTTCCCTGACGCCGGCCATTGTCATTGCGATCACGCGCAACATTGCGCAAATCATGGCCACCGTTGTTGCCCTGTCCAAGACGCCCATGCGGTCTGACGCGGCGGCCAGCAGCGACACCATTCCTGACAGCGGCGGCGACATCGCTGGTCCTGCACCAAAGTCGCCGCGGTCCTCGCTGCAAATCCCGCTGCCTGTCGTCGACATCCTGGTGTCGTCGTTTGGCGGCCTGGGCTCGCGCAAGAGCGTCGGTCGGTGCCCGCCGGCCGACGCCCTACTGGCGCAGCTGTGCGACTACAGCTTTCTCGGGTGCGTGCACTTCATGGCAGACATCCTACTTCTGGTCAAACCGGTCATCGATATTGCCGGCCGCAGCGACATGCCGACAGGCGCACTGAGCGCCGCCGCCGCCGGGGACTCGGCGAGTCCCACGCTGGACCAGCGGCTGCGCGCCTTTGTCGAGACCGTGCGGGACGCGATCGAGTCCGTGACGCTGATGTACAGCGACGAGTGCGGTAGCACAGACGACAATGATATTACGCAGAGTGGCGAGAACAATGACGACGAGTACCATGGCTTCCACCTCAATGAGTTCATGCAGCTGACCGAGTGCCGCGTCAACACTGAGTGCCGGTTTAGGCATTTCACCGTAACCAATTATTTGGGCGCTGTGAGCCAGGCCAACCTTGTTGAGCTCATTCACACAGTGTCCTCGTCGATTCTGCATGACCTGCATCAGCGCTTTGGCGCCCATGATATCGCGACTATCCAGGCGATGGCAGATATGTGGGACCCGACGCAGTTTCCTAGCGCCCCCGCTGGTGTGGTTGGCTTTGGGCAGGGCCCGGCAGAGGTGCTTGCGGAGCGTTTGTCCAAGGCGCCGCTAGTGCAGTCAGCGAACGGACAGGTGCATGGGGTTGATCGGGCACAGCCCAATATGCCACTGATCGATGCCACTACATTGGTCAAGGAGTGGACTGAGTTTAAGGCTGAAATCTATGGCGAGCTTGACGAGCAGCTCCGGCTCCAGCAGCAGCAGGGCCAGCAGGGTGTGCGACTTTCGCCCGAGATGATACAGCTCGCATACCGCAACAAGCTGTTCCCCGAAAGCCACCTTGCGCCAAGCCGGCGTCGCCTAAGATCAGTCGAAAACAACTACGACACGGACATTCACACGAGCAAAATACCAAAGCCAGTGCCTGGTCGCGCTACGGCAATCTCGCCAAACTGGCCACAGCCTGGAACGTTCTGCCATTGGCGCTGAGCACAGACTTGCACCAGTTTCGGCGCCTCTACGAGCGGCAGCTATCGCGCATCTGCCGCGAGCAGGCGGAGAACAAGCTGCAGTCTATCAGCTTTGACATTGGCGATACTTTTTCAGAGCTCCTTGGTCGCTTGGCGTCGCCGCATCAGCAGAATAAGGGCCGCAAGGTCACGGTATATGATCTTTTGCAGAACAGCAAGGTTGAGACGGGTTTCGGCGACACGGAGATCCCTGTTTTGGAGATTGACCTGAGCGGAGTCACCATTAACTACTTTTTGCGCAGCATCGATGCCGTCACGATGGCACTGGACCACCGCCTGAGGCTACTGAGTTTGGACCATATGGAATCACCATTGTCGGTGCCCTGCGACCCGGACGCTTATCCGAAGTGGCTGCAGAACGCCATGCGCGGATACTGGAAGCTGGCATGTCGGCCGTTCATTCCATCGGGTATCAAAAGCCATATGTCTAAGCGGCACAAGAGAGTGCCTAGCCACCTGGCCTCATCTACCAATGGGGCGACCATATCGACGCAGTCCACACACACAATGGGCGGTGTGGCCGGTTCGGCCAGCACAACCAGCCAGATATCTGATCACATGGATGCCGCATCCAGCGTCGTGGCCAGCAAGCAGCTGAGCAATAGCGTGGGTGGTATGGAGTTTTCGGCTCATTCCTTTGCGCCCAACGGCATTGGCGAAAACGCTCACCAAATTAACATAAACGCTTTGACTAACTATACAGACGCATCACTTGCCACCCAGGCATCTTTCCTCAACAGTTCTACTCATCAGCCAGCGGCATCTAACGATATTAGCTCGCTGCCACTTCTTGAGGCTCTGCTCTCCGGACCTAACTCGGCACTTCCCCAGCCGCAGCCCCCGATGCCGCCACCGCAACAGCAGCAACAGCCTCCTATGCTGGAATCAGCGCCGGCCACGATGTCCTCTCGCTTGTCTGGTTTGAGACCGCCGCCCCAGCCGATGGTGCCCACACACTCGGCGCCTGCGGATGATATCCTACTGATGCCTTCGAAGCGCACCTACGATGTGAGCACCCCCCTGCCAGCGCTTCAGCAGCCATCCTCAGGACGCAGCAACCGCCACAGCAACCATCGCAGCAGCAGCCACCGATGCCCGTTTACAGCAATGGCGACCCTGATCAGAATATATCACCCATGCATCACGCGCAGGTCAACCTTGGCATGCCGCCGAACAAGCGCATGCGACACGCCTCATCCACCACTATTGCTACTAACCCGTACAGCGCAGTGAATTCGGGCGCAATCCCGAGTAACCATGGCAGCTTTGATTATCGGTACCAAGACGCCATGAATGCCCTGCATCAATGTCAGCCTCCCCCTCCTCCCCCTGCCCCCTCTCATCATCACCCTCCGCCTCCTCCTTCCAGGAATCCAGCGTTGATCAATGGCGGGCCCCAGGGTATGAATTCTACTATTGCCCGACTGGCATCCGACATGGGCTTTGATCCTGTTACGCATGTATTAGCTGCATCCATGTCTAATCAGAGATCTAACCAGTTGATTAACACGGTCCCTTCGTTGGATACGGAGCAAACGGCAATGTCCAATACCCAGCAGCAGAGGTATGCGGCGCATTTGACTTTCACTTCGCAAGCTGCAATGGGGATGCCAGGGATTGGTGCTGCTAATGGCGCACATTCCCAACAACATCAACAGCAGCAACAGCAGCAGCAGCGGGGGTATGCGGCAAATATGCATATGAATTCAACAGCGCTGGGACAAATGATCAACGAGCATAACCACCAACAACAGCAACATGCGCATCAACAACAGGCTCAACAACAGCAACAGCAACAGCGGGCTTTTGATTACAACCAGCGTCGTTGAGTTTGTTTGTTTGTTTTTCTGTAGCTCTCTATGTTCATTGAGAAAAATATACATAAAACTTATTTTAATATAGTTAAATAAAATAAAATCCAAACATATCGATATTATTTTTTGTTCAAAAAATCGTTATGTAAATGCAATTAAGTATATGTAAAAAAGTAAGTTGTAGATAAAATTAATGTAATTGGATAATTGAATGTAAATGGCACTTTAGTCCTCGTCCTCGTCGGATGGCTTCTTGTCATCGGCAGATGGCTTCTTGTCGTCAGTGGACGGCTTCTTGTCAGTTGATGGCTTCTTGTCTTCGGCAGCTGGCTTCTTGTCTTCGGCAGCTGGCTTCTTGTCTTCGACCGCTGGCTTTTTCTCTTCGACCGCTGGCTTGTCATCGGTAGATGGCTTCTTGTCATCGGTAGACGGCTTTTTCTCTTCGACCCCTGGCTTCTTGTCGTCGGCAGAGGGCTTCTTGTCATCGGTAGACGGCTTCTTGTCGGTGACTGGCTTGTCAGCGGACGGCTTCTTCTCTTCAGCAGCTGGCTTGGTAACTTCAGCCTTGCTTTCGGCAACAGTAAGGGCATCAGCAGCAGCAGCGGCTGTAATGACGTTAGCGGTAACTGCAGGAACAAATTTGCCAGTTGCTGCAGTAGCGATGTTGGCGTTAATGTTATTTATTAACTGTTTGGTGTTGGATAAGACGGCTTCAATCTCGGGGGAGATATCAAGCAAGCCAAAGGTCTGACCAAAAGGCAAGTTACCAATGGCACCGGCAGCTTCATCAAATGAATCAACAGGCAGGGCAGCCGTGAAGGTGGCAATGGTCAAGGCAATGACGGACAGAGTGAAGCGCATGTTGGATTTGCTGTAAAAAAAGTGAACTCTTGGGAGAACCTGAGAATATTATAAACTAGGATGTATACGTTTTTCAAATACCTGCCATCTTTGCAGGATATCCTGGTATTTATATGTAATATTAGTTGGCAATGTCCCGGGCACAATAATTTGGCGTTCAGTTAATATGACAGCAAAAAAACATGAAGCAAAAATCTGAACAACCCCTACAATTTTATTTACAAAAATGAAATCTTGAGACATTGTTGCTAGAAGAGATGAATTCAAAATTTAAACTAGGGAGGGATATGTTATCGTGTATACCTGTGCCATTTAATTAGCATATTGTCTTTGTGTTCAGCCAGCTACACGAACGCTTGAAAAAAGAACAATTTTTCATTCTACAAACAGTATCATCAGTTTATCATATTGTTTTTGAAGGAATCCAGCGGCCCATCTCAATATGCAAAACATTTATTAAATTATGACGCAAACAGCAATGAAAAGCCACAACAAACCGTCAAAATACTAATAAGGTAGGGAGGGTATATACAATGTTTCAGAAATAGTATGCTCAATTGTCTTTAAATTAAAAATATTGATATGAATGTCGAAAGCCCAAATGGAGACACTGGTTTCCATTTTTTAATTATCCCTAGCTTTTATTTGTCGATACAATCAAATAAACAAGATAGAACAGACGGGTTTTTGCAACGTTCTGTACGCCTCGTATTAAACATAAAACAATGATTGTTATTGTGGCAGGGCGGCAGGGGAGAGAATTAAATATACAAAATGTGTAAACATCCAATTTTGGCAATAAAACGAATAACATTAAAAATCACTTTTTCTAACATTGTTAACCGAGTACTATTGATCCGATATGTGTTAATGGCGCAGCCATTTATTTTTCTATAGTTTTTTATATATGAATCTGAAACAGCATGTGAATATTGATTATTGGAAATCGCGAACCTCACATTTGACCACTTGAAATAATAGTTTATAATGTGGCTTGCATAGAATTAACCACTACACCTGTATCTTTTTATATTGTCATTGTTTTAAATGTATTGTTGACATTTTTGCAACAAAAGAAAACAAAGTATTTTGTTTTGCAAAATGGCACAAGTACATGCGTTAGCAAAAATTTTTAAAAACAAAAAATTGAAACATGGATGCAACATGTGCATAGTTGGTACACTTTATTTAGATGTTGAAAAATCAAGTAAATAAAGCATGGACTAAAAATGAGACTTTAATTCACGAACCAGACATGCTGCAGAGCATGTGAAGTTAAACGCATTTATATTAAATAAAATAAGCATGCTAGAGCAATGCTATGAAAAAGATTTGCCTATAATTTTCAACTTTGCAGAGGTTGTCTACTAACAAAAATGTGTTGAAATGTCACGAAAAATATATTAAATTTAAAAGTAGACATACCAGTGGTAAAAAACCAATGTGCGGAAAGAAAAATTGCAATAATTATGAAATCAAAATATAAAGAGTGGGATAATCTAGGTTATTTATGGAAGGGGAAGGGCAGTATCGAGGATGCAAGGCAGCTGCTTGTCAAGGACCTGGATTACGGAGATAACCGTGTTGTGTAGCTTGAGGTCAACCCCAAGGAGACCGCCGACAAGGTTGTTGACAACATCAAGGACGCCGCCATTCTGGAGAACCAGCTGGCTGGCAAGGACATCACCAACGGCAAAACCGACCTTGTCAACCAGAAGCTTGACGCCGTGGACGGTGAGATCAAGACCGAGCTTGTTGAGCAGAGGAGTGAGAGCAGAGATCTGGCCTGGTGTGACACCGCAAAAATTGACGTTGCCGCCACCATTGCCGTTGCCGCCACCATTGCCGTTGCCGCCACCATTGCCATTGCCGCCACCATTGCCATTGCCGCCACCATTGCCATTGCCGCCGTTACCACCACCATTGCCGCTGCCGCCACCATTGCCGTTGCCGCCACCATTGCCATTGCCGCCGTTACCACCACCATTGCCGCCGCCGCCGTTACCACCACCATTGCCGCTGCCGCCATTGCTGCCGCCGCTACCATTTCCCCCGCTGCTGCCGCCGTTGCCATTTCCGCCACTGTACGGGCCAGAGTAGCTAGGGCCAGAGTTAGCAGGAACATCAACAGAGGGCGCACCAGAGTAACCACGAGCAACCAGAGGGCTGGCAGCGGCGAAAGAGAGCAGGAAACCTGCAGCAAAAGTCGAAGAAATGCGCATTGCTAAAAAAGAGGGAGGATTAAGGATTAAAAAGGAAGAAGAGGGTCGGGTTAGAATATAAGGCTTATTGTGGAACTAAAGTAGTATGAGAAAGCTGTGACTATCTCTGGTTGAAAGCTTGGCGCAACTGTCTGTGTTATATACAAAAACTTTAACAGTTTTTTATTGCAAAATATATTGGAAGAGGGGGTAGAGAATATCGGTCTTTTTTGGCATGGGTAAATGGCTGGAAATGTGTTTTCTTTCTCACACATGCGGCTTATTTCTGACCAGTATATTGTTTTGTTTTTCATTTTATTTCTTTATTTGGATAACAGCAATATACAAAAAATTAAATTTTTCAATTTTTTTAGGGAGGGCTTATTCAGTGAAAATCTGAATTAATAGTCTTATTGCTAATTTTACTCTTTTTGCTAATGTTTACACGTTTTGTGTAATATATGGCTCAATATACTATTACAACGACCAGCCACATTTGTTTAGTCTGGGAAGAAAAAACCCTAAACAATGCATGTACGCATGCATGCGATGTTAGTATATTAGACATTTTTGTGGATTATTGATATAATATGAATATGAGTATGAGTATTTCAACATTTATTGGACATACATTTTTGGCATAATATGAAATCAAATGGGATTTTCAATTGAACAATAGGGGGTTGTAAACGCCGCTGCATGATTTGCGGTTTTTTTCAACTAAGTGAAAAAACAACATAAAAACTCGATTAGTTGTGAGAATAGGTTTTTGTTTTGTTTGTCACAAGGTATACATTCAACATCACATTGTAACAAAAATGTGAAAAGTAGGGAGTAGATCAACAACCATGTACACAAGGCAAATTCAATGCGTGTCGTGGGATTCTGTATACCATCCCCAAGAAAACCACATGCTCGTTCAATGGAAATAAAAAATTGTTTACCTGCAATTATTGTTTGTTTTTCAATTTTATTTTCATTCTCATTATTATTATTATTTTTCGTCTGACAAATATTGTGTGCTACTATTGTTCACGGAATTGCAATGTCCAATGTCCAAGGTCATTCTATGTTGTTTTGTTTTTTGTGTGATTAAACAATATAGTATCTGAATATGAATTATTTATATTTTTAAACAATGTTTTTGTGGTTTTTTTCTTATGCACTATGTGGCCTATTGTTTGGGTTGTTGTTTTGATACTGTGGCTTCATTTCAATTGTGGTTTTTGATTAAGCAGATATTCAAAGTAAACAATTGGATTATCCTTTTTTGTTCCCGCCACCCCTATACAAAAAAGTAGTATGTATTTTGGATGCTTTCTCAATTTTGCCTGTTTTGATAAATTAGTTAGCCAAGATATACGGAAATCAACTCAATTAAACGGTAAATTGATTTGTTATATAAAAACTGTTTAATATTGACAAATAGCAGATTAAGTGAATTTTTGTATTTATAGTGTATTAAAACAAAATGGGCGTAAAGGAGAAAACTCTTCGTCAAGAAGAAAACCCCCCTGAAAAAGAATGATAGAAATCAAAGGTTCTTTTTTAATTTAGAACTTGGGCAGCAGGGTATCAAGGAGGCAAGGAATCTGCTTATACAGGATGCTGGAAACGGAATCCACAGCCGGCTGGAGGTTAAGACCGCCAAGGCCAAGGCCCAGGGCAACTGAGTCGACAATGTTGAGGACGGAGTCAATGGCGTCCTTCTGCAGGGTGTCGGCAAGGAGGTCGGTGATCTGCTTGACGAGGTGCTTGAGGTCATCGACAGTTCTGGTCAGCTTCAGCTTGGCGACCAAAGGGGTGAGGGCGGAGACCTGATTACCGGTCAGACCACAGTTTGCGGCGATGCCGACAGGGCCGCCAATGGGGCCGTTGTTGCTACCGTTGCCGGAGCCATTGCCGCTGTTGCCACCGTTGCCAGAGCCGTTGTTGCCACCGTTGCCAGGGCTGTTGTTGCCGTTGTTGCCACCGCTGCCAGAGCCGTTGCCGCCGTTGTTTCCACCATTACCGTTACCGTTGCCGCCGTTACCATTGCCGTTGTTGCCACCGTTGCCAGAGCCGTTGCCGCCATTGTTTCCACCATTACCGTTACCGTTGCCGCCATTGTTTCCACCGTTGTTCCACGAGTCAGGGTAAGCAGGGTAAGCATCATTGATGGGAACATAGACAGAGGGACCAACAACCGTACCAGGGTAGCCGGGGTGGCCTGAGTAAGTAGGAATAGCAGCACCGAAGGAAGCAAGGGCAAGGAAAGCGACAGCGGAAGTGAAACGCATTGTTAGAATTGGAAAATGAAAATGAAAGATTGAAGTTGGTGTTTTGGGTTTGGTGTGTGTTTGGAAGAGCGGATGTTTAGAGGATTGATGATGATTTGGGAGTGTTGATGAGTTTGTAATGTTTTGGAAAATGGCGGTTGGGTACGGTTGTTTTATACGTAAAGTTTTTTCCATGGCTTAGACTTGAGGAGTGTGCTGTTTTTGGGATAGAGATTATTGCACTCGGTCTATTACTGCATATAGCTTGTTTGCATTTGTTTGTTTGTTTGTTGGAAAGAATTTAAAAGTAAACATGGTCCCTGGATATTTTATTTACGTTTATTTTTTATTTGAAGTACTACTACCTTTTAAACTTGTCTAAATATCACTGTTTTTTAAAAAGTTTTATAAAACAATGGAATATATTCTGATATAAGGGTAGTAATGTGGTTTAAGCTAAACTAAACAAAACAAAACAACAAAAACTCTATTGTTAAACATTTAGTCTACTTTCAGTTTTTTCAAAAATAAATAATTGAATATTACTGTACCATTGTAAATATTTGTTTGTCAAATTCAGTTACGGCTTTTTATATACATAATCCATAAAGTCAACCAAAAAAGCAAGTGAAAAAACAGTCAACTCGATAATAAAAAACTAATATTCTAGGCTAGGCTGGAGTCTGCAGTGACAAACGGGGCAAACTCGCCAAAGAACTCACCATCATCCAGTCCCCAATTCTTAATCCTATCAAAGTACTCTCTAAACTCAACGTAAATCCACACCTTATACAGGTTCCAGCTCCTCGCCCTATACGTCTCAGCAACAGCAGCAGTATCGGCGGTCTTGCCACCTTTGATGTGTTGCCAGGCAAGTTCATTCTGTGCATCTTCTTTCAGCCAGGTCCTTAGCATCGGCAGGGCGACTCTCAGGATATCCGAGTCTGGATCAAGCCTGCGGCCGATTCCCTCGAGGATAAACATGGCCATGATGATGTTGATAAAGTCGGGTGCCAGCCTCACATGGTGCATCCGCACGGCATCCATAACCGGCGAAAATATCTCAGTGAAGGTCAGCTTAGACAGCTGGAACGACACTTGGCGCACCTTCAGGATAATATCCTGAATCCGCAGGACAAAAACATCCTTGTCCACAACCTGGTCGGGGGTCAAGCATCGGTCGATCATCAGTGTGCCGGCGCGCGTGCCATTAAAGGTACAGACAGCCTCAAACAGGTCGATGAAGTTGCGGCGGTTGTCGGCGTCCAGCGAGGTGACGAGCCCACAGTCTAGGAACCCCAATGATGGGGAGAACCCGTTTGCCCACAGAAACTCCATGTACGCGTGGATCCTCTGCCCCTTCTCCTGCAAGCCAATCACGCCCGCCTCGTGGTCCGCCATGATCCCGCGCACATGCGCGTGGGCCTCTGCCCCAGTCGGCAGTGGCTCCTGTGCACGGCTCTTTGCAAACGGCGACATGTCGTAGAAATCCTCGACGAAGCGGTCCAGCGGCGTCACAGGCTCGGGCGGCCGCAAGTCCACAAGGATGTTTCCAGGGTGAAGGTCGGCGTGAACAAAGTTATCGTAGATCAGCATATGCAGGAACGCGTCCAGCCCGCGGGCGCCCAGCCGGCGGTCAAACATCGAGTGGCCCGGGGAGTCCAGAAACGCGCGCAGTGGGATGCCATCGAAATGCGACTCCACAAGCACCTGCGCGGAGCTCAGGTCTGGGTATGCCCGGGGGAACGTTACGCCGGGTCGGTGCGCAAAATTCCGCACAAAGCGTTGTAGGTTATGGGCTTCCGTGCGCAGATCCACCTGCGCTTGCATCATGGCGCCGAAGACTGCCACCTCCTCGGGCAAGCTGAGCCAGCGCATGCCGGGCAGGTACCCGAGCAGCCGCGCACCCCACCGCATGATCCGCAGATCGCGCGCGATCAGCCGCTGGACGCCCGGGTGCAGCACCTTCACGGCAACATCGCCACTAGCTATCCCCTGTGCGAACTCTGGCCGCAATCGCGCATAATGCACCTGCGCGACAGCGCCGACGCCCAGCGGCCGGTCCTCCCACTGGTCAAACACCACGCGCACATCTGCAACGCCCAGGGCATGTGCGACTGTGCGGCGGGAGTACTCTGCGGCGTGCGCGCGGTTGTTGTCATGCAGGCGGCCGAGCTCCAGGCAGAGTGCGGCGCTGAACAGGTCGGTGCGGCTGGCCGCCCACTGCGCCAGTTTAACGAAGGTTGGGCCGCCGCGCGACAGCTGCGCGCGCAGAAACGCGTACCACCATAGGGCACCAGATCTTGCCCCTCGGTCGGCCTGCCACCGCCCCAGGTAGACTGCAGGGTAGGTCGCCAGCAGTGGCAGAAAGTAGAGGAGGATCTGCCCTGACCGCACAACTGTCAGCAGCAGCTCCCAGCTGCCGTCCGCTGCCACCGCTGCTGTGCGCCAGATCCGCGTCAGAAAGCCCTGGGGAGCAGCCAATGCCTCGCTGCGCTCTGATATTTCTGTGGGTTTAGGGGAAATAATGTTGCTGCTGGCTGATCCGTTATCTGTTGGCCTGCGTTTCGCCAACATTATCCAATAGATCGCCCCGCCACCAGCCACCAGCGCCAATGCTACTGCTGTGCGTGTGCGGCGAGAGCGCGCCACACTGTGATGCTGTGGAACCGGTGGAGGTGAAGCCGAGCCCAAGGCCGATGCGAATCGTCTTGTGTGGAGAAGCTGTCCAGCGGTATTGCTTATTTTGAGCCGTAATCCCAGTGGCCGCGCTCCTTTGCCCGTGGTGCTCAGTAGAAGCTGACGGCCGATGCGCTGCAGCATATGTTTTTTGAATAGCGTGTTTTTTAAAAGACTACAATGTTTAATAAGAAAGGTTAAGAGTACAAAACAAAAATAGAGTCCAGGGGGTTTGATAATGTGAAATGCACATAAAAGGATATTGCTGTAGGGGAAAAACGGAGGAAAAAAGAGGGGCTGATATTGTTTTCTTTCGCTTCAATCAATCGTCACCCTCCCCACATACGCATACACACATACACGCATACACACACACGCATATACACACACACGCATACTACACTGTGGCAGATCCTCAGCCTGCGGGGTAAAACCTTAGAGATTGTTTATGCGCTTACCTTTACATTTTGTCAAAGGTAAGAAACAAGTAGCACGCACATGTTAGATACTTGTAAGCATTTTTAGCAGCAAATTACTCTTGAATTTTGTTTTTAGATTTTTGTAGTCTCATTCATTTTTTTCTTCAGTGCAATCATCTCGATCAATCCGTCATTAGCCATCATGTGATTGTATGGCTTTTTTTTGGAGAAAAAACTGCGCATAAAAAATAGAAAAATTAAACGCCATGATTAAGCGCAACCCAAGATCAACTTTTTTCCTTTTGCTGCCTCGGCTCAATTCTGCAAAAAAAAAAGAAAAAAGAAAAAATTGTTATGAACTTTTTTTTTTGCCCTTGCACTTCAAGTCCCTTCTTTTTTTTCTCATCTCATTTTTTTTCACTCTACACATATTGATTGATCAGGATTGATTTTTTATTTTTATTTATCTACTCAACTATAATATATTGCCATGGCAACAACAACCAAGCTCACAACCGACTATCTCATTACAAGCAGCAGCACCAGCAGCGGCAGCAGCCTGATTACACCCATGCCCTCTCTGCCGCCCTCTCCACACCACGCAGCATCCCTAACACATGCGCCAAACAGCGCCCACCTCGGTGCACGGCTCCTAATGACCGCCGCCACCCTCACAACGCAGCAGGACGAAAGCAGCCATAGCGACAGCAGCACCACCAGCAGCACCAGTACAACCAAACCCCCACTAATGCTGCGCAGCCGAAGCCGCTCAAGCAGCAGCAGCAGCCGAGCAGTGATCCAACGGCAAGAACGCAACCTCACAAGGGCATTCACCGAAATATCCCTAATGTGCCAAACAATGGATCTCCCACGGTCGATCAACGAGGCATCCAGGGAGCTCTACCGCTTGGTGGAAGAGGGCAATTTACATCGCGGCAAGAATATTGATGCGCTTATTGCCACGTGCATTTTCCTTGCGTGTCGCCAAAAGGCCGTCCCGAGGACTTTCAAGGAGATTTGTGCGTTGACCAGGGTGCCGCGCAAGGATATCGGTCGGACGTTCAAGTACCTTAAAGAGAAGCTGGGCGCAGATGCTGGGTCAATGTCATCGGATGATTTGATGGCTAGGTTTTGTGCGAATCTGTCCTTGTTGGAGAAGGCACAGGAGTGCGCTGTGATGTTGAATAAGAGAGCGAAGGAAAGGGATACATTGGCGGGGAAAAGCCCGGTGTCGGTGGCTGGTGCGTGTATTTATATGGCATCGCATTTGGTCGGCCAGCCGAGAGACGCGAGGGTTATTTCGCATGTGGCTGGCGTTAGTGAGGTTACTATTAAGAACTCTTATAAGCTCTTACATAAGGATCGAGCCTTGTTGATAGGTCCTGAGATGCTAGAGACTGATCCGATGGCTTCGTTGGATAACCTGCCATTGCCATAGGTAAAAAGGAGAATTTTTAATGTAATAAATAAAATGATAAACACTTTTTATTTGATTATTGTGTGTGGGATAAAAAAGCATGGGCTTGTCGGCTTTGCACATTCTAGGCGGACTTTTTTGCCCAGGAAGCAATAATTGTTCTTTAATGTTGTTATAATGGATCTATTTTATCATTATGAGCTTTTTGGTTTGCAATTTTTTTAGTCCTAGCCGTGTTATTATTAGTGCAGACACGCTCTGAAAGACTAAAAACAAATGGCTTATTTTTAAACAGCTGTGTTAATCGCCCCCATTAATTGCATTTTCAAAAAAAAAAGATGAGAAAGTGAAAAACAGACCAGTTCGGCTACAAAGAAAGAAAATCCGGGAAGAGGAGGGTGGGGAGGGGATTAACATTTCAATAAATTGCAGCTCAAGCTTGGGATTTTTTATTCCGAAACTGATTTCCGCTACTTAGTTTTTTTTCATAATGCCTAAAAAAACCATCTGCGCGACAAAGCGATAAAGGAGTGTTTAGACCGGTCTGCACGTGTCGCTCCTACTGTTATTTTGTTGTTTTCCCTCTCTCTTTAATAAATTTCTCCATTTTATTTTTTCCCAACTTTTATTTTTTCCTTTACTTAATTCCGTCAATAAGCGTAAGAGGTTGGTAAGCCATTTGCACGCAATTTAAAAAATGGCGAAACTAAACTACATGGATGTTTTTTGGTTCGTCCCCAACCTCATCGGCTACTCTCGCGTCGCACTCACCGCCATCGCCGTCTACAGCATGTACAACGAGCACCCGACGCTCATGTTTTTCAGCTACGCACTCTCCGAGCTCCTCGACGCAGCTGACGGCCACTACGCACGCAAACTAAATCAATGCAGTAAATTCGGTGAAGTCCTCGATATGGTCACTGACCGCTGCACCACCACCGTTCTCCTCACCTACCTCGCCCAACTCTACCCCCTCATGGCCCTTCCCTTCTGCTTCCTGATCTCCCTGGATATCAGCAGCCATTATATGCAGATGTACGCTCAGCTTATTACTGGCAAAACTAACCACAAGCAGATGGACGATAAGGCTCATTGGATTTTGAAGGCTTATTATACGGATCGCAGGGTTTTGTTCGCTTTTTGTTTTGGAAACGAGGCCTTTTTCTTGCTCATCTACCTGAACAAGTACTTGACCTCGTACGCGTACGCTATTTCGGTTGCATTTACGCTTGCTGCTTTCCCGGTTTGTGTCATCAAGAACACCATCAATGTTATTCAGTTCTACGAGTCCTCCAAGGACCTGGCTAGACTCGACGCCGCCACGCTGAACGAAGCCAACGCCAAACCAACTGCGACTACCACCACCAAAAAATCTCTCTAAAAATTAATAAATCAGTCTTTCGCAAATCAAAAATCGCAACCTACCAATCCACGCATAAGAAAAATAATTAAATGACGCGATACGTGAGGGAGAAAAAAGCAAAAAAACGAGATGAACACTTTTAATCACAATATCCAAAAAAAAATTAATTGGAGGACCGGGGTATCGATCCCCGTACTTCACGCATGCGAAGCGCGCGCTCTGCCATTTGAGCTAGACCCCCATCTCTCTTCCACTTCTTGTTTTTATTACAAAATTCCACGTGACAATCTGAAATTTTGCACTACTAAAAATGGATACCCCAGTTCTCGCGTCCAGTGCCCCCGACGGCACCGGCACCACGGCCCCCGCCGCTCCGACCACCGCCCCGACCGCTGCCCCGCCATCCCACGACCCTGCGCCCGCAACTGACCCCCTGCCAGCTCACCCCTCCCGCCTGAGAGATCGCGGGAGAGCCGGCACCACCCAACGCTCCTACGCCCAGGTGCTCCGCCCAGACATTGGCTCCGCCAACAGCTCTGCCAGCGGCACCACCATGCCCAGAGGCGCACCAGCTCGCAAGACCCAGCGCGAGCTCGAGCTTGAACTCTACCCGGCGCTGACTGTGCCCACCCTGTCGCTCCACATCCCCAATGGACGCCCCAAACAGATGATAGCAGCTGTTAGTCGCCATGTCTTCGAGAGCATGGACCTGCCTGGAAACCTGGATCCCCGGGACCCGCGCAACCCCATCAGCTCCTTTGCGTTCGAAAAACATGCAATTAACGTGGTGTTTAAAACATTAGACAACGTGGCAAGTATAATACCATTCCCTCTCATGTGGGAGGGAATGGAGTATAAATGGCACTCTAAACACGGCAGCATCTCTGTCCTCGCCCTCCTCGGCGCACCCACCACGGCCACGCCCTCAAAGCTGAAGGGAGCCCTGAAGGAATTTGGCATTTTCACCCATGTTGACTCACTATTGTGCGCAGGCTATGCAACTGGAAACTGGATTGGATTCTTCCACCCCAAGGCCGGTGCTAAGCCGCACCCAAAGACAATCCGCCTCAACTATACCACCCAGGACATCAGAATAGTGGACTTCTCAGACACAATCGAGTGTGCACACTGCGGACATGTTGACGTCTCGCCATGCAGCTGCACACAAGCCACCGGCCATTGTGTCAAGAGGGCGGCTGCAGAGCCCAAGGCCAACGCGCAGCACCCCGCCCAATCAACCACCACCGCCGACGCTAGCACCATGGAAGCAGATATCCCCAGCCCTATTGTCAGCGGCCAGCAGGCCACACAGCCACTCTCCACCGCAGCACCATGTGCTCATGAGCAGAGTGTGCAGCGCACGGCCCCCACCCCAAACAACAGCGATGAGATTGTGATTGACATGTCTGACGAGTACGACAGCGACTCTGCCATGTCACAATCTGCAAGCACCAATACCCCCAGCCACCACACTGCCGCCTCACGCAACCATGTTGCTGCCACCAGCGCCGCAGTGAAGAGCCGCAAAGCATGCCCAACAGAGCCCCTGGCGCTCTCTGGCACCCAGCACCACTACACTACCCAAAGCGCAGCCCAGGCTGCCACTCCCACCCCCCTGACGGCAGCAGCACCAGAGGACGCCAATATGATGGACGTCAATGAGGTGCCAGCCACACATTATTAATGTGTGCTGCTGCAAACCCCCACCGCAATACAGCGACTCCCCCAGCGCCCCAAGTTGATCATGCCCGAGCTGACAACGAAGACGAAGGAAGAGCCGCCACCCGAGAACCACCAGCCGCCCCAGTGCCCGGCGACGCCCCAAACCTAGCCACACCCCCCGCCCGCGCCTCTGTCCGGAACAGACCGCGCAACACTGCAGAAACACCCACAGCAGCAGCAACCCTCCCACTCCCAGCCCTCAACCTGCTCTCGCAAAACCTGCGGGGCATGGGAATGGGAAGCCGCTCTGCCTCCTACACAGCTGAATGGACACGCTTTATCCGCCCTCCAGCAGCCCCTGCCCCTAACAACAACGACATCCAAAACGAAAATGCTGCAGCCGCCTCTGAGGCCACTGCACAACTGCGCTACCGTGAATCCGTCGACCGGAAGCTCAAGCTAGCCGCCCTCCTTGCTACACTGCGCCGCAGCACAACCGAGACACGCGATGCTGTGGACATAGCATTCCTACAGGAGTGCAACTCAACGGCCTCACCCGAGGACCTTTTACGCTCACGATATCCAGAATACCAGACCTTTTCTGCACAGCCCGGTACTGCCAATGAACATGACCGACACACAAACACCAAACATGACACAGCGATTCTTGTCCACCGACGGGTGGGCATGGCCCATCTGGAACATGCAGTTAGCTGCTCACGGGCAACCTTTGTCACTGTTCCGACCCGAGGCCTGATCATTGTGTCCATACATGGCCCCTTTGACGAGGTACGATCCTTCCACGACGGCATTGTCCACACCATCTCAACCTATGTCACCTGTGGCTGGATCCCTCTGATCGCCGGTGACTTCAACATAGCCCCACACCCATTCGACCGCCAATCCACGACTGAACGCAGCCGCGAGACAGCCCACTATGACATAATCCCGATGTATGAGTCTGCCCTACGCTCTAACGATGCAGCCCACTTTCTAACACCACCACCACCGCCTGATGCCCCGCCACTGTCAACCCAGAACCCGCGCACTGAATTGTTTACCTACAAACACCAGCGGCCCGATGGTTCCATAGCCTTTGTATCCCGGATAGACCTGTTCATAGTCCCCACAACCATGCTGATGCGCGAAGGCGTCGCCTTTGACCTGCTCGACGTCGGGGAGTTCTCTGACCACAAAGAAATTACACTTACACTGCCTGCAGATGGTCCTACAACAAGCAGTGCCTCCCGCCCATTCCAGGTTCCCCACAAAGCATTTGCAGACAAGGATTTTTCAGCTTTTGTGGAAAAAACGCTTGAAGAATTTAATCCCTTATATCACCGCCCACCCTCCCCATTCCACTTCCACTTCTATTTCGGCCTCCTTGAACGAATCCGCCAGCATGCACGCCACGACCACAACAGAAAGCAATGCTCATTGGAACGACGGATCCTTAAACTGCGCCGCGCATTCTCCCGCCTCGCCAACAGCGAGCAAGGAAACGGCCGCCGCCTCTACAAAGCCCAGCTTGCCACCATGGAACAAACAGCCTTGGATCTGACCGCCCAGGCAGCCATCAACACTCGTATCCGCGCCAACCGCGCATGGCTCCATGAAGGGGACCGCCGCCCCCTGTGGCAGTCCATGATCACTCGGAAGACACTCGACCCACGCATTGTTCACACCATCACAGCACTGCACACAAACCTGCCAGGACAGCCCGCAGCAGGAACGACACTAGCATCAACGACTGACGAACTCACAGAAACAGCAGGCCGCTTCTACAGCACAATGTACAGCCACACGGAGCCTGACATGAATGAGCTTGATGAACTGCTGTCTGTCCACCGCACATACATTAACCATCTACATGGCTCAACTATCCCAACAGTCACTCGGTTCACGATTGGAGAACTGGAATTTGAGCGGGCCGTTAAGGATGCAGCACCCCGCAAGGCATGTGGCCCCAATGGAATTCCTGCCGAGCTCTACAAGCACTCTGCCACCGCGCGTAAAATCCTACACCATCTGTGCAGTATCTGGCTGAAGCACCCACAGATGGTCGCACGTGAGTTTGCTGAAGGGACAATTACACTGATTTTTAAGAAAGGTGACCCAAACAACCTGGACAACTACAGACCGATCAGCCTGCTGAATGCCGACCTCAAAATTATGACCTCAATCGTAGCAAGACGCATTGGGCAAATGGTGAGGCACGTCATTTCACCCGAGCAATATGCAATCATTCCTGGCCGGTACATTGCAGACGGCATTTACAAGGCCCAGGCCATCTGCAGATACCTCGAACTGACCAAGAAGCCTGGGGCCCTTGTATTCCTTGACCAGGCAAAGGCCTACGACCGCATCTCCCACACGACACTGTTCAAGGTCCTTGAGAACTACCCAATCCCACCCACCTTGCTCACCAGCATCCGCCGGCTCTATAAGATCTCACGCTCATGTGTGTCCATCAATGGCCACACCACAGACTACTTCACCATCAGCCGCGGTGTGCGACAGGGTGATGCACTGAGCTGCGTCCTGTTTGTCCTTGCTGCCGAGCTGCTTGGCTGTGCCCTCCGACACCGAATTAATGAGACCCTGCCAGACCAGCCTACACTAATCGACATACCACTACAGAACCGCTCACACCTCCTCTACATGGACGACACTGCCATCATGATGAACTCACTCCGTCACTGGCCCGTCATGCAGTCAGCCCTCGACTGGTACTGTGCTGCCACAACCGCTGCATTCAACCCAACAAAGACTGAGATCATCACATTCAACCACCCAGAGAATGAAATCCCAGAGGGGCTCCCTGCTCAGCCACACCCACCTGGCACCATGGTGCGGTACCTCGGTGTGTACCTTGGCGCTGGCCTGTCTGATGCTGATGTCACTGCACACAATGAGAAGCTCATCTCCAACACAATTGCCGCCGCCCAGCGTGCCGTCCTCCGCCACACAACCATTGAGGGCCGTGCATACGCATTGCAGACTTTCATATACCCACGGACCACATTTGCATTCCACTTCACGACCTTCACCTCAACACAAATCGAACGGCTCAACAAGGCCCTACGTGGCGCCCTATGGGGCCGCATTCATGGCTTTCTGCGGCCCACACTCCTGGCTCGGCCCCCCTGTGAAGGTGGTTTTGGCATCCCTATTATGTCAGCCATTCACCAGAGTGTCATGCTCAAACTTGCCTCCCGCCTACTAATGTACCTTGGCATACTCTCCGGAACCTCAGATACTCCTGCTGGTTGGTCCATACCAGACTGGCCTGAGCTGCTGCTACACTGCTGGCACATTGGGATCTGCAACCGCAGCCACAACCGCATCCCCATTGCACTCAAAGCCCTGCTTGAGCACTCAGCAACGTCGATATTGTATGATCCACTGACACAAAACAACAAATTCGGAAAACTCCCAGACAACACCTGGCCACCAGTATGGAAGCTTGTCCTCACCACGCTACATGATGGCCGCACAACCAATGTTGTCCTCTGCCCAACCACCTCACTCAGAGGATCCTGGCTGTCCACTCCAC